ACGAGGCCGATACGCGACTACGGCCAACGCGCGAATTTAACTCGCCGTAAAACGCCGGATAAAGACGCGCTTTGCCTCTGCAATCCGCGACAGGCAAATCTCCGCGGCGACCTGCTTTTTCCTCCCTTTTTCCGCTCCGCACGTGCTGATCACGTCGATGTCTTCGTTTTTTCGGCTTCGAATGTAGCTTTTAGAGGAAAACCAATCGTCGTCGTTGTCGTCGTCGTCGTCGTCGTCGTTGTCGTCGTCGTCGTCGTTGTCGTCGTCGTCGTCGTCGTCGTCGTCATCGTTGTTGGTCGACGGCCCGAGAGAATCGATTCAGAGTGGAGTCAATCGGCAATTCGGCAGTGCGATTGTTTTGGAGGAACGCGGAGTGAGAGAGAGAGAGAGAGAGAGAGAGAGAGAGAGAGAGAGAGAGAGAGAGAGAGAGAGAGGAGTTTGCCGGCAATCGGCTCGATTATTCCATTCGGTCCAATTAAGTCGTCGCCGATAATGCTCTTCCGCGCGGAGCTATTCGCTTTATCGATATCGCTGCAGCGCCGGGAGCGATTTTATACGTTGCGCTCGTCCTACTACCGCGAGCGCGCGGCTTTGGCCAAAGCGCGTCGCACTTCGCCGATCGTATCCACGAGCGAGCTACAACATACATACATACATACATGCATACATACATGCATACATACCTGCATACATACCTACATATACCGTGGTTCGGCTTTCTTCTATTCGAAGGCGACGAACAATTATTTTTAATCTTTACCCGATGCTAATCTCAACTCGCGCCTGCTTTCAACCTTCCATTTCCTGTACACGCTAACTCACGCGCGCAAATACCAAGGAAATCTAATCTTTGCCTCGTATAAGAGCCACTTTATCGAGAGCCGATAAACACAACACACGCGCTCTCTATACGAGAAACAGTGTAGAATGTCGACGAGCTAATAAAACGTAATTTATTAGGGTTGCATGCTCAAACGCACACGAATACAGAGAAGACAGAGTATGCCGATGACCGTCGATGTATGCTAGGCGAAGCTGGTTAACTTTGCTTCGCTTCGCCTTGGTTGCAGCGAGAAAAGCGTGCGATAAGACGCACAGTTGTCCCGCTCGACGATGGCAGTTAGAAGGCAGTTAGGCGCGAAGGGGATGCTGCTCTTTTAGGACATTGAAGGGCACTAGAGAAAGGCCGCGCCAAGAAAAAGGTGGAACAAATTTACGGTTTGGTTTAGCGCTAGCGGACTCGAACGTTAGGCGCACATCAGCGAGGTCGAGGCCCGATCCGTGCCTCCGTCTACCGTACGGGCGTGTGCGTGTGCATGGGCTTGAGTGATTAGCGGGGAGAATGGATGGACGTAGATAGTATAAGAGCAAAATCTCACACCTTCTCGAAACAATAACAATCAATGAAGCAATAACAAACGACGAGTAAACTTGCAGCGACACACTGATTAATCTCATGATCTCTGTTTTGCCATGTTAGATGGGCCCGCGGTTGTCCATGTCAACATATTTGTTCGAAGTATCTCGAAAATAGATGACGTTACCATGGTAAGTCTCTCTCAATCAAAATTGACATCAAAACACCGCTCCCCTCCCCGCCGATCACCGCGATCAACAAAGAACGTGCAATCCGTGCAATCGTTTTCACAATCAGATCAATATTGGCCAATCCCCCCGATCTTCCGATTACCTTTCTTTCAAAACGGACAGACAGTGTATATTCATGACGCTCGATCTCCGTCAAAACTATCAACGTTATTCACAGTAACACGCACACTTGTACTAAAATCTATATTCTCTCTCTCTTTCTCTCTCTCTCTTGCTCTATACACACACACGTACACACTGGCTATTTCGTACTTCAATATATTATTCGTATTTATTAGTATATATATATATTGTTATCATTGACTATACATTTATATATAATACAATACACAGTAAATCTGTCTCTATCATCTCTCTGTTTTCATCACATAGCGTGTCACGTTTTTCATTCTCTCTACAACTGCCACCACCACCACCACCACCACCACCACCGATAACGAAATACTAAAAAGCAACGGTCTAAATAAGACAAGTTTCGCATATCTTCATATTTCTTCTATCGCTCTGTTCGCCTACATGTAAAGAGCAGCTAAAACTTCATTCACCGCAAACGTAAAGTCCACTTTTATCTCATTATCAGCTCCGTACTTCTCTCTCTCTCTCTCTCTCTCTCTCTCTCTCTCTCTCTCTCTCTCTCTCTCTCTCTCGCTCATTCGTCACTCGCAGATCACTCACACACTCACACGCGTAGAGATACAAAAATCTCTTGTTCACCGTAGTCTCTCACATACACACACACTCGCGTAGACTTCAGTCATTAAATGCGTGTATCTCATGTCACAGGCATTTTATCATCATTATCTAGTATTCTCTCTCTCTCTCGCGCGCTCTCTCTCTCTCTCTCTCTCTCTTTCTCTCGCACACAAGCCATCCCCCATTGTATTCCAATCTCTATTTTGCACTTTCCGAACACATCGTAGCCAATATAATTACCTGCGTAGGAAGGTTGCGCGCGCGCGTTCTGTCTGTCTGTCTCTCTCTCTCTCTTTCTCTGCTGTTTTCTATTGGACTATGGATATGAATAACAACGTTTGTTTGTGCCTTGATTTTTTATTCACGCGCGATTGGGTTCGCTCGCGGCGCGCTCGGTGTGGCGTCTGGCAAAAATACACGTACTCGCCAGAGAACTGCTGTTGTGCAGGTTCGTATACGCAGCCATTCAGGGATTAATTGAGACGTCACACTGTGCTCGTGAGCAAACCCCGTCGCTCGCCAGTTTATCGCTACATAGATATGTATTATTAATATTATTATTATTATTACTATTACTATTATTATCATCATGATTATTCTTCTACCTAGTTATCTACTCTGACTTTCTTTTTCTTTTCGTTTTTGTCGTCTTTTTCTTCGTTGTTGAATATTTCTCGTACATGCCAGACATAGAACATATACTAAATATGTGTGATATACAAATACACGTTTCATCAGAAAGATCACACCTGCGTATACATCCAAATACACTGTACCAAGCAAAAAGTAGAGTCGAAGTTGGTAAAATAATGGACGATCTCCTTTCCGTATGCGTATGTGTGCGCGTGTGTGTGTCACTTCGGACACGTATGATACACACGTCAAACGATGGCGAACAACAGAGCCATATGAGGCGAAATTTCGGCCGTCAGCAAGCGGCGAAATTGCCAGTGACATTATGTCCGTCAACGGCGCGCCGTTAGATCTCAATTACAATGCAGCTCGCGGCCAGTAACAGCGGCAGCGGCGGCAGTCCTTCCTTTCCTCCCCTGCCCGGCGGCGCGACGATGAGGCGTCTGTCCGAGGATCTGGAGCCTCGGCAATTAGCGCCCATAGGCTTGCGCAATTATTTCCGTGTGTGAGGGTGTGTGTGCGCGGCACATATGTGTTTTCCCCCCTCTCTCCCCATCTCTCTCACTCTCTCTCTCTCTCTCTCTCTCTCTCTCCGCCTGCTGACGATGCAATTTCCAAAGATCACCGTCGTCTTCCATTCGAGCTTGCAGCCACACACGCGTGGATGATGAATAACCAAAAAGCCGATTATATTCTTTTGAATCGAAAGCGAAGACAGGTGTACCGGGGGTAAAGCTCACATTAGAAATTTTAATTGGGTCATCAAACTCTCGAGCGGAGCAGCCGAGCACTTCGATTGTCGTCCATATTCACAGGTTGTTAGGCGTAGCCGCGTCCGTGCTAAAATATGAAACGAGACGGGCTGAGTTATCCCCGGACAAGTTGGCTGCTAAATAAACATCGAAACCACTCGAGCAGCGGCAACTCCTGTAATAGGATTTGATTGCGAACTGCCGCCAGCGGATGATTTTCTTATTGTGAGTTCTTATTGCGTATACGGCCTGGCGATAGTATAAAGCACCTGGCACCCCGTTTATGTATGATGCATGCGCGCGTAAACCGAGCGAACGCGCGCACCTGCGCAGGTGCGCGTTTTATTCGCAGAGCGAGAGATTGATGTCGAACGTGCGTTCGATAAACACACGAATAGCGACGGTGGGCCGCCATTAATCACGAGCAATTAGGCAGACAGCGAGAGCAAGAGAGAAAGAGCAGTGTATTAGAGTGATAAATTACTAGCAGACGGGTAGGTGGAGGTATAGCAGGATGCAAATTTTGACGAAACGCGTGACCCGCTGTGCGCAGTTCTTCGCGCGTTTATACCCGACAATCACTCCTGATCCCGTGACCATCTGCGAATGAGTCGCAAGCGACGGCGGACGACAGTCTCGCCTTCTTTCGCGAGGTGGTTGATGGGTGTGTTCGTCCGTTTGGCTTTCGTTTGGCTTTGAGAGAGAGAGAGGGAGAGAGAGAGCAAGTTAGTCCGCGAAGAGGAAAAGAGCGCCCAGGGCGGGCGAGGGCTCGTACACCACGAGCATTAAATATCCTTGACGCGCCGAGGCAGGCAAAAACAAGAAATGCGCCCTAGGCGTATCGGCCCGACCGAGCGTACTTATCGCGAGAGCAAAGAAAGCGACGTTTATTAGCCGTTCCAGCCCGTACGCCGATCATGTTCCTCCGCCTTTGCCATTGCGATTGAGCGTCTGTTGCGGATATATATATAAAGTTTCATTGCTTGTATATATACGCGCTGATATTTCGACTCTGTGGGATTTCTATTATTATCTCGCTATCATTCGATTTGATATCTCTGGGGGGGGGTACGCTGATTTCGCGATCACGATGCCTTTTCTCTCCCCATAAAAAGGATCGTCGTGGACGCAGGCCGGATAACACAATGACTCGTCAACCGGGCTAAAGCCAAATGAATGATACGCTAATAAAACAGATGAAACAGAAAAACAAAAAAAATATTGGAACGAATCTCTTGATAAAGCGGCAAAAGAAAGAGAAAGAAGAAGTCTTAATAATTCATGCAATATATTGTGTTCTGTTCCGGACAACAGATGGCCCGGTGCTCGTTATGATCAACGTCTTTCTCCGGTCGATCAGCAAAATTGACGATTATTTCATGGTGAGTTTCAATCAATTACAGCCAGGCGCATTCAGCATCTTATATATATATATATATATATATATATATATATATATATATATATATATATATACATATGAATCGCACGCAAAATATATTGTATGTGTAAACTTGTCTATATATTTTGTACAAGAAAGCCCGCGCAGTTGTTGTTTTATATAATATATATACACGTGGATACATATATAGCGCCTATCATGTATATGCAGAATTTACATATGACCTTGAATTAACAATGATCACGTACATCATATCCGCGCTCAATGTGGTTTGATGCTGTATCTGATCGCATGGACGAGGCATGTGTACATTCGCTGATTTTCGTTTTCACTTGTTTATTTTGTGTTTTTACCTTAACTGTCGTCATCGGGTTATTTATTCTTTATATAAATTTGCACTTATATAACATTTTCTGTGTGACAAGTGTATATCTTGTAAACTCGTTGCCGATATGTTTATTCTCAATTTTATATCTGTATATATATTTATATATATATATATATATTGTAAATATGATGTATCAAATAATTCATATTATATGATACTTACCTATAACATATATAGATATATATATTTATTGGACGTCACCTTGATATTATATATATATCTATTTTGACAGTATTTTGATTGAATATATTATTGAATAAACATGATGTATAAACATGAAAATTGATGTTTTTGCTACGTACATCGTTGAATCTCACCCACTCACTCTCGCGCGCGTTCACTCTCGCCTCTGTATCTCTCTCTCTCTCTATTTCTCGCTGCAGTGTCGATATTTTTTATTAACATATAAATGTGCAGAGTGCATTGTACGTAGCGCCTTTTCGGCAAAAAATAAAATAAAATAAAATAAAAAATAATAAATAAATCGTGGTCGAATATCGCGTTGAACCAGTACATTGGCTGTGAAACGATAAAGAGTGCGTAAATTGCGCACTAAAAACGAAACCACGAGTGGACGTGACGAGCGCGCGGGTTCCAAACCAAAATAATAAAACCAGGCCGTTTAATTTAGCCGCACCTTCGCACGCTTCGTGGGAAATGTAAAGGCCCGAGGGGGGGGGGGGGGGGGGGGCACCGAGAGAAGGAAAGGAACAATTAATTCTACTTTAAAGAAAATCTTCTTTTTCTCCACGGGCAGATAAAAAGAAGAAGGAAGAGGTCCTTTACGCGTCTGATTGCGAGTTCTCGCAAGAAGTGCTAAGGCACGCTTGCGTGGCATATACGTATAGGGAGCAAACTCGCCTTTGACGACGTCGCGGCGCAGGCGCAACCGCGCGAGAGTAGTGTTTCTTTTTTGTGCGTGTAAAGCGCGAGCCGTGCGAGAGTCCGACCTCGCTGCTCTTCACGATTTTTCCCGCGTTCGAAGTGAAAAGTCGAACGCGTCGAGAGCCAAGCGTAGAAAAAAGTTGCTCGCCCCGATAATTATTCGCTGGCGAAATCAGTAATTTAACTTTGTTACGGAGGCCAAGTTTTGCGAGGAAATAGGAGGTGGAGGAAGAGGGAGTTTAGATTTAGCTATTGATTCGCGACAGCAGCTTTGAAATTTCATCTGCATACACTGGCGGAGATTACTTTACCCTGCCCTGCCTTCCGCTCCTTCTCTCTCTCTCTCTCTCTCGGAGTATGCGTCATTAAAACGAGCAATCTAACTTGCACGTGCGTACATCCGAGACGACGTACGCTCTGAGAATTCGCGGTAAAGGGCTGATCGGTGCGTGTGGTGCTTATATAGAAGCTGGCGACGGGTGCCGCGTTGTGCGTCGCTGCTTTTCCGGACTGTCGTGTGGCAAAATGAGGATGAAAGCCGTGTAGCGCGCGTCTGCCTCTATACTTTTTTCTCTCTACGCGTGCGAACCATCAGTGACGTGTACCCGTGCGCCGGTGAAACAACGCAAACAACGATCCTACTGCCACGATGTTCGCCTCTGTGTACGCTTTTTCGTGCCTCTCTCTCTCTCTCTCTCTCTCTCTCTCTCTCTCTTCCTCTCTTGTTATCGTTGCTGTGCTAGACCCGCCAACGCATCTGTCTGTTTCGCCAAGCCTCGTCATTGTCACGCGACGATAAGCCTTTGACCGTGCACCTGGCGCGGAACAATCGTGTTGCGTCTTCGGCCCGGGCTTCTTCGTCAACTTCGCCTTGGTGAGAATCTATCGCGATTATGCAGAGAGCCGAGCCACGTCGATAATAGCGGCGGCGACGGTGACTGCGTCGGCAGCGACCGAGTAGCACAATCGACCTACCGCCAGACGCGCGTCCAAGGAACCGGGAGTGCCTTTGTCAGGCCGTTTGCGCGTGGTCCGTCGCTATCTCGGTCCCGCGCGCGCATTTGTGTGTCTCCGACAACGCCCTATCTCGCCTGGAACGCGTCATTTCATTAATCACGATCGTTCGCGCGCACATTCGATTTTCGTGGGCGCATCCGGAGGACGCGCAAAAAGTCGACGACGAGTAATTGTGATCGACGAGGGCGCGCGTCAAGCCGGACTTCGACGAATGCGGTTTGTCGAGCGCGTGGATGCAAGCGCTCGGGCGAAAATGCAGTTAGCGGAGCGTTTCCCTCCCGAGTTTGCAGTCGTCATCGCGAGCAAACTGACCTGAAAAACGAAGGAGGGGGGCGGGCGACGCGAAGGAGAAATCTAAAACGGAAAAGCGCTCTCGAGGTAAGAGAAAGCTCTTGTCTCTCGTTCGCCTCGAGGAAGGGAGGAGGCAAAAAAACAAACAAACGTTTAAAAGCGTTTTAAAAGCCCGGGTAAACAGGCGCGCACGCACGCCGCCGACGATTGCTATATTTTGCTCGGGGTCTTAAATCCTCTCGAAGAGCCTCGGGAGTAGCCACTGAACGAGAGCGCGCGCGCCTCTGGCGAACGTTGTATCCGACGGGCGCCTGCCCTGCTCCTGCGAATGTTTGACAAGCGACTGGGCAGGGCGAAAAAAATCGCCACTGTAATTGGACATGACGATAAAAAGGACGCAAGGCTATAGGGCGCACACCTCTTAATTAATTAAACACTGGTTTTCTCTCGTAGCCGGTTGTTACCAAGAGACCCGAGCTTGCGCGCGCCCTTCCGAGAGGCTTTTCTCTCTTCTTTTCTTTCGAGGACCGTCTCTTCCCGAAAAAAAAATAAAAGAAGCGAGAACAGTGTTGAAACTCAGCGTGGACGAGATTTATATTTTACTCTAAAATTAGGCCACTTTGTACTCGGGGCGGACAACGTGAACAAAACATCGACAAAGTTTTTCGTTAATTAAAGTAATTGCCAATTAAATCCTTGGAAAAAAGAGAAAGAGCGAGAAACCTAGCCCTCTCACGGGCACGGTTTTCCCCTCTAAAAATAGCTCGAGGACCAATAAACACAAGTCATCCATTCATCGGGAAAAGAAGGAGAACGAGAAAAATCCTCGTCCTCAAAGGCAAAGCGAGAAAGAGAGAGAGAGAGAGAGAGAGAGAGAGAGAGAGAGGGAGAGAGAGTGAGAGAAAGAGAGCCCTCGGTGAATATTAAAAGACACTCGAGGAATTATCGCTGTGGCTCATTGTTGCCCGAAGAAGAAGCGGGAGAAAAGCGCGGTACGCGCGTGCCCGATCAATCTCGCCGTCTCTTTTCTTTTTTCGCCTCGGGAAATCGACGCATATGACCTGGTAATCCAAAGAGAGCGAGAGGTCGAGTCGTTAATGGAGATGCGTCGTCGATTGCATTCAGTTCTCTCTCTCTCTCTCTCTGCGGCACCGCGCGTGCGCGCTCTTTTTCCACCTCCGCGCCATAGCTTGATCGCAGTCTTTATCTCTGGCTCGGCAGTACGGATCTGATCATTCGACCTGGTTTATTTCCGCTCTCTTTTTAATTATGCTCCCGCCTTTCATCAGTGTTGCGCGCGTGCGTTCGGCCACGCGTGCCCATGCCGCATCGATCTTGTCTCGCTTTTACGACTCTCATCAATCTGGCTAATCATCGGCTGAGAATTGGCGCTTTCGATCCCTCGGACTCGAGAAGAAATCGCCGACAACGATTATCGAAAGAAGGAGAAAAAGCGATGAATAGCCTGGCGTACGATCGAAGCCTATAAAGAATTCGAGACACCAAGATATACGTGCCATTAGGGACAGACGAACGTAATGCGAGAAAAAAACGAGAGAGAGCCGATAGCGCGTAGTGCGTGCGCGCCACGAGAGAGACGGTCCGGCAAGATATATATCCACGCGGAGAGAGCGGAAATTGAGATGTCCGTGTGTACATGCAATAACGTTGAGTGTGCTCTTGCCCCCTCCCTAAAAAGAAAAAAAAATAAATAAAATCGCTCTCGTACGCGGAAAGCCAGCGCCCACACCTGCGCGCGCGGCGTATCGAGCGACGTTGCGATAGCCTTCGTTGAGTGTTGCGCCTGATTTATTTGACAGTCGTTACCATAACTCGTACGCGCGTGCGTGCCCGCGCGCAAATGTCCCTTTTTGCGATTCGCAGGCGGCAACACGGAGGCGCTCCGTTCCCGTGCCCAACCGATGGAATTGATCCCGGGGAAGCGATTTTTCTTTCTTATCGGCGGCCTCCAAATCGCGTTCCCGTAAAGCCACGAGCAGCGTGCAAGTCCTTCAACGTCAATCTCCGCGAAACTCTGGCATCGACGCTCGGGCTAATATCCATTTAAGCCAGCTTGCCGCGCTCCACGGAAAAAAAAAATTCGATTTGAAAACGACGTTGTTCTAGGTACTTGACGCGCGCCAAACAAAAAAGAGAGAAAGAGTGGGTAAGTCGCTCGCTTGTGAGATATAAATAAAAGCTCTGTGTGTGCTGTATGTGTATGGAATGGCTGTACTCTCTCTCTCTCTCCCTCCCCCCACTCTCTATAACGAATTCTTTTTCTTTATACATGCCCTTCAATATAGCGGTTCTGTCCTCCTGCAAATGCAACGTACGTTAGACGTGCGACGTGACTTATCCATTCCTTGTCTATTTCTATCTGACTCGCTATTTTGCCTGCCGTTATCTCCCTCCATCCTTCTCTCTCTCTCTCTCTCTCTCTCTCTCTCTCTCTCTCTCTCTCTCTCTCTCTCTCTCTCTACGTCTGTCTCTTTCTCTCTGATCAGTCGTGTATGCATCCAAGAGTGTCTAGTCAGATTAGATATCGATGCGATGTACGAAGGGTACAACAACATTACGAGATGTGCTTTTCTGTCGGGCGCTTTTGATGTAAAAATATTTTTCGTAGATTTTTGTCAATCTTACTGACGAATGCAGATTATCTGTCTGTCTATGCGTGTGCATAATGTACGGAAGAAAAACCTCGCTGCTCAAAACTACAGAATAATAGACGAGCAGCAAAACATACAAACATAGCGGGGCGGGAAAGGCAGCAGAAAGGTTTACAATGTAGACAGACTACCATTGGCTCTTAGGACTCCATTCGTTGATATCGTTTTAAAATTTTAAGCCTCTTAAGCCCTCTCACTCGCTTGAGCTCGCAGGAAAAGGAAGAAAAATATAATCGACAAGATACGCAGGACAAGTATATTATTCAAGTGTCGAAGGCAAGGGCCAAGCGTATGAAAAGAGAACAGAAAAAACGACGCAGAGTGCGATGACCTTTTAGCGAAAATTGAACAATAAACTAATCGTCGCGAAGGAGGAAAATGAAAAGTAGTGGTGAGAGAGGGAGAGAAAAGAATACTCACCCGCGTACATCGGCGCAAATATAGTGAAGGCGTGAAAACTCGGTGGTGTAGTTGCGCGAATGTGAGCAGGCTGGGGGTGGGCTGACAAAAAGGATAAAAGTAGGCGCGCAAATGAATGATTTTACTTATCAGTATTTCTATCCCTTGCTTATGCGAGCGAGGGCTATGAAAAGGTGCACGAAGCGATATCACTTTATGGCACTTGTCTTTCTTCCGTATTGTCTTCCTGCGGCTGCCGCTGCTGCTGCTACTCTCTATGTACACTGTCTCTCGAGAACCCTTCACGCTTTTCTCGACGCCATACTTCCTTCCTCTCTCTCTCTCTCTCTCTCTCTGTCTCTCGCTTTTTTTTTGCGTCTGGCGATGCGCCGCTCGCCACAGTTTACGCGAGGCAAACAGTAATACTACGCCGAGTTATTGCGTAACCACACGCGCACGCGATGTTAATTGCTGTAGCGCTTCGTGTGTATGTGTGTCTGAATATGTGTGTTTATTTTAATCAGCATCGCGCTCTCTCTCGTAAATAATCCCTTTTCGATTTCGCCCGATCGCTTTTCCATTCGATTTATCCGAACAGCGCTGGGAGGGAATATCGAAGCCGTGCGTGCTGAATTTTTAATGAGATTCTCTCTCTCTCTCTCTCTCTCTCTCTCGACGCTCCGACGGAATTTTAACGAGCAGCAGCAGAGCACCACAGCGAATTTGCGCTGAATTCATCCCTACGCCGTAGTTTTCGCTTCAGGAGTGAGTGCTTTCTCTCTCTCTCTGTCTCTCTCTTGGTTAGCGCGAGGAACGAAAGTAACCGTTAACGATCGCCAAGGCCGCACTAAACAATGGCAATAAAAGGTCTTACACGAGGCCTTAACGCCGTTAGCCCGTCTGCCTCCGTCGACCTCTTCGGGGGCTTACGGCCGACAGAAGACCCAGCGCAATGCCCGAAACAAAGAGGCAGCTCCCAAGTGTCTCACTGGCGAACTGTGAGCCAAAACTGCACGCTTTGTCAATGTAGACGTAGCAAACGGTGCTTTTGGATCGAGCTCCCGGCCTCACCGAAACTATACATAGACGACACTAACAAATACCCCTCCACCGCTGACTCGATATTGTTGTTGTCGTTGTTGTTGTTGTTACTGCTGTTATTGTCGTTTGTTTCTTTCTACCTTTCGCCGAACGCTAGATGTGTGTATGCTTGCTGGTGCGTATGATCGCAGCGAGCCATGTCTGACTCAACGCTGGCTTATATCACTTGATATTGGCCCTTTGCATGCGATTATCCAGCAGCGCGCTGCAAACAAGTGACTGTGCATGCAGGAGCTTTGACTTTGAGTAATGCATCGACGACTGCCTTACCATGCCTGTCCATACACGCAGATGGAAAATACACTCTCGCTTGCTGCTGCACTACGTTGCCATTTATTTTGATCTGCGATCCATTAGTGAGCATTAACTTCTTTTTCCTTCTCTTTGCTTTTTTCTTCTCTTTTCACGTCATTGCCTGAATCATTCGCGTATTCAATTTCCGCAGTAAACATACATAGAGCGCGAAAAATTGCCTCTTCGTACGCAGCCCATCGCCCTTTGCTGCTATATTTCACTCGGCGCGGTATATGGTTTTGCCATTATCGACTATTATTGCGCGTTTTTTGTTCCTCTTGCACCCCCCTTTCTCTACGTCTCTTTCATATATACGAATCGCGAACCTGTTAGACGCACCGATATATATGTATATATATATATATATATATATATATATATATATATATATATATATATATATTGCGAGCTCTGCACCATTGCACTCAATGTTGTGTTTTTCTTTGCTAATTATTCGAGCGCGGCACATTTGAACGTCGAGTAGTGAGCCACGAGCGAAGCGCCTGCCATAGGTCAGCTTCGAGAATATAGCGTATTTTGTTTTTGCTTGTTCGGCTCGCGCGATACGCGCGTTATCGCGGTTAACGTTGACGAGTCGAAAGCGAAGCCAAATAAATGACTAAAAGCAAGAGGCGAGCAGGCCAGGAGGAACGCTTTGCTGAACAACGCTTTACTGCCTGCAGGAATATTCCGTTCAGTTGACCTTCCGAGAGCAGTGGATTGACGAGAGATTGAAATTCAACGACGTCGGTGGTAAGATTGCGCGACGCCCTATCAGGCGATCGGCTGCCGAGGCTGAGCCGCCCAGGCACTAACTAACCAGCGCTTTCGCCTAGGTAAATTGAGATACTTGACGCTGACCGACGCGGGCAAGATATGGATGCCGGACCTGTTCTTCGCGAACGAGAAGGAGGGCCACTTCCACAACATCATCATGCCCAATGTCTACATCCGAATCTTTCCGGACGGAGCGGTGCTCTACAGCATACGGTAAGCTCCGCGGCGAGGCTGCGCCGACCGGCCTAATCGAGCTCCGCGCGGCTGTTCGCAGAATATCGCTGACGCTGTCGTGCCCGATGAACCTAAAGCTCTACCCGCTGGATCGGCAAACTTGCTCTCTACGAATGGCCAGCTGTGAGTATACGTGGGCGGGGAACGTGGACGTGTGAGCGCGCCTAACTCGACTTGTTTGTCTCGATTGCGCAGATGGATGGACCACGGCCGATCTCGTCTTCCTGTGGAAGGAGGGAGATCCGGTGCAGGTGGTCAAGAACTTGCACCTGCCGCGTTTCACCCTCGAGAAGTTTCTCACGGACTACTGTAACAGCAAGACCAACACCGGTAAGACTGGCCGAGCCGTAGGCCGCACGCCCGATCGACGCGCCCTCACGCGCGATTTCTCCTCCGTTCGCAGGGGAGTACAGCTGTCTGAAGGTGGATCTGCTCTTCAAGCGGGAGTTCAGCTACTACCTCATCCAGATCTACATACCATGCTGCATGCTGGTCATCGTCTCCTGGGTGTCCTTCTGGCTGGACCAGAGCGCCGTGCCTGCGCGCGTCTCTCTAGGTCAGGCCGCTCGACCCATCTCCTCCCCCCCCCCCTCCCTCCCTCCGTTCTTCCCGTGTTGGCTCATCACCGTCATTCTGTTGCAGGAGTGACCACCCTGCTCACGATGGCCACGCAGACGTCCGGCATCAACGCCTCTCTGCCGCCCGTCTCTTACACCAAGGCTATCGATGTCTGGACGGGCGTCTGTCTGACTTTCGTATTTGGCGCGCTGCTCGAGTTCGCCCTGGTCAACTACGCGTCTCGCAGCGATATACACCGCGAGAACCTCAAGAAGAAGTATCAGGAGATGGAACACTCCACCTCGGTTGATCCGGCATTAGAGCCCTTCGAACCTGATGCCCATGCCAAATTCGCCATGGTCAGTTTCTTTCAAACTCTTTTCCTTCTCTTTCATCTTTCTCTCTGCACTTGTCTCTCTCTCTCTCTTTCTCTCACTTATTACACACTTTACTCCCTCTCTCTCTATCACTTTTCTATAATCACACATACACGTACACCAGTAGATGTACTCTACCTATTGTAGCCTCGAGAGCCCCGGTACTTTACTCTCCGCTGCCAAGAGAGGACACTTTTAGATTTTTATCGAGGAGAGTTGATCTTTTTGTAGTTTCGAGAGATCTGTTCTGTCGTAGCGCGCTCATTTTTTTCACACTCTCGTGTTGCTTGCTACCCCAACGTTTTTCAATTGATTGTCCTTTATTTTTCGAACGCTCAACGTTTATTTCTTAACCAAGTCGATGTCGAGGAAACCTGACGCGTCCCCCGTGCAAATGCAATTTTAACCCGTCAAGAACGAAATTTCATGCAGCTATTATTAACCGACCAATTTTCCGTCCTGTGAGCGTTGAATTTTTCGTCTAGAATGCACGCCCTTCCATTGTAAAGTAGAGAACGCAATATTTGATCAAGTAAATGAAAAACTGCGCTCGTGCGATGCAAAAAACAAGGAGAATTTTCATTCTTTATCGATGTACATCCGTCAAATATCGGCGACGTTTTATCATTCTCTTGAATGAAACGATCAACGTAAAATAAAAGAAAAGGTTCCGGTTCTGCGGCGGAAAAAACTTTGCCAGTTTATCGCTCGATCGTTTGTTCGTAGATGGACGAGGCGCAGTTTAAGCGAACTGTATGTCGTGCGGACGCAAGTACAATTTGAAAACTTTGATAATTGTTCGGGAAAGAAGAAAAGGAAAGCTTGCCAAGAGCGCCGCGAACGAGGAGCCGCGACGTAGTTGGCATACGTTCCGCTGTCGCTCAACGATCTCGCGCGAGAGTCGAGTTTTGCCCTGCGAATTGATAATTAAAAAGCTCGCGTCTCTTGGAAGTGGAGGCGTTGTCTTGAGCGACTCTGCGTCGACGAAACAGATGACGGCGCGCTCTCGAGGCTACGCGAGCGCGCGCGTCTGTCGCGCCTGGGTCGTGCCTGGGCCATGGCGCTCGCGAGAGGCGATTCGTAAGAAAGCGAGGCTGCGTTATAGGCATTGTCGACAGACGCGTGCGCGGAGCAATACACGCCCACAACAATTGATAGAGCGGAGAAGAGAAACCAGCGGCAAGCACGAGAAATTTTAGGTGAATTTTTGTTGTCTGTTTGTCTCTTTGCGATGTCTGTCCCGTGAATCCCAACACCACCAAAAACCCCGATTGTCTGCGTCCGTCCGCCCGACTCGCCGAATGACTCTGCGTCTCTCTCACACACGCACTCGCCGCGCGCGCCCGCCAACCGGCCGCACACCTGCTGGCGTGTGTGTGAGAACGGGCTGCAGAATCTGCCGCCTTCGCTGACGGCGACGGCGTCGCCAGATTGGAAATCAAAGGCAGCGCATTTCTTCCAGAAGCCATTGGTACGGCAGACGGAGGGCGGCACGATGTCGATGGAGAAGATGCGGCAGTGCGAATTACACACGGCACCGCCGAAAAAAAACTGCTGCAGGTCGTGGCTGTCCAAGTTCCCGACGAGGTCCAAGCGCATCGACGTCATCGCGCGGATAATATTCCCCCTCGTGTTCGCGCTGTTCAATCTCGCGTACTGGTCAACGTACCTATTTCGAGAGGAAGCGGATGGCGAGTAACGCTCACCGACGAGGAGGCGCTCGGATCAAGGGACGTGGCACACGGCCACCTCTATTACTCAGCCACCGAGCCCACGTCGTCGTCGTTGTCAGCGGCCGCGGCGGCGGCCCCGCCGTCCGGCGCGCTGCTGCACCAGCAGGCCCAGCAGGCCGCCCAGCAAACCAGTAGTCACCACCACCACCACCCGCCCCGCTCCTCGCACCACCACCACCACCACCACCACCACCACCACCCGCGCGCCTCGCACCCGCGCTCGCGGCCGCACTCGCGGCAGGGCTCGCGGCAGGGCTCGCGGCAGGGCTCGCGCCAAGGCTCGCGCCAGGCCTCGCCCTCGCCCTCGCCCTCGCCGCCCTCGACGCACTCGCACCACCGCGTCACCATGCACCGCTCGCACTCGCCCTCCTCGTCGTCCTACACCGAGAGCGAGAACCAGCAGCGGGCCGCCGCGGCCGCGGCCCAGCAGCAGCACCAGCAGCAGCCGCGCAGCGCCAGCCGCGCCAGCCGCGCCAGCAGCCGCCACACCACGCCGCCGCGCTCGCGCTCGCGCTCGCGCAGCCCGGCCGCGCGCGCGCCGGCCCCGCGGCGCCAGTCCACGCCCTCGCCATCGCCCAAGCAGCTCTTCCAGCCGGTGCCCGAGCCCTCGGCGGCCAGCTACGCGCAGCAGCGCCAGGCCGCGGCCGAGGCGGCCGCGCGCCTGCTGCGCGCCCACGACCTGCGCAAGGGCTCCTTCGCCGAGCTCAGCGACGAGCGCTGCTGCTACGGGCTGCTGCGCAAGCAGTGGTTCACCGTGCACGCCCAGGGCAGCGCGCAGATCGACGTGTTCTCGAGGTTCGCATTCCCCTTCGTTTTCGCGCTCTTCAACGCGGCCTACTGGTACACCTACACGACGGCGAACGAAGACAACGTTGGCCAGAACTGACGATGCCCCGCTCGCTCGCGCCCGGCCCTGTTCCTCCGCTCCCCGATCCCTGCCGCGCGGCCGTCTTCCCTCCCCGAGTGCCTGTGCGCGTGTCCGTGGCTGCGTGGCTGCGCGGTCGGCGGTCGGCGGCCGGTCGGCGGCCGGTCGGCCGGCCGGGGCGGAGGGCCGCGCGCGCGCCCGGCGCGCTCGAGAGCGCGGACCCGCGCCATGAAAGTATGTCGCCACGCGCGTTAGCGGGGCGGGCGCCCGCTCTCGGCGCCGCCGCGGGCGCGCGCGTCCGTCCGGGCCGCGGCCGATCGCGACTGGTGCAGCCGCGCGCCGCCTGCGGCTCGCAGTGCGAGCGGCACGGCCGCGGCGAGAGGCGTTCGGGACGGGCGCGCCCATCGCTGGCCTCATCGCAGCGAAGCATCGTCCGAGTAATGCATTACATCCGGGGTGACCGCGCGCCACTCGTTGAAAAATTAAAAAGCAAAAAAAACAAAAAAAAGTGGACAGACTTTTTATAGTGGGGCCATGTATAGCCACGGCCTATAATCTCCGCAGACAGATAAATCGACGACAAAAATGATGGATAAAATCTTCTTCTTCTAGCCAAGTAAGCAAAACTAATTGTAAGGCTCTAGCGCGTAAGCTTAGCGTACGAACGGCAGCAATAGATTTGCCGGATTACACGATTATCATCGACTTTGAACGAGATTCGAAGAGGGGGACGATGATCGTGTACGCCGCCGTCGCAGGCACACAAGCAAACTGTGCGCGCGAACGCGCGACCTCATTAGAACTTTATATATATACATACGATATTAACAATCGGGGATATAAAAATGCAAGTGTAGTTAAGAAGTGACGTGAGAACGTGAATGGTTAATGGAATATAAATTATATATATGAATATATGCAAGAGAAAAATATGCCTAAACGTATCGAATGATTATAAATAAGTGCAGGCGAAAAATCCAAGTATGATGTTGATTGTGCGGAGGAGACGCGTTTTTTTCTCTTTTCGAAAGCGAACGCTACAGGATCTTTGTGCATCCGATGCTCCAGATGCAGAAAACTGTCGCGCTCAAAACTAAGAATCACAAGGGAACGCCGAGTATCGCGCGTTCTCGTCGGACGAAAGAATTAATAAGATAAGAGAGCTTCTCCGCGTCACGGCGATAAACGTACGACGCTCGCGTATCACGCGTTTTTTTTTTCTCCGCCTCGGAAAACACAATTTTCACGTTTGTATCTCGAAAACGATAAAAAAAGACAAAAAACAGGCAACAAAAAAAAGAAAAAATGAATAAAGAAAAAAATAAAATAAAAAAGAAAATACAAAATACACGCGCAAGGTAAAGTAAAAAAAGAGCGCCGCGAAGTGTTGGCGAGCGTCGTGATACGCGCGATTGGCGCACTTGAAAGGGAAAAAGAGGAATCGAGAGGGGCAAAAGCCGTGCCGCAGGGCAGCTCGTTTCTCGTTAGCTCCGTTAATTGGAACATATGTATAACGGTATATATATATATATATATATATATACATACGAAGACGCGCGTGCACACACACACACACACGCACACACACGCACACGCACACGCACACACGTAAACGCACACGCATACAATCACGTGCGCGAGACAAAAGGAATTCGCGTTGAATTTATTATACATATATAAATATATACATATAAATGCGCAGGCGACTTTGGCGTTGGCCGTGCGGGAGCGCGATACTACCAGACGTTTCGCGATCGAACGCGCAAGGCGCGCAGGGAGCGCTTGGCTCCGCTCGTTCGGCGCGTTGGCGCGACCGACCGAGTGGCAGCTCAATTTGTCGCGCGCCACGTCAATCGAGAGCCAAGGCGAAATCGAAGCCTCGAGCGAAATCGAAGCCTCGAGTGTCCTTCCGAGGCGGGAACGCTCGCCGGCCGACCGCACGACCAAATGGAGATTCGCACGCGCCACTCGAGCCCCGAGCAACCGAGAGCGACGACGGCTAAGCGCGACGAATGCATGCGGCCAACTTGGGCCGGCCGCGCTCCCTCGCCGATCGGACGGACGTTGCGCTCCCCGCATCCCGGAGCCCCGCGAGCCCTCGAGCAGAGCGATTCGCCAACGACGCTCGATTTACCAATCGCGACTCTCTTACTAAACCACGAGGGCGGTGCGACTTACTCCCGACGAACGAGCCGCCGCGGTTGGCGCGCCAGCGACGCCGACGGACGCGTCACTTGCTCTCCTCGTTGCGGTCAAACTTTCATCATATAGATTATTAATGAAAAACTACGCTATACAAATATAAATATACATAACGGGCGGAGACCGCGAACGAAGCAAGTAGTCGTGCAAGGGAAGATTGCGCCACCGCCGACGTTCGGTAAAGTCTCGCACCGGGAAAAAGAGCAGCGCGGAACAAACGAAAATAAAGATACGTATACATATGCATATATATTTATAGATGTAGATGCACAAGCGAAACGGGAGCGCGCGCGAGACTGCGCGGCGAAATGAAAGGAACGCGCGCGCGGGGCAGCGATGGAATCCGAAGAGATGAGCTTTACCGGGAGAAAAGCTATGTAAAACTGATATAGATATATATGTGTACGTATATGCGGATTCGGAAAGTGCCACCCAGCCCGGGGGACTCCGACTGCTCGTTCGCAGCTGCGCACGTATGTCGTACAGGTAGAGAATATATCCGCTCGGGCGTCGCGAGTTCAGAATGTCGCGAGCTTCTAACCCAACTCACATACCTACTTACTCTTTCCATCCCTATCTCCCCCCCCCTCCCGCTCCTCTACCCCCTTTCCCCCGGAAAAACGAGAGTAAAACGAGCTTTTAAAACCAGAAAATCTCGCGGATTGTGAGCTCGCGCTCGCCAAATCAAAAGGGGGAATAGGTAAGCTAAGTACGTGTGTTTTTTGCATGTCGATTAAACCCGTAAAGAAGACAGAGGCAGCTCATTTTTATTGTCAAAGCGACGCCCGCACGCTGACAACATCTTATTACCGGGACAACAGCAAGACGCAACGTGCGCGCGTATACTCTCGGATTATTAAGCATATTAACATACTCACACGATACGTAAACACACACATAAAACACGTACGTCTTTTTATCGCGTTTACGGACAAAAAACAAACAACACATAATTATTACATAGTTATCGAGGTAACGACCAGACTGTAATCAGTGCTGGCTGAAAAAAAAACAGATGTTTTTGTATTATTGTTTTGATGTGAATCGGAGATATATAGCTTATCCCACGCCACGAGAGACGAGGTGTAAACAAGGAAGAAAAAGCAAAAGAAAGAAACAATTAGAAACACGCAAGGGAGGATGGAGATAATTTTTAAACAGCGGAAGTTGTGTATAAATGTTTAATCGAGTTGAATTTACGAAATTTTATTGGATCTATGGGCAGGTTGAGTAAAAAAAAGGGAAGAAGAAGCAAGATCAAGTGGAATGTTATGTACCGCAGGCTCGTTATGTGTCGTCGGCAATTACCCATTATTATGCCTGAGTACGCTTTTACACGAATCATCATTAACACCCATGAACGCAATGTAATGGCGCATTCGATATCTAGTTAATATGTCTCTATTACTGTGTTGCATTCGTTATATAATATGCATTTCCGTTTTATTATCATATATATATATATAGTTTATCGATTATTATTACCGCAGGTATGAGATCGTTATAGTTTAAACCTCTCCGTCGTCCCGTGAAAGTCGAGAAAAAAATATTACATAAAAAAACACATAATGGTAAATAAAAATAACGTAAAATAGTGTGGACAACAGGAAGAAACCCAGGGAATATAATTGTTAACGGAAAAAAAAGAGAAAGATAATGTACGTAATATGTGTATGCACGCATGCGGAAAAAAAATCATCGATGTTATTCTAAAATAAAGAGAAAAATTACTCACAAAAAAGAAAAAAAGATAAGAGAAGAACAAAAGTATGATTGAAAGATGTATAATGTCGCGTCTTATACCTTGAAAATCGCACACACTGATGAATAAATGATTTTATGAGATATATATTACCATTCGCGACCGTTTTTCATTTTAAAAAATTAAAATTTCTTCTGAATACATTATACACACTCGAAAGTATAATTTTTCTTTTATTCTTGCTTTTACAGCCAATTAATAATCAAAAAATAAAACACACATTTACTCACGCAAAATGTACTTTAATCGGATTATCGTAGCAACGTTGTGTGTGGATCGTTTGTAATCGTAAATTAAATTTTTTACATTTCACCTAGTAATCAGAATTACGACAAGCAGAAAAATGAATACTGTGTTGTACATTCGTCATCACTTTATCGTCTGATTATGTATGGAAAATATACGAAAAAAGCTAAAAGCCACAAAAAAATTAAAAAACAAACAAATGTCACCTTTTTTGTGTAAAAGTGTAAAAGAAAACTTTTTGTGAATGAAATTTGTAGTAACAAATCGTTGTAATAAACATCCCGAATCCGACAAAAAAAATCTAAAAAAAGAAAAAAAATAAGAATCCGCAAGTTTTGCAATTTTATTTCCCCTCGCCCCCTTTCTCCTCTCTCGCTATCTCTACGAAAATTCCATTCCCGCAAAACACAAATTTTTTTAAGTTGCCACTCGAGAGCTGTTTTGCCTGTGACCTCCTCGAACTGCGCTGCCGCAGCCGAGGAATTCTCAGTCGGCGAAATCATTGAAACGCTCGAGAACCGAGAGAAGAAGAGGAGGAGACGGCGAGCGAACGAACCTGAAGTAGAGTAAGTATACGCTCGGTCGGACGATACCCGACAAAGCAATGAATATAAACTTAATTAGACACTGCGGCAAGTGAACTTTGGAAAAGCGTCGATATAAAACGAGCTCGTACCGAACGTTCATCCCGCGATATTTTCGCCGCCAAAATACGAAATTTCGTTTCCTGACATTGAGGAAAGTGGTTCCGCGGCGCGCTCTGACGTCATTCGCCTTGATGCGCACACACACGCATCATTCTCGCTCCCGAACAGCGACGCGCTTCTCTCTCTCTCTCTCTCTCTCTTTTCCTATTGGTATGTATCCGATAATTGGCAATATCCAATTAGGCAAACGCGGCTTACCGACGTATCGTGAAAAGAGCGTCCGAGTAGCCTTTTTAATTGGCGAGGGCCGATCGGTGAACGCGAATCGGGGTTGCGCGTCGTACGTATAGCGCGCGGGCTAAAAATAGGCCTCGCCCGCCGACGAATGACGCGCTACATTCGCGAAATAACCTTATTATAAAATACGCCTGAGCGAGCGCGTCGGCGACAGAGAGATAGATGCCTTTGACAGGCTCGCTGCGGTGTACACACGTAGCTTCGCTCGTGACGCGCCCTATCGCTTATGCTCTCATTAACGGCACCCTCTCTGTCTCTCTCTTTCCCTCTCTTCTTTTTCATGCGAATGCATCCCCAATCAATTATACTGTTTACTTCAATGCCAAGACCATTATTATTATTATTACCGTTATTATTATTGTTGCGCCAAAGAGGTTCGGTTTGTCGGATGCGGATTTGGTAGGAAGAATTTGGTGGCTCGCTTTAATGCTGATGCATTCAAAACGTTGTGCAGGACATTCGCGATATATATAGCATTGTTAATTGGGGACTGACGAGAATTTCTGTTTAACCCACTTTCATATCTCAATTGATGCGCAAAAAAAGGAAAAGGTTGAGAAGTGCACTTTAGGTTTTTACTTCTTCTCTTCATTATTTTAATATGATTCGCTTTATTTTTATCTACTACTGCCAATTCGCAAATGAGATTAATATTAGGATCGAGGACTATTATTAATCAAAATGTACTTAACTTTTTTTTGATCTCGCGGTTTTAAAAACTAGAAATGGAAGATTATAAAGTGTGAATAACGATTAAAAACGCGCAAAGAAATAAATTTTCCGCGCACGGTAATTACGCAGGGGCAAACTTAATAAAAGTGCGCTGCATAAATACGAGGGAAAAAGGGCGTACGCTGTAAATCATTCCACGCAACCGTATAAAGTTCCGCAATGCGATATGGTTAGCCATTCGTATATAGTCGGCGGTTTAAAAGCTGCCTCGGCCAGGCCAGCCGCTACTGCGTCGATGTAATATCTCCGCCAATTAGGTGGCGGATAAGAGAGTCGCCGAGCGCGCTTCTCGCCCAAGAACGCTTGTAAAACTTTCACGCAAGTGAGAAGTTGGCGAGAAGAAAGCTGGGTGTACTTGTGTGCAATTACGAGTATACGCGCTTTACGCGCGTTAGCGCGCGAGTCGATTGAGCTCCCTTCGGTTGCGCGCGAGGCAGCGCGAAACGCCTCTCGCCGCGGCGTGCTCCAACCGCTCGAAAAAGCAATAACAGTTGGCTTTTATTGTGATGAGATTTTGCAGCCGCGCTCGGCTACGGTAGACCGTAAAGCAGAAGATATACGTTACGTATGTGCGCGCAGCTTTATTCGAGACGACGACTAACGCGCACGCACGAGCGAACGCGTCGTCGGCGCCGCGCTCGAGAGGAACAGGGTCGCGAGGAGGATACGCGGGCAGACTTTTACGATCGAGGACAAAGAAAAAAAAAAGAAGAAAAAAAAGGGAGGATACGATGTCTCGTGAATAATGCAACTATTGAAATGTGCGCGCGCGTGCTTTACATGCGAGCTCCGGCGCGCGCGTTCTCGCTGAGATCCGGCTGTGTATCGCGAGAACGTCGTTTCCATCGCCAACGAGCCGCGACGATTCGCGCCCGCGTGCGATCCATAAAGTCCTCTCCACGGCCGACGAAAGAGCCGCCGGTCGTGCTTCCACCTCGTCGAGCGTCCGTCCGCGCGGCAGACGTGTGCGGCTGCGCCACCTCCTTTCCGTTTTTCTATCCGAGGGCAAAAGGCGAGTGGCGGCAGGGGGGGGGGGGGGCAGCAGGAGATCGAGGCTTGGGGCCGAGCGAGCGCGCGTGCAGCGAGATACGTAGATCGAAGGTCCCGTTGCGAGCGTTGCCACGCGCGGGAGAACTAGGAAGTGTGCATAGTTCGCTAGATATCTGGCCGCGCGCGCCTCACTCCTTTATCTGGCAGCGCCAGCGACGCGTGCATTTCGTACGTATGGAATGCAGCGGGGCATTATGCGATTTGGCCTATATATCGCGCCACTTCGCTCTGTGCACGCGCGCAATTTATTCCGGGATCGCAGCCGAGCCGCTCCTGGATTATTCTACGTTATGGGCTCCGCCGGGTTCCGCTGCGTTTCCAAAATGAGACGCCAGTTGTCGCGATTCCTCTTCTGGCCCGCCGGGATATCGTCGTCGTCGTCGTCGTCGTCATCCGTGAGCAAGCTTCCATAGGAAAGTTATTGCCTGGTTCGCTTCAACACAACGCGTTGATAGTTGACGGCATCGCGATAAGATACGGCGGCTCTTTCGTAGCGGCACCTTGCGATAATGTCGACGCTCTAATGACTCCTTTAGCCAATCCATTTGTTGGCTAACGATAAGAGGTTTGTCGAACTACGTGATACAACTCAAGGATGCAGTCTAACGATATCTCAATTGAACGCATATCTCGCCTTCAATGGTAAACGCTTGCGTTATACTGTCTCTTTCGCCTCTCGGTTCCTTTTTTTTCTCACCGATAAAATTACAACTAGGCGGGGTTTAATGAAAAGAGTCGATCGTTTTTCTTTTTTTTTAAGATAAAATGCACATTTTATTTACTCGCACATTAGCTTTGTTTTTTCTTTTCTAATACATTATATAAATCTACAATTTATTCCCCCTATTAACGAGCCAATGATCCCCTAGCCGATTTGGTTCTTTCTATTTGGTTCTCTCTATCTACTTGCGCGCTTTGTATTTTTTTTTTCATTCGCTACATTTAAAAGCTCGTATCTAAAAAGTCTCCCTTCGCTTCGTAGGAAAACTACTTATCAAAAAGATCACAAACAAGATTGTACGGCGTAGAAAAATCGATTTTTTTTTTGTTTTATTTGCTTTGTTTTTTCATCTTTTTCTCTGCATTCGCTCTTTCTTAAATCAACGCAAAACTTTGTTCAATAAAAAACGATTTCGATAGATATACAACATACATAAAGAGTAACCTAACTGAACAACCTAATAACGTAACTTTGGCGTAGAAAAGTAGGCGTGACTAGTAATGTGTTAAAATAGTTTGGTGACCATAAATAAGTAAAAAAGGTAAGAAAGTTGGTTTCTTTACACTTGACATTAAAATTGACAAGAATGATGATGAAGAAGGTACTAGCTAACTGTCACAATAACGACGTTTAGAATTTAAAAGTGTGTAGTGTAAAAAGTAGCAATATCATTTTTGTTTATCTATACATATATGTCTTAGCACGTGGTGTATATCCTTTTTCTCTTTTCTTGTATCATTCACTAATCTATATCGAAGCCAGTTAAAAAATAAATAATTTGCTAAAATTATGATTTAGAATAAATGCGAGTTATGCGATACATACATATGAGGTAAATAGAGAGATTATTAACAAATTAATGAATGAATCTCTTTTGACTTGGAGAGAAGAAACATTCGACGCAAGAAGAAGAAATTCGAATATATTATGTTACGCTCATTCACACTGAATTGTCCATTTCGCATCAACGAAATACCTTAATATCAAAGGCTACAAACTACCATAACAATATAAAAAAATTTTTTGTCTCTCTCTGCTTTTCTTTCGTTTCGTAAAAAGAACGGAATCATCGTTATACAAATGGTCTTTCGCACCTTGTCAGAAATCTAATGACGTATTAGCAGCGTTTTCGTAGCTTGAAAGTGTGTTAGCGATTACTGTGAGGAACGTTGACTGATAGTTCGTTGCATTTAAAAAACAAATCATTTGAGCTTTCTTATAAAACGCCAAACAATTCTTGCAACATGTTTTTTTTTGTTTTTTTTCATTTATTATTCCCGCAATAGCGGCGAGTTTTGCGCGTGAAATTCTACGAGAAAATGCGAGAAATCTCAACGCGTTATTACTTTGCATACATCGTTTAACTCGAATAAATCTCAAGGCTCGCGAACCGAGCTTATTCTCTCTCTCTCCTCTCGATCCGCATGCACTCGCACACGCATACAATATAAAAAAAATAATAAATCCGTCCCAGGCAATCTTCATTCGATGAAGAGCCGAGAGGAGCTTGTTTTTCTCTATCTCTCTCTCTCTCTTTCTCTCTCTCACTCGCACATCTCAGTATCTATGGTCGTCATAGATCCGTTGATCCCGTCGATTCTATATGGTTGGTATGTAAGTACCGGCACCGCGCAGCAGCGTGCAGTCGGGCGGATGCTGGTTGATCGAGTTCTTGCGCGTGCGCTGCTTGCTGCGCGGTAGCGTCGGCTGCAGGTTCAGCGGCGGCAGGTTCGGGTGCTCGATCCTCGTCGGCGAGCTCACGCGGGGCCGCAACGCGCCGCCGGGGCTCGTCGTCGCCGGCAGTGTAGTCGGACCGGCGCTACTCCGTGGCGGCATGCCGTACATGCCCTGCACCGAGAATACTGCAACAAACCATGAAGACGTTAAGGTAGATGCTCGCGTAGCAGGTTGCCGTCCGTAGCACCGTGATCGCGCGGCTGGCGAGTATCCCGCGAACGCCACGGCTCGCATACTCGTCGGTCGCAGCAGCAGCAGCAGCAGCAGGTTGCAGCGCGTCTCTGGCGGTCACAACCCGAACTAAGAACGTTAATCGATAGCGAGGAGCGCGCCAGCGGCGACGTCGTTTACGTGTCTCGCCGTTTAGACCTGTGCACGCACGCAGCCAGCCAGAATGCGGATACACCTTCTCGGCTTTTTGCCTTTTCTTTCGTTTGCATTTCAATCGCGCGTTCTGACCCCCCCCCCACCCCCCATCTTCCGCGCTCCCCCCTCAGCCCACCCTCATGCATAATTCAGCGCGCGCGCAGCCCCGAAACTTAGGTCGCGGCTAATGAAATAAGCCCCGTGCGCCCGCGCACTTACTTGGATCGCACGGCTCCAGCACGTCGTCGAGCTGATAGTACTCGCTCTTCATCGAGTGCGGCTCCTCGTAATCGACGAAAGCTGTGTTGTCAAAAGCCTTCTCGTCCTTCGGCCGAGTCATAACAGGCGACGGTGCGGGAGGCTCATTGTAAGTCTGCAAAGATCGACACTGTCAGTGACGGCCGTGTGGCGTCCGAAGGTTTTCTCTCTCGAACGACACCAAACAGTGATTACACGTGGATGCAGATAGGAAAGTGTTAAATGAGAGTATAGGCATGTCGTGCGAGAAGCCAGGCTTGTTGTGCGCAACGCACTACGTTCGCGATCGATCAATTGTCGCCGGCAAGCTGTCGTGCTCCGAACGCGCCGTGCCCGTCAATTGTCAGCAACGTGCGTGCGCGACGCTCGCAGGCGTCGGACGACCGATTCGCGAGCGCTAAGAGTAAAAATGAGCGAGAAATCAATCGCGAGCGCGGCGGATAAATGACATCGGCTGAATAGTGGCCGAGCAGCGACGGCAGAAATAGGCCAAAGATCAAGTCGGAAAAGAAAGAGCGGAACATCGGCGGAAGACAGGCGTGCACAGAGATAGCTTCCGAAAGATAAAAAGTTGGTAGACAAATAGATAGAGATAGAGAGATACACACAAACGTACACACACGCACACACACACACATCTAGAGCGTGCGAACAGATCTAAATTGCGCTGGCAGTGGGCTCTTACATCCGAGTGGTATGACAAATAAATTGTTGGAATTGCCTTGAGGTTTACATGTTCAGACGGGCTCTCAGGGTAATGTCTCCTACTGTGATCGTGGTGCTGGTGATGGGCCAGGCCGAGCATGCCGCCGGCGACGTAGGAGGAGCCAAGGGCTTGCTGCGAGGGCGGCGGCGGCGGCGGCGGTGGCGGCGGCGGCGGCGGCGGCAGCTGCGGCCCGTGGCAGACGCTGCCGATGGTCTCGTAGGTGTGCTCCTCGAGGTAGTGCCTGGTGGTACCGCGCGGCGTGAGCGTGGCCCACATGACCCGCGAGTCCTCCTGGCCGCAGGGGTACAACACGGCCGCCTCGTGCTGCAGTCTGGCTATGGTCCTGCTGCTGAGGCAGGGCCCCGTGCCGCTCGTCGTCGTCGTCTGCATGCTCGAGCTCGCTGTCGAGGTGGACAGCGTGCTGTTCTTGTTGCTGCGGCTGCTGCACTGCGACGCGTCGTCGTTCACGTGACGGCTCACGTCGTCCGGCTGTCTGTTGCCATGCGCGTTTCGTAGTCGTTGTCGTTGTCGTCGTCGTCGTCGTCGCCGCAAAAGCCCAAAGCGCAAAGACACGCAATACACAGAGAGAACAGATCTTTATGATGATATGAATATGTACTCGCACCTCCACGTACTCCCCGATACGAATATGCGTGTGCCAAAAAATATCGATGCGGGATTATATTGAGAGACCAGCGAAAGGGAAGTAAGAGGGCAAAAAATACAGTGACAATATCGAAGAACGCTGTGCTATATACACTTATATCAATGATATCGATTTCATGACCGATCGTACGCGATCGAAGCTAAGTAAGCGAGTAACGACGATGTAATGCTTAGATGACGACGACCATCATGTAGATCATGTAAACGATCAGCATATAGATAAACCATCAAGAAAGCGTGAATACTTACAGTTTGCACTTGATCAGCATCGCCGCGAGCACAACGCCGATCAGTATAACGCCGACGCACGAGGATATTAGCACCAGAAGCCACGTGTCGTCGAGCATGCTACCTGCGAATTTCCAAGCAGCACCAAAGAGTATTAGTCGCAGTGCTCGGTCGCGTCGCTCGCGCACGCCAAATGTTAACCCTCGCGGGATGAGAAAATGAACTGCCGCCGACGAAAAAGAATCAACAGTGCCGCGCGGCGTCGCTCTTTTATGCATGGCGACATGCCTTCTCACTCGCACGCCCCCCCCCCCCCCCCCCCCCCACCACGGTATCGCTCAACCATCGAGATCTTTACTGGCGATACCTACGCCTACACTCCTTTTCACATCCAGCAGATATGAGTTTCTCGCGCGCGCCTCGATCACTGATCTCCCCTCGACCTTTCCGTTTTCCTCCTCTTTTCCTTGCTCCAGCCGTCCGCGTTGATTTTGGATCTCGGAAAGAGCGAGGGGCCGGGAACGCAGCCGCGCTCATGCACGCGGAAAGGGAAACAACAACAAGCCGAGCCGGTCGAACAGAGAAACAAAACAAATCCGATGACAGAGGTGATCCGGCAGCGAAATGCGCCTGCACGCGACAGGCCGCGCGCGCGGCGCGAGCGAGGGTGAGGGGCGCGCGGTCCGGCCGGGAAAAGCAGCCGTGCGGCGCGTCGGGGGAGGGACAAGAAAAACAAGGGAGCAATCGTGTACGCACCTTGCTGCGGTACCTCGACGTAGTGGACGCCCTCGGCACGCCACTCGCACGAGTGCCGGCAGGGGCTGCTGTTGAAGCGATTGTCGAGCAGGGGCAGGCCGGAGGATCCGCTGAGCGCGCCGCTCGGGTAGTAATCGGCCAGCAGGAAGGCCGGCACGGGCGGCGGTGGGATCTGCAGGATCGCGTTCGGTGGCGGGCCTATCGCGCACCACGAGCACGTCGTCGAGTCGTCCGCCGAGTCGTTGACGGTCATCGTGCCGCTGCTTGCCACCTCCGCCTCCGACTGAAACAGCCACGCAACCTCGTCATTCCTCTGCCTCTGCGGCGCTCGGCGGCAACGCAGACGTGCGCGCACACGAGCAGCAAACTCTTGCCGCTGACAGAGGCCATCAATTGATGTACCATTGACAGTCGGCTTTTAGCCGCGCGGCGGCAGCGTCGTTAATGGATTTTTGATGATACGATGTGTGCGACGCGTGTGCACGTACGTCCCAGAGCCCCAGCGCGCGGATCATTATAGCCCCATTATTTTTCGTGTACGTTTGCAGCGGCAACTACGCGCAACACGCTCGTGCGCGAAAACTGTACGAGACGCGGGGGTTCTCGCGCGCGCCGTCGAGGCGTGAAGAAGAGCGTTTCGGTGTGAAAAATGCAGGCGGATAAATCACGCGCCACTGCCTCTCTCGCGAGCCAAGTGCTCCGCGCGCGAGTTGGTAAATCAGTAAGCGCGGAGAGACTGAGATAGCGAGTCTCACTGGCTCGCTGACACACATCCGACGGAGGGCTTTAGACTCCTGACGTAGCAGCTCGACGAGCGCGTCGACGACTACGTCTCTGCGGCCGCGTTATATTTAAACGGTCGCGTACGTAAGCACACTGTCGTAGTTGCTCTTCACCGACACTATTTCCGCGTGCGAAGCCAGCCTCGTGACGCATGTGCTCGCGCGCGCGCCACTCTCTCGAATTCCTCGCGGCCCCGTGCAGCTTCGCCTCCTCTCGCGCCCGGGAGATGATCGGCCGCGCGAGAATCGAGCCTTCGCGTCCTTGCGTTTCTTCGTCTCGGTTTCGATCAACCAACCACCCCACACGCTCCACTGGCATTCGACGTGCACGCACACTCGCGCGCTCTACACCCGCGCGCAATCAATCGAGGAAGAGAGAGAGAGAGAGAGAGAGAGCACACGCCGAGACCAAAACAAGGCGAACGCTCGCACCGCCAAAGCTCGCTCCACCAAACAACACAGGTCCGAGCGGGATTCGGCCCGGCGAGCCCGAAACGAGGTGGAAAGCAAGCTACCCGCAAAACGGGCAGCACACTCACAAGGCTGGCCGCGTCTATGGAGTCTGCATCGCAGCGGCAGCGGCCGCGGCAGCAACAGCAGCGGCGACAGCACGGCGAGCGAGGATCAGCGCGACAGCCGTCGCTGGAGCGGCACTCGCGCACACGACGCCTCGCTGCGCTAAGTGGCGGCGGGCATGCCAGTGGAGGCTGTTCTCGCGTCGAACGCCGCTCTTCACCTCGGCATACTCGCGGCGAGCGTGTGCCAGCAGCGCGACGGCGACGATTCACGCCAGTGCTCCGCGCCGTCCGTCTGTATACAGACGAGAAGAGCCGTGCGCGCGCGCTCCCCCACGGCGCGAGCGAGCGAAGCAGCCAGCCAGCGAGCGAACGAGCGAGCGAGCGAGCGAGAGAGAGAGGGGCGCAGATCGAACCGGGACGCTCTTTTTCTGGTGCGCGCGCGGGCCGGAGCATCTGCGCCGTGGGCGCAGGCGCCGGCCGAAAGGATAATATTGAACCGATGCGCGCGGCGCGCAGCGCGCGCTGCGCGCGCTCCCGCCGCGTACGCGCCGCGTGCGTGGCGCGCGTGCGGCGGCAGCGGCCCGAATCCCTATCCTATTAATTGGGCACCCGCACCCCCGCCCTCTCCTCGCACCTTCGGGCAGCTGCTGCTCCGCGCGACGGCCGACGCGAAAGCCCCGGCGCGGCGGGGGCGGACGGCAAAGTCGTCGTAACTGGCCGATTGCTGTACGCGCGCGCGTGCCACTTTGCTTCTTTTATTGCGCGGCTTTACGATGTTTGAGCGGAGGTGTGAGAATTAATGGGTCGATCGGTGCCGGGGCTTACGACGATTTCCGAGTTTCTCTCGCTCGAGAGAGATCAGCTGCGCGCGAGCATTTACGGGATTAATTGCGGCTGCCGAGTTTATGGCCGAGGGACCGGGGGTGGAATTCGGGAAAAATGGGGAGATCGACGTGCACGGTGCCGATTAATAATCACGATGATCCGAGCCTTCGGGGTTGCCGAGCCACGGGCGTGAGTGGGGCGAGAGTGGAGGCACTAAGTGCTCCCACGATGCGCTCATATAGCTAATCATCCTATAATGTAAACCGTCTCCTCCGCAGTGATTACTATTACGTAGTGGCTGTTGCAACTCGAGACACCACTCGCTGCCGGGCGCAAGCATTTTCAAAGGAATGGATACAGAGTCCGGCGGCGGCAAGCGGCGCGCTGCACACACCCGATAATGCAAACGAGGCGCGTACGCGTACGAAAGCACAGCGTTCAGGTGATCGCTTACGCGAGAGCGCGCGACAATTTATGCAAAATCGTCTTTACGTAACGCCCCGCTGCTCGTTTCGCGGCATAGTTCTCTCTCGCGCGTACCGCGCGCGGCTACGCCTTCGTGGAGCGCACAAGGTAAAAGTCGTGCGGCGGAGCCGTCGCGTTTTTTGTCACTGCAAAAGGAAGCGAACGAGTGTCGCTCGCATGTCCCTCATTTACTCGCTCGCGCGCGAGTGCGTGTCGCCAAACCACCTCTCTCTCTCTCTCCGCGCTGTTGTTTGACAAGCGCCCCCCCCCCCCCCCCCCGAAGCTGAAAGGAGAAAAGGAAAGGGATATTGTCGCACGCGCGCGTTAACTGCTGTGACACACTGGATTACTTGACGGCAAATTTCTCAACGACGCTTTTCGATCGTGATTTTTCTAATTACTCTTTCTTTTTGTCGATCTCGATGGGTGTTTGATCGCTTTACGAAATGAGATCCGGCGAAAGGAGAAACGCGATAATTATATTGAATGTCGGGAGAGCCCATACAAGCCCATCAAACGCGAAAAAATAGAGGCGAGTGCGCGAATGCCAGTGAAGACGTAAAACTACTCCCAACAGCCGTGAGGTATTAAAGAGAAAGAGAGAGAGAGAGAGAGAGAGAGAGAGAGAGAGAGAAGTCGGTCGGCAATTAAAGCGGCAGAAAAAGAACGAGTGTCTCGACATAGCTGTTAAATCATTCACCTCAGCTCCCGCATCCAAATACGATCGATCCGTAGCGTTCCGCTCTCCTCTGCCAGCTCGCGACAATTTATAAAGTTTCCTTGGCGGTCGCACAAGGCAATCATCTCTCGCTCTTTTTTGACCTTCCCCCCGCATTTGGCTCCTCTAACGTAATATTCAACAAAAAAAAGAAAGGAAAAAGAACACACGAACCATTTAACTTTATCGCGTACATATGATGCACACATGTAGCTGGTCTACCTTCTTCTCTTGCGTGTGTGCGTGTGTGTCAATTCCCTTCTCTTCGTGTGATCTTGCTACATCTCAGTATCTTTCACACACGCACATACGAGCTCGTCCCGTAAACGCCACCATCTCTCTCTCTCTCGCACGCTTTGTCGTGCGCTTATACACACACATACTTGAGTTTAGAGTCACGTACGAATAAGAGGATAACAAACAGTTAATGCACGTTGTTCCGTTATAGTACCTACGACAACGACAGTTATCGCACGAGCGTTATTAAATGCTGTCGTTGTTATCCGAAAAGTGTCAGAAGGAAACAAAGTCTACGAATGAATCGTAGTCGTAGTCGTAGTACGACGAGCTGCCTGCCTATTTCGGGAAGTTAACCTTGAGTGCAAGGATGTCTATTAGCGAGATCTGCGAGAACACCAAACTCGCCAGGGAGATGGCACTTACTGGAAATTATGACACTTCTGGAGTTTATTACCAAGGTGTTGTCCAGCAAATTGGCAGGTTACTATCTAGCATCGTCGACGCCAGCAGAAAAGCCAAATGGCAGCAAGTACAGTCACAGATCGTTCAGGAGTTTGAAAAAGTCAAGGCCACCTCCAGCACGTTGCAATTATTTAAAGTTGAAACACACAGTGATAGGCTCATTGGTTCGTTTTGAATAGCTTTTATTGTTCAAAAGAAATTGTTTGAAGGTTGCTTTGTGTTGGTTATGTGCAGTGTTTACCTGCTCGATAACTTTTCTTTTTATCGAGGTCCAAATTGACAGCCTTCAAATTCTTTCTGCTACAATTGTTTATGTGTACAAATTATAATGGTTTATTTATTAATATGTTGTGTATAGCTCCAGCATGTATATCTTATGAAGAGGCAGCACAAAATACTGCACTCTGGTCATGTGGACCTTCTAGCAATTGGACACCTACTCCACCAAGAGATCCGGATGTATGGCCACCATTGTCACCTACAGAACAAAAGTGAGATATTTTTTTTATTTATGTAGAATAGATTTTTGTTGAACAATAATTTATGAGTGTTTTTTCAACATAGAAATTCAAGAATACTGCCAAGAAATCAGCAACAAAAGCCACCAAATCGATCCAACATACGTAAGCCTAGTATAACATCTGCTAAGAAAACAGATGTTAAACCAACAACTCGCAATAATCAAAAAAATAATGGCACTGATGATAAGAAAAATGTTAATTCAAACAGTGTAAAGAAAGATGATGTAAATAAGGTATAGTTAATTTTATGTAATACCCTCATAATGTTATCATCGAGTGTAGTCAATATTTATTCTACATTTATTATTCGTATTGTAGGATAAACTAGAAGGAGAAAAGACAGATGTGGAAGTTGAAGAGAGAAAGTTTGAATGTTCAGGCATTGATCGCGATCTTGTAGATACATTAGGTATAACAGCAACTAAATATCCATATCGCTTTTAATACTTTTAATTTGAGTACTATTTAATGTTTTCTTAAATATTTTCATTCTTAGAACGGGATATTGTACAGAAAAATATTGATATTCATTGGGATGATATAGCTGACTTGCATGATGCAAAGCGCTTATTAGAGGAAGTAGTTGTTTTACCAACCTTAATGCCAGACTTTTTCAAGGTAATTGATAATATCACTTTAAAATTTTTTTTATTTAAAATAAGTCATAGAAAAAATAATTCTAAATATTTCAGGGCATTCGAAGACCTTGGAAAGGAGTTCTTATGGTAGGTCCACCAGGTACTGGAAAAACTATGTTAGCAAAAGCTGTTGCTACAGAATGTAGTACTACTTTTTTTAATGTTTCGTCTTCAACATTAACATCTAAATATAGAGGAGAGTCAGAAAAACTTGTTCGGCTTTTGTTTGAAATGGTAAGATCTAAATTTCCTAGAATTTATTAATATACTGAATTCTAAAAATAATTTAATGTCTATTATTTGTAGGCACGGTTTTATGCGCCTAGTACAATATTTATTGACGAGATCGATTCTTTGTGCTCGCGACGAGGTTCAGAGTCTGAGCACGAAGCATCAAGGCGAGTAAAATCTGAACTTCTAGTTCAAATGGATGGTATAAGTTCAAATAATGAAGATCCTACTAAAGTAGTTATGGTTTTGGCAGCTACAAACTTTCCCTGGGACATTGATGAAGCTTTAAGAAGGCGATTAGAAAAGCGAATATACATACCTTTACCAAATCGTAAATATAATTCCTCATAAAGTTTTGAAATAAACTGAAAGGTTTTTAATAACTTTAAAAAAATATTTTAGGTGAAGGAAGAGAAGCATTATTAAAAATTAATTTACGAGAAGTTAAAGTAGACGAGTCAGTCAATCTTAGCGATATTGCCGAAAAATTGGAAGGTTATTCGGGAGCAGATATTACGAATGTTTGCAGGTATTTTAAAATTCGTTAAATTAAAAGGAGAGTTATAAAAGTAAAATATGTACTATTCTTATTTCTATTGAACATTTTTAGAGATGCTTCTATGATGTCTATGCGAAGAAAAATTGCTGGTCTAAGGCCGGATCAAATAAGACAGTTGCCAAAAGAAGAACTTGATTTACCAGTATCTGCAGCGGATTTTGATGAAGCAGTAGAAAGGTGCAACAAAAGTGTATCACAAGAAGACCTTGAAAAATATGAAAAATGGATGAACGAATTCGGTTCGTCTTGATACCGTAGCTCTTGTGCATAATTATTGGATTTACAAATGTATTTTTTTACCAAAGGCAGTATCAGCCTCTATTATAATGTGAAAAAAGACAACCAAATTAATCCAAATGCCTATTATTAACTAAAAAATATCATTTTAAATGTAAAATATGACTGTCGTGGGACCAGTAACTTCAATCATCAATGTGAAGGGTACCTACCTATTTTATGCTATTGTTGAAGCATATATTACAAGTAATTTGCTTGCAATTTGTACTTAAAGCTATCCTTCGCATAGGTTTTCATTCAAGTTTCATGGTCTGACATGTAAAATTTGACTACGCACAATTAAAAAAAAGTATGTTATACATTTTTAATTCTTTTATCTGTTAGTGAATAAATTTAATTATTATAAGTATAAATGTTTATTTATATATTTTTAAGTAATAAAATACCATCATGTTATAACAAAAATAAATTCATTTTTTATTGTAGAGAAAGTAACATAAATTTTAAGTAATTCTAAGCAAACTTAATTAAATTTTGGCCCACATCCTTCCTTTATTAATTTTTTTCTTTCTTCATCGGTTTTTTTCGTTATTGTTGGAGGGGTATAATTTTTAGCATGATCCACCCTGATTGTCCTTCCTAGAATCTAATTACAACAATAGATTATTAAATACTTATTGAAATCAGCAATAATATAATAGCAACTTTACCTTTATTCCATTCAGGTTGTCAACTGCAACAATTGTACTGAGTTGGTCTTCATAACAGAGAAAACCATAACCTTTAGATCTACCTGTTTCTTTGTCTCTGATTAAGTTTAGATTGACAGGTTCTCCATACCTATAAATTTAGCGCACATATTTTATTCAGTTTCATTGAAATGATTTAGTAAATATTATAGCATATTAATTATTAAAATTTTACTGCGAAAAGATAGTAATCACGTCGCCTTCAGTCAGTTCAAAAGGTAGTCCTCCTATAAATATCCATGCACTGTCGTTATAGTCATCATGCCAGGATGTTTTTGTATTTGTATTTAATTCCTGAGCACTTAGTTTCGTTACATTTTTAACATTCCTACAATAACAAATTGTTAAGATGTAAATTTTTAAATGCAATCTGTGTATTCATACTGATATATAATTTACTTACGTCAAAGGATTCATAACTGAGTTTAACAAATATTGACTTATTCAAAGTAAAGAGAAAACTTTGAACTCGAATTTTTTTTATATTATTATAATAATTAATGCATAAAATACATGAAGATATTTTTTATAAAACTCCATTCACTGTGATCCATGAATAGTGAAGGCAACTATGTGTATAATATTATATTGGTTGCGCGGCTGCAACTGCGCAATGTGCAATTGCTACTGCGCAACCGGATCCATGCATCTCAATAAGACCTCTGAAAGATAGTCACGTGGTACAACAATTCACGTGTATGTTACATACATACATACATACTACACGCATTTGGTTAGACGCGCGAAATAAATCGTTACATTACATTTTAAATTGCATTTTAAGATTATGCTAATTATTCATTATTACTAATTAATAATCTGATTTTGTCAACTGTAAAAATCTCAAAATTATTGTCGTTATGGTAATAGTAATAATAACAATAATGCAGAATAATCATGTCAGAGTTGGAAAATTCGTTAAAATAACCATTTTGAATGTGATAAATTGTGAAGTTTAAATATACGAAACATAAATGTTTTATAATTAAATCAACTTTCCGATTGCAAACTATAACTGACTAATGTCGTAAATAATCAAGTGATAAGTCAATTAATTATTTTGTACGAAAATAACAAATTAATTTAAATTTTTAACTTTAAAATCTTAACAATCAATTTTAAATAATTTTATTCATTTCGTCTTAGCCGTGAAAAGTCAACTACAGTTTGCTGTTTATAGCTGTATATATTATAGTTAATTTATGAATAAGATTATACATCTCAATATGTTATAGGAAGTAATAATATTTGACAATTTTTTCTATATTTATGTATTTTAAATTATGAAATAATTTTCTTATTTCTCTCAAACTTTAGTTGATTATTTAATATTCAAATTAGACAGTTATAAAATTTTTAAATTATATAATCATATCATATGTTTCATTGTGTATTGGAGTATTTAAGTTCGTTTGCAAGAATGTTAGTTTATGAACAGCCTATATAAGTTGACACACAAAAAAGAAAAATGCGTTCATGACACAGATAAAAGTGTCATGAACGCACGAAACGTGTCTAAATAGTATAATTACGAAAGTGATACCAAGCATACCGTAAGTGTACAACTTATTGGCTTATATTTTAACATGGCGTCATATTGGAGGCGTTTTTGATTGGTTCACAACTGCAAATTGTATATAAAGTACACCAATTGTTTACTTCGTGGATGTGATGGGCTACAAAAATTCTATAAATCTACTTGATAACTGTCAAGTCTTTCAACAATTAAAGATTACATATTTTTACACTTTTCACTTATCATTAGCAAATGGTCTATCGTTACACGGTGTTGTGTTGCGTTAATTATTTTGTTTCAATTTTTTCTCAATTTTAATGCTTGACTCGAAATTTACAGACAGCATATTATTATGTATGATCTAAAAAAATTGGAAGAAGACGCCAAAAGTGCAGCCACAAAGCATGTCATTAATATGCTGCAAAGACCAGGTCAGTTGGAAAAAGTTGATCAATATAAACGCCGGGTTACCAGAAAGAAAACGTCAGTGGAAACCATGCTAAAAACTGCAATGCAAAGTCAATTGGACGGTGTAAAAGTAGGTTTTGATCAGTTGCAAAAGTCTTTGTCTAGTATTAAATTAATCAAGGAAGAGCTAGATTCTGTTGGGAAATTGTTTGAATCTGCACCAACATTTAATGCTAAATTACAACAAGTTCAGTATGAAAATATGCGACACTCTCAGTATGTCACAGCCAAGGAGAATTTAAAGCACATATTTACTGTACCTGAAAGTGTAGAACGCACAAAAGCATGGATTAATGAAGGTAAATTGCTGCATGCTCATCAAAGCTTGATGGATCTGGAAAGTTCTAGAGATGATTTACTGTATGAGTTACATAAATTACCTAATGAGAAACCAGCTGATAAGATTATGCTAAAGGCATATTTTGAGGATGTAGAAGATCTTTCTCAAAGAATGGAAAAACAAATAAGATTAATTCTTAGTAGAACACTAAATACTGTGAGAAAAGAACCAACTATAATTGTCACAGTGTTGAGAATAGTTGAACGAGAAGAAAAAGCGGACCATTATGCAGTGCAAAGGCATAAACAAACTGGATTTATGCCTCCAGGAAGACCAAAAAAGTGGAAAAATATTGCTTTTGAAGTATTGGAAAAATCAGTAGCAAATAAAATAGAAGGTACCCACATAGATCAGAGAGCCGATACTAAAATGTGGTTGGTGAAATATCTTGAATTAATAAGAATACTTTTTGTGGAAGACCTAAAAGTTATAAAAACTTTATGTGTTCCTTGTTTCCCACCATCATATGATATTGCTAACACACTGATTCAAATGTACCATACAAGTTTATCTTTACACTTGAAAGATATTGTTAATGAGGGATTGGAAGGAAATGAATATGTGACTTTACTAGGATGGATAATGAATACATATAATGGACCTGAAATGATGGGTATACCGGAATTAAAAATCAATGTCGATGAAATTGGACCATTACTGAGTAAAGAAATTTTAGATGATTTACAAGATAAATATTTGAAAAATGTGTTGCAAAATTTTGAAGATTGGATGAATAATACATTGGAAGGTGAAAAAAATGACTGGTGGAAGAAAGAATTATCTGGTATCAATGTACATGAAACTTACCATCATACTTCAGCTCCTGTTATCATTTTTCAAATGATTGGACAAAATCTTACAGTAACTAAAACTATAAGCCAAGAATTGACATCAAAAATGTTAATTCTTTGCATTGCTCAAGTTACTAAGTATGGCTTCAGATATAGACCAGCAATAATGGAATTTAAAAGTAAACATTTTGAGGATCGAAGTCAAGTACTTTATTTCACTCAACATATGATTGCTGTTGTTAATAATTGCTTGCAATTCATAGAATTAGCGCAACAAATGAAACAGCAATATTGGATGATCAATACTAATGTTGAAATTGCAACTAAATTTGAAGAACTTGTTGATAATTATCAGAAACTTCGAAATGAGGCAGTGTCAATTTTACTTGAAGAGTCATTCCTGGATTTAGAACAACATTTCCATGATTTATTAACTCCAAAATGGATGTCATCTCCAATTCCTGTTGAAACAATTTGTGTCACTTTAGAGGATTACTTTCAGGATTATAATCATTTGTCTCCCAAAAATTTTGAATATGTCATAACAGAGGCACAAAATTTGATTGCAAAACGATATATTTCAGCTATGTTACAACGTAAAATTTCATTGAAAACTTATGATGAATGTTTGACATGTACGTCAAAAATAATAAGTGAAGCTGAAAAATTAAAAGCTTTCTTTTCAAGACTTGCACCTCAAGTAGAATTAGATTCTCCATTTGAAATTATCAAACGTCTTGCAGAAGTATTAAGATGTGAAGATTCTGAAATTCTTTCTCTCGACTTGCATTCATTAGTAGAAAAGTATCCAGACATTACTGATGATCAATTAGTTAGGCTTCTTAGCCTTCGTGGTGACATATCAAGAAGTGAAGCAAAAGAAAAAGTCTCTTATATACTTGAAGCTCAACGTAATAGAAGAACTGTTCAATCTAATCCCCGTAGTATATTCAAGCACATTATAATCCAAGACAGTTTTTTAAGTTGGAAATAGTAATATGATTATGTATAACAATGTTTTTATTTAAAAATATGACAAATTTGTTATAGATCATATAATTTATAATATGTTAAATTTGAGACCTCGGAAATTTGTAGATGTAATCAGTTTTTTAAATATTAATCTAAAAAAACGTTAACAATAATATTGCATAATTAATTATCAAGAATGATATTAATATTATTAGCGTGTTAATGAAAATATTTTTTATATTTTAATTATTAATAGGTGAGTTGTATCAAAATTTTACAGATGGATAAAAAAATGAATAAAATTGATAACAAATCATTTATTATACACTAGTAATTTTTCAATTTATACATTGATATCAAAATATATCATGTATTTACCATTTTTTTCGTAAAAAGTATTAATTTAGCAAATTTATACATTATTTATCATGACATGAATAAAATAAAATGTATAGTTTTAAATTGTAGAAGTTGATCATTTTATAAAAAATATGAGAGGTAGATCTTAATCATTTTTCAGATGCAGCTTTTTTCTTTGATTCTTCAAATGCTTTGAGTATCATTGGATGGATGGCTGTATTGAATTGCTTTAAAGGAACACGTTGTTTTGGATGAGCAAGAAACTTCCCCATTAAATTATGTAGTCCTACAGCATCTCTTGATACTTCCATAATATATGAAGTATTTCTAATGTCTAATTTTTTAAGTTCAATGTAAATTTCTTCACATTTGTGTTTTTGACAATTTAACTCATGTATGTACAATACATCAAAGTAAAAATTTGAGTTCTTGATAAGTTCCTGCACAGAACTATCGGCCAAATTAAATCTTGGAATAATATTAGATCGAGTGTACAATAATATTACCCTAACCACATAATCATCAAGTAATTTTTTATTTTCTGATACCTGTTGATGCACTATATTAAAAATTGGTTGTATATTAAAATATTTTTCATGTTTGACATTGCTTTCTTTAATGGCATCTAATGATGGAATTATGTCTTCTTTTTTAAAATTAGAATGCCAATTAACGTTTTGAGAATCCAATGTCATTATGGCAAATTCATTTCTTAAATTAAATGATAACTTGTTGTGTATAAATATTTCACTTATACGCTTTGTCATCAAAAGTGAATTGTATTTATCACCATTTTTTGTTTTGAATCCAGTTGAATTGGGTTCAATAACTGTGTCAATTACTAAAATAATTTTTTCCGCTACGTCTAATGGAATATCCATACTGACAGTTTTATTATAGCTAAAATTTTTTACACGTTAGCAATTAATTTTATTATAACACACAAGATATAAAACAAACCATGATATAAATTATTTCTCTCGATGAAAAACCAGGTCTTTACAGATTTGGTACTTATCAAAACAGCTGTATATACAATTAGTCAATCCGTGTGTGGGAAGTACGTAGCTACCTTGTGGAGATCACATACATATATATGTGATGTGAAATGTAAGCCAGTGTTGTTGCGCGTAGTACAAAATCGGATGGACTATTTTTATTAAATCATGTCAATCTTTTACCATATAAGACAAATTTTACAGAGTATAGTCAACGAGTCTGACATTCGAAATTAATGAATTCTCAATGGAAACTAGTCACGATCATTATCTACAATGTAAATCAACGAAAATAAGTTCCAACAAAACCTCGAACAGAGTATTCTAACCTGAAATGTGTTTAATATGTTTACATTTATTTTGTTTTTAAGTAAGTATTTGTTTGCGTATGTGTCATTTCAATGTCGTCATTCATGATTGAAAAGCAATAATCTGTTCGCATATTGAATGATAGTTACGCTTTTTATAGGTATTTTTAGTGAATCAAGATGAGTTTGACAGATTTGGTATCAAATATTTTTGGGCCAAATTATTTTCAGGATCTAAATTCCTTAAATCATGATTCAAGTAATAAAGCAAATGCTGAGTATGTATATTTAATAATCCACATGATAAAACAATAATAATAATTCAAAGATGAAAGTATTTATCTAACTTCATATTGCAGAATCCAACAGATAATAAATATTATTGAGGAACATGTGAGTAATACATTTATGAAAGATTTTGTAAATAATGTAGAAGATACAAGAGAAGGAAGACTTGGGCCAAAACTTGTCAGATTAGATACTTCTAGTTACCATGGCTTATTTATAGCGTCTCCAGACAGACTTGCTGTTCATTCGCAAAGTAATTTCAGTACATTGAGAGCAAATACTGGTGTCTTTCAAGGTAAATGGATGTATGAAGTTCAATTAGGTTCAAAAGGTGTCATGCAAATTGGCTGGAGTACAGTCCAGTGCAAATTTAATCAAGAATCCGGAGTTGGTATGTCGTGCTTTTACTTGTGATATTTAGCTTTTAGAGATAGCAGTTTAGTATGTTATGATTACATTTGGTGGTTTGTTAACAGGTGACATTATCAATTCATATGCATATGATGGCAATCGAGTGAGAAAATGGAATGTGTCAACGCACAAATATGGAGAGTCTTGGCTTACTGGGGATATCATTGGATGTACAATAGATATGGATGAAGGCACACTATGTTTTTACAGAAATGGAAAAAGTTTAGGTGTGGCTTTTGAAAATATATCAATGGGCCCAGGTATTGTTTATTTTCCAACAGTCAGTTTGGCATTTGCTCAAAATCTGACTGCAAATTTTGGAACAACACCAATGAGATATCCTGTAGAAGGTTTTCAATTACTTCAAGAAGCTCCAGTTTATCAATTGCAAATATCAAAAGCACTTTTCCAATGGCTGGAAGCTTTACTTTTGCAATACAGAGACATAGATGAATTCGAAAAACAATACAAGGAAGAACAAATTATAAGTGTCAGAGCCTTTTTGGCATGTCTAGCTAGAAGCATTTTCAAACAAATTGGTCCACTTATTGCAATACCTTTTATTACTCAAGAGATTTTTGTGCCATTTATTAAAAAACTTGCAAAAATTGACAGTACATTGATTTACAACTGCTTAGATCTTATGTGGACATTTTCAGAGAATCACGAAATTAAGAGCTGTTTAGAAACTACTGTTGCCTACATGTCTTCTGTATTTCGTCAAGTTTCTATAGTTCTAGAATATCCTGACCAACGTACAATTCTGGAGTTACTGAACTGTTTGTGTCAACACACCAGAACTAGGCAACATCTATTGCAGTTTATTTTATTTGACAAAGTGAAATTCGCAAATTTCGTTCACGTTAAGCCATTAGATGAAGACTGTTTTAGTAATGTTGTAAATAAAATATGGTATGATACCAACCCCTTAGATCCGTCAATTGAAGCAAATAAAGTGCAATATTTAAAGGCTTGTGATAAAATAAAGTATTGGGCATCAGGTACTTTCTTTTTCTATTTATTTTAGTACAATTCATATAGTATATTGCTAAATAAACTATTTTCTTTTGCTATAGAGGTGGAAGCACTCCAGGTGGAGCTTTTGACAATACTTTTAAATAATAATGATGGCAGTGCGACCACGCCTACTTCAAGAACAATGTTTTTAAGAAAGTTTCGACGTTTTGTTCAAGAAAATTTAATGTCTGGGCGTGTAAGTTTCATTTCCTGAACATTGAGTTAATTGGTCTTTATGCAAAAAATTTAGTCTGAACTTTTTCAGCCTATGTCGATGTATCAGACTTCATTACCGCTAACACTTTGCTGTTTTCACCGTCTATTGGTGGCTTTTAGAATTTTGTGGGATAATGAAATTGGAACAAATCTACACTATATACCCTGCAGGTTTATAAAACTTTCTCTACCTTCCACTATAAATTTATCTTTCGTTTATCTTATGTAAATATTCGTTATTTCAGAGCATTCTGCGACGCGACGATTGATTATTTAGGAATTGATAGACTAGGTGGAGTGATATCTCACCTCAACAAAACGTTCCGAAATGACTTACTCCAAATCCTTGGCAGCGATCACGAAGTTCTTAATGAATCCAACGAATCGCAAGCAACGACGAACACGCAAGAGGCAAGCGTCAGAGTTGTGGATTCACCTGTATTTTCAGTTTTCGTCCGAATGATGAACATGAATTCTATAAACGTTGGAGGATCAACACTTTTAGAAAGAATAGGATACCTTCCTTACTCCAGAGAGGATAATTCCCCAATGAACTTGGGTTCGGTAGACTCAGCTGTTTCTTTATTCGAATTATTAGATGGAATTATTTTATTTTATCACGCTGCAGCGAAAAAGCAAGTTGCCAAAGTGGCAAGCATAAGAGAGATCATGTTAGAATATGCCGTAGCTATCTCAGACTTGAAGACACGTTTAGATTTGGTGAAAAATTTGAAGGACGACGAGTCTTTGAGCGTGCAATTACAATTACAGAAAACTATTGACATTTTTAACAAAAAATTGAGTGAACAGGTTCGCCACATGGCTTGGGTCAAGGCTGTTGTATACTCAGAGGAGAAGCAGGAGCGTTTAGTTTGGTTGTTGAAAATAGTATTACTAACGTTGCAAAATGCTAGCGGGAGTGGAAATCTTTTCAGTTTTGTTCCAGAATTCTATTTAGAAATTTTAGTGGATTTGATCAACAATTTGAAAACTCACATGCACCCAACAGTATCCATAGAAAATATTCCAGATTTTCAAGAACTTTTGAAAGACATCGCTCAATTTTTATGTGATCATTATAAGGATGATCGTATTGTCAATGCGAATTCGAAGGACACGATGATTTTAATGCTGGCTGGTTTCGCCTCCAATCCAATAACACTCAACGCGTTAGAAAGTGTTTCTCGAGAATCGAGATTGAAGATGGTTTCGAATTTGATCAGATCGTATGAAAATAGAGCTTGGGCACAGTCAAATTTTATTTTGGTGAGATTTTGGCAAGGTAATGGTTTTGCATTTCGCTATGATAAAAGTCCACATCTTAATAAAAAAGTTGGACCAAAAATATTAAATTTAGAAGCAACGTCGCAACCTCTGCGTAAGTCGAAACTTTGTAAAAGTCATTTTGCAATTGTAGATTACTAGTAAATATTTTTTTCATTTTAGAACCGTGCCCATCTTTGGTATTCCAAGGTCACATAAAAGAAGTTCTGATGAACAACAATCAAGCAACTACGTTGTTTTTGAATTCATTATTAAATCGTTTGAACTGGGCATTCTCCGAATTCATTGGAATGATTCAAGAAATTCATAATGCGTCGTCAAGGCCAGAGCGAGTGTTCATTGAGTCGCGACAATTAAAAAAGTGTGCCACTTGCTTCGAGTTGGCTGTTTCGCTATTGAGGGTTTTAGAAATGATTGCTTCCTGCGCTCCCGATGTGTTTTGCGACTTTAATTTGTCATCTAGTGAGAATCTTCTTGCCAGGTTATCTCAGGTTGACGAAGTTTTACAAATTACAAGTTTGAAATTTATTAGAAAATATGTGTATAACAAGGAGTTTTTTACAGTTACTCTGTCAAATATTAAATCGAACTAGTATGCAGACCAGTTCTTTCCAGCACATTGTGTTATTAGATATACCAGACCTTCAGACAGTTGATCATTTTCCAATTTTAACTGCTGTTATGGGAATAATTATAGCTTTATTGAAAGATGATTTGTCATTGACTGGTAATATTTTTAAGTTAGTTTTAGTTCTATCTAAATGAATTAATAATTATATTGTTTATTGCAGAGTCAGACGAAATTCCTACAGTGACAAAAGTCTTATTAACTGAACCTAGCTTCCAAATGGCTTCTTTGTATTTTGTATTAGGTGATGTGAAAAATACAAAAATGAAAAATTTAAAACCCTTTTCATTCCAAAATTGTAAGTATCTTTAATGCAATTATTAGAATAGTATACTTTTATATACGATATACCTGATGAAAACTTCATTGTTCAAGATCAAGGCCCAGATGGAATATCACAGACGGAAATAGAAACAGTGAAGAAAGTTATTCAACACTTAGATATTGCTCGTACGAAATTACCATTAACGGAGACTCCCTGCAGCGACGACGATCTCTGCACGATATGTTACGCTTATCCGATAACCGCATGCTTCAAACCGTGTAATCATTCTTCTTGCCGCGCTTGCATAGACAGACACCTTTTGAACAGTAGAAATTGCTTTTTCTGCAAGGCAACAATCAATCAAGTCGTAACGACCGAAGGCAAAGTTTTACACGAGTTCTCCAGCGACTCGTCGACTATCGATTCCATGGACTCGGACGCGTAGCAGCCTTAAAAAACAACAAACTAAATTTATCTTGTTATCTCTGTGAAGTTAATGTTACTAACGTGAAATTTTAAGAGGACGACGGTGGTTGTAAAATAATAAAAAACGCTCTTTAAAAAAACAATTTCAAATAAAACTTTTATTTCATTAATTAAAAAAAAACTATAATACATTGTTCAGTTCTTTTTTTTTATTGCATTTTTGAAGTAGAAAAATAGGAGCAACTATATATATATACGTATATATACACACGTCAGTCTTTGTGTTTTCAGATCCAATCTCATACGTGACCCGTGCGAAAAAATTATCAAATTAAAATTTCTTTTCGTATAAAATTTATCATGATTAACAGTGATGCCAATAGTTTCTCATTCAGTCAAATTAATACAAAGTTGTTCATGTACACAAACTTGTGCCTAATTGTGCTTTGAAACCGGTAACCAAAGGACGCTGTAGTGGTTTTTTTTGTAAATCCTGAAGAGCTTCTGTAAATACTACTCCACAAACGAAAGCTCCCATCGCGGTTAGCAAAATAGCAAATATTATTAAAAATCTATCTTTGTTTAAATACAAGGAAGGATCCTTATATAAAATACTTTGGAAGAGACATATTCCTGGAAACACAAATATAAATGCAGCAGATAGGGAACCCATCATATTAATGAGTGGTGCTATGTCTGGTACTAATATTGCGATAACTAAACATAGTGTAAACCATATGATTGTTATCGCAAATCTAATTATAAAATGACAATCGACATCTTTACCAAATAAATTTAAAATTGCATCTCTTCCACAGTACAAAACAATAGGATAAGTGGTAAAATTTTTTACTGCTATTGCTATTATTGCAATTGTGAGTGTTGTACTCTTATCTGTGTAGCCTTGTAAAATATCACTTGGGACTTTTCCTATACCAAATGTTGCATATCCAAAATAGCCAACTATAGAGTATGCAAAAAAGCAGATGACCATACTGATTACTGCACAGTATGTGAATTTTTCAATTTTTCTGTCTTTCATGCAAGCATACGTAGGTATGGCAGTCATGTGGCACTGAAAAAAGGACATTAAAAAAATTAAATCAAACTTTCTAAATTATTAATGTATTTTAATAATTTTTCAAATCATACCTGGTATGCAAAACAGATGATTGGCACTATTTGTAAAACTTGGGTGGGCTCTTCTGGCCAAATGTGCACTGGCTTTGAAGGCAACTTATGATGATCTAAACTTTCATAGATTATCAACCAAATGACATAAATAATTGTAACACAGCCAATAGAGCTGGCATAGTTCAAAGCATCAAGCCTTTTGAAAAATGACAAAGGCAAAATAAAAATAACACTTGTAAGACATGTTATGAATGTCCTTGACAAATACCTATATTACATAAAATTTATAATTAATCATACAAAAACATGTTATTAAATTATTTTTATAAAAATTAATAATATTTTCTACCATGTATGGCAATAATCCATGCCAAAGTAAGTGGCAAAAACTCTATCAAATTGATCTCCTATAACTATCAAAAAAGTAACACAGCATCCAAAACTGTATATAGCCACACATATTCCACAGAAGAACAATGACTTTTGACCACATAAACCTGCAAAAGCACCTTGCATTGTTGTGGTATCTGTGACATCGCCACAGTTTGCTAGAATAACTAAGGTCGTAGTAATGAACACAAGGAAGAACAATTGAGCTATTATTGCTGTTGCAACCCCTCCTGACTTATCAAATGCTTCTGGAAAGTTTAATAGTCCAGCTCCCAATGTGGCATTGATCATTAAAAATATTGTACCCCATGACCCAGTTCCTTAAACATAGAATACTTTCTGTTAAATTAAAGAACAGGAATCTCAATGCTAATTATCTTTGAATAGATTACAAACCTGTTCGTCGATGAGACATTTCTCTAGAAGGGCTTACTGTTGATAAAACAATTCCACTGTTGATGAGACCATCTTCATCCTCTTCACTGATGTAACTCATTTTTACAGTTGAATTAAATTAAATCAAACTAGCTATTTACTCGTAGCTCAACGAACAAAAGAGAAAGTGTGATGCATATTTTTCCCCACTGTTGAGTACGTAAAAAGAGCATAGGTCAAATGACGAATCAAACAATTAATTAAATAAAACGTTAGATAATATTAGTCATATTTACAGTAGTTACGATTGCATACATTTATATCAAATTAGCTACCGTCAACATTTCGATAATCTCTTGTGGACAGCAAACGCGTGCAACAGATAATTCTACTGAAATCCACTTTGACTTTGACAATTCACTTTATGAAAAGTAATTTACGCATTTAATTCTTCTATCTACGAAACAAACAATAACAGTGGAAAGTGGAATGTAAGACTGTAAGAGGATGAAACATCACGTCAAGGGAATATTCTATCAAAATAAATATGTGTGTATGTAACTGTTACCAACGTAAATATATTTACACGACTTTATATTATCTATAATAGCGTATCTATATCAGCTTCTGAAAAGTTTGAAGCTAGAATATCATCTTATTTGTTTAGACAAATTTGAGCGATATAACTTGAGTTAATTCTTAATTACCACTTAATTTATATTTTCAAGTAAAGATCTAACATCCAATGAATATTTCGAGTTTTTTTTAAACAATTTGAATTCGACTTTGTGAAATTAAATTGGCAACAATGCCTAAATCATACGCGCAGTCGCAATCATCACTATTACGCAGCGTTGCTGCTCGAAAATTTTTTCTCGGAATCCCTGGAAATTATTGCATTACGTTAAATGGGATAATTTTTAAGGACACTGAAAAAAATTTTCCAGCGGCAACGCTGCTATTACGTTCCCAAAAAATTAGGCATGAGTGTTGGTTATTGGAGTCGAAATAAGAGACCCACCGCCATTCAATTAATCTAATCTAGCTGAAATGCTATCAAAGCCACGATGGCTCAGGATAGAACACCGATTTTTCATGTATAGATATCCGCGGGGTTTGATTCCCGGCGGGTACCAATGACTTTTTTCAAAAAAAGTGTATATGCCAAAATTAATGTGGCTCTGGTCTGGAGGTTCGGATTACATCTTAAGCTGTAGATCCAGTATCCGGGGATGGGCTTCCCGGGTACTTTAGGAGTCATTTGCCATTTGTCTTTCCTTAGAACACGATTAAATTACTATAAAAGCAGTCCGAATGTTTCTCGAAAAGACCCCCTCCCCAACTTATAACGAAAAAAATCTTAGAGAGCCACCGCCATCTAATAAACCTAAACTTAAACCTAGGGAGTCGTCTATTGAAGCTTCATTGCCGTCACTGAGATAATTAAGGCATTTAAAACAGTATTTATATTTTCTTCATGCATCTAAAAATGGAGCAGTCAAACAAACGTCAGGAAGAAGAAGCGAGGTGTGCGCTATTATTAAAGCAAAATTGAAAATAACCTTATTACAAAAATAATATTTACATATAAATATTATTTTGTATACGCACAAAGTAATTTAACAACTGTCTTCATTAATTCGATCTATAGCCATTTATTTGATATTTTACAATATTGAAAATATGTAATTTATTCATCAAGTACCTATATTTTTATCTGCATTTATCCGCATAAAGCATTGGAAATATTTGAAGACAAATCATGAACCTAAGTGTGAACCACTACACCAGAATTAATATACTTATGTTAACCGTAAAAAATCATTAAAAATATCTAGTAATTATATTTTAAAACAGTACTTATACATACTAACATCCTATGTATTTATTATTTATAAAGTATTGTAAATTATAAGTTTGCGCAACAAGAAATTTCAGAAATTCTAATTGATTTCGTAATTTTATACAAATTTGAAAACTAATTAAATTTTTCTTAAGGGGACCAGCCGGTGTTTAATAGTAAAAATTGAACGTTTTCTTTGTTAGCGTATAAACGTTCTCCTAATAAAGATATCATCATGAAACTTTTTACATCTTGAAGGACTCGGTATGACCTTTTATTTTCTTGCTTGTAAGTCTCGAAATCTCATTTAGAGGCTCTAAAACAACAAAGGGAAAAAAGTTCCCTTAATAGTAACATTTTTTGTTGTTGAAAAAATTGATTTTACGACGTCTTTTTGAACGTTAGAGTGAACGAAAATAATTTTTGAAGGACTCATTGTTTTTGTTAGGACCTGAATTGTATGGAATGAGTAATGAATGGATCCAATTTTCAAAAAAATTACTTTCTCATGTTTTTCGACCGGTTTTCGAATTTTATTAAGAAAAAATAATTCATAATTTTGGGAAAACTGTTTAACAATCATCAAAAAATAATTTTTATGAAAATCGGCTCCACTCATATATAGTATAGATATCCTAGCTATATATATTCGTCATTACGCTTACCTCGTTTTGAATTTGATCGGTAAAAGCGATTGTTAGGTTATCGAACATGCGTGCTAGGTGTTTTTAAAAAATCAACAATAAGGTCTGAAAAATAACGTGTTAGCAAAATATTTATTTTTTGTGTTAATTTTGAAATGGAGTATTCTGAACCAAATGAGAGGCCGAAAGATGAATCAAGGTGTGGTGCTCTTCGAGCGCAATTAAAAATGTGTTTATTAAAAACAGATTGCTGCAGAGTTGTGAGTGATTGATTTAAATATAACCTCAAAGAAAATATCATTTTATTTATTGTTTTTAAAGATTTCAATATAAAAATTACCAAATATGCTAGTATACAAATACCATTTGTCTTACTTTATATTTGTACCTCTTTAATCGTTTATATCAGAATAATTTTCGGATGACAGTTTATTAATAAAAATTGATTAAGAATGTGTAATTGGCTTATTAATTACTATACATGATTTGTACGATTTTCAGTATAAAATAACGCCTCGAGAGTGCTTACTAACACATCACGAGTCTGTACCAGATGAATGCTACTTATTAAGAAATACGTTTTTTGAATGCAAAAGATCTCTTGTGAGTATATTTGAGATATTAGATATATTGTTACTATACAAACAATTGTTGTAATAACTTTGTCAATTGCAATAGATTGATGCAAGAAGACGATTCAGAGGTCCGAAAGGAGTATAACTTTCAAATTATAAAAAAACACGTGCATGAAGGTTGTTGATAATGTAATCATCTTACATCATAAAGAGAGGACAAAAGATTTAAGGTAATGATTTTGGAGTTTAAACAAAGGCAAGAATGATTTAAGAAGTATAATTTATTCTTACTTTTGTTTTCTATTGTACATAATTAATAAAGTGTAGTTCTGTGATAAGTTTAGTTACCTATAAAGCAAATATGTTTGCCAATGTAAATATATACAACTGTGCTGCAAAAACGTTTATTTATTATTTTTCCAGTTGACTGTAACAAAGAAAAAATTGCATTGACAAAGAAGTGCAAATTTGTAGTCGATAATGAATACAATTTGGTTTATTTGTTTTTTTTATTTACTTTTTTTGTTCTCTGTGAAGAATTCAAATTCATTATAGCCATACATAGGAAACAATCATCTTAATTGGTTCTTTTGCCTGATATTCCTTTGTTGTATATTTATTTTATTTTATATAGTATGCAATCACAGTTGATTTTAATAGATTTTTATATTATTTTTTTGTTGGTTTTGCCGCCGTCGTTATTTATTAAACGCAGCGCGCGCATTGATCACAGTAAACAATTGCAGATATCTCGCGAGCGAAAGACTCGCTTTTATTTTATCTACAAATAAAATATAAATGAATGCTGAATGAACGTAGCAATGTGGAATGAAGATGAAAGATAGAATCTAATTGCGTCAGCGCAATTATCAGCCAAAAATATTATACAAGTGACTATATTGTCCGTGTCTGCGTTTAAGTGTACGTATATATCTATGTAATTTGAGACTTGTTTGTACTACGAAGGCCAACTCGATCTATTTACGTATTTAAAAATCTAATTACACTCGGAAACTGTCCGCCTCTTCTTTTGATATATAATACATACATAATACTTTTTGTTAAAACATTAAAACTCTCCGCGATTATAGATTCACCTATACGTACTTAATGTATGTACAAGCGAGTAAAGTCGATTTGATTTGAAATCTCTGAAAATAAAAGAGCAGCAACGTTACACGCACGGAACGTGCACGCGTATTGACACTTGGGTGTCGCTCGTGTTCCCTGACAAAAGGTTCTATACAATAATATATAAGTACGTTAACATTAAATTGCTGATATTTGAAAATGAATTAGAGCTCATCGTGTATATGTTATTCTGCTGGGCGGTGTCGATCGTTTGCAGGGTCTCTATGTAGGCGTGTTATCAATCATATCTGAATTTGGTCTAGAATCTCTGCGACACTCTGTTTGTCTGTCTCCGAGGATGGCGGTAACCATTTGTTTGAGGTATGTACACATCATGTTGTAACGCCACGCGTATGCGTGCGTAGGTTTTGGATGAATCGGCAATGCATTATTATCGATAAATCCGGTTGATCGTCGTTGAGAGAGTGAGGCTTATGCACACTTCTCATCGTATATACGGTTAAACGTGCGTATCTGAATATATGCGCCATTGTCTCGATAATATCACAGTTTTTCTCACTTAGTTTGTGATATGTTAACGTTGACGCAATCTGTAAAAATCCGCATATATGTACACGCGTTGTCGCATAAGAAATCGATTTTTTTTTATTTCGACGAGGTGATTGAGAAAAATATTGAGAAAATTATATATCGTTCTTTTCGTTTGCTTGTCGTGCAGTCCGAGACACGCCGAGAGTGAGAGAATTGTTACATGAATTAATAACAGACTGACGGCCTGTACAGTCCAACGTAGCCGCAAAGTCGTGCCCTCAAGGCAGGTAAGAGGATCGCCGCTGCCGAGAGGTTCTCCTGCAGCTGAGAGCATTCGCAAATAAGTAGGTACGTTTTGTCGCCGTGCGACATAGACTTGTGCAGTGTTATGCGCCGAAGACCCACGGATTTGGGCAGGTAACGGTACATCATGCGAGCACCTGTAAAATGAAGTAACGTGAGAGTGGCGAAATTGGCGCGAGCACTTGTGTCGCGTTTGGTCGTCTCGTTCGTTCGTTCGCGCACACGCCAATGCGAGCCATCTAGAAGTAATCGCATTATCATTGTTGGCTGTGCGCATTAAATGCTAATTTGCTCGAGGAGACACCGAGTACACATGCATTCGCCTCGGCGATAAATCAGTAGGCGCTAAAACCGAGCAAGCAGCAAGATATGCGAGATTTGCCAAGTGCGTGCACACGGGGATAAAGTAAATTGGAGAAAAAAGTGGCAGGTGTCCGTACCGGTCCAGTACAACCAGTTCTGCTCGAACTTGAGTCCGTCGTCGCCCTCGAAGACCTTAAAAATAGAGACGATATATCCGGTGGACGGAATCGGTGGTCGACCTCCGGTGGGCTCGAGCGGCGGCCTCGCGATCGTGGCCACCTCGTTGAACAGGTCCAGGTTGTGGTTGGCCGTGTAGCGCAGCTCGCGCGGGTCGAACTTCTTGAGCGCCGCGCACTGCACCTCCTGGTAGAAGTCGATCGGGTCGGTCTTCTGCTTGTTCACCACGTAGTAGGCGATAAACGGGAAGTCCGCTGTGGCATAGTCATCGTTGAGCGAGCGAGCAAGGCTTAGGGCGCGCCGGACGCTCACCGTTGCGCTCCATGTTGGTGAGCAGGATGCTCTGCGAGGCGGACGGCGCCAGCTCGGACAGCAGCTCGGCGGCGGTGTCGCGTTGCAGCACCAGCGGCCGCGACACCGGCGACTCGACCAGCGGCTCCAGCGGCTCCAGCTGCGTCATGAAGTGCGCCAGGATGCACTGCTTGGGGTCCTCCACCTCCAGTACCGAGAGTGGACTGCCGGGCCGCTTCTTGTTCGCCGCCGGCACGCTCTGCAAACGTTCGATCTGCGTCTCAGGCGTCGCGGCGAGCAGTCCCGCCTCGGCCTCGGCTCGCTTCTTGTTTGTCCCGCCGTCTCCCGTCTGCTCCCGCGAGCTTATTTTCGGCCGACCCGCTCGACCGAGCCGAGCTTCCGTTTGCCTTCGGAAAATTTCGTGGATCCGGGTAGATTTCCGCTGCTCACCGTTCGTCGAGCGGCAATATTTCGTCGTCCGACAGTCATCTCGTATATAAATCCAACGGCAATCGTGAAACGACGAGCCGAACGATGCGGCGACCATCGAGCGAGGAACGACCGCGAGCCGTTAATTGTCAAAAAATAAGAAAGAAAAGGAAGCCGAGTCGCGGCCCAAGAGGCGCGGATCGATGTCGGCTATTATTTAACTCACGCGGGCGTCGCTGAAGCCGCATACGTAAACCTCGAGAACACGCAAATCAGTACAGCCGGTCAAATATTTACGCGCGCTCACGGCAAGTGGAAATAAACAAACGGGCTCGGAAAAAACGAGAGAGGCGGAAGGCGCGCTTCCGCGTTATCCATATCGAATGAGCCGACGATCGGGGGAAGGGCGGTCAGCGTTTCCTGCCTCGCGCCACGTGGGGTCGAACGCGAGACTCGCGCTCGCCTCGGTTCCGTCGTGGCGAAGGTCGTCGGCGGCCGGGCAGACACGAGACAAGTGCTGTTGGTTACCGGGACGCCGGCTGGCAGGAATCGCTCGAGCGAGGCCAGAGGTATGATGAAGCAGTCCCGGTCGAGGGTCGCCAGTGTGATGGGCTCGCTGCGCGCGGGACTGTTGCCCTGAACCAGCAGGCCTTGCCTATTGCCATGGAAAGACACCTATATGCAAGGCATGCACAACGTGCTCGATTAATCAATTGCCTTCCTCTTCTTCGTACTCCCACATCAATCTTTCACGAAGAACCTCTTCGGCATCGATTCGCGTGCCCCTCGCCCCGCCGTCCGCGCCTTCGCGACAATCGAGCAGTAGCGCCAACACGGAGATTCTCGCCGCGACAACGACTGCTGTTATTCTCGCGAGGGCGAGGGGACGAAAAGAGAGAAAAACTATATTCGGAGCGCACGTGCCTGGGGCAGCTTTCACGGTTGCGCGAGCGTTCGGTGCTGGCCAAAAACACGGAGCGCGATGGAGTGTGCGATCTACGCGCGTCACCGTCAAACGACACACCTTGCTGCGAGAGAAAGAGAGAGAGAGAGAGAGAGCGAGAGAGAGCGAGCGAGCTCTAAATAAAACCGAGGCGAGGGCATGGGGCAGGTTTGCCACGCTGTCGCCGGCTTGCTGCACACCAAGCACGCTCGGCCTGTTTATTCGTGGCGCGAGGTTCGTCGAGCGCGACTTACGACCGTGGCGAGGTGCCGATTGGCCGTTATCGATCACGAAGCGCCGAGCTTTGCCGCGCATACAGGTGCCAGCTGATAACGACCGCATGGCTTAACGCTCGACAAGCGGCGCGCCGATCGATACGTATTGTTTAGGGAGTGCGCGGTCAGCATCGACTGCTTTCTCGCATTTGTCCGAGCGTCCGCCTAATCGCGATTAGCCAGCCCCCTTCTTCTCTCGCCGCGAGCGAAAGCACAGCAAGCTGCCGCGTTGCGTGCGCAAGCTCGCGCTCTTGACGCTGTTGCGATGACAAACAGCTACTACTTTCGTTGCAATCCAATTACATTTGTTATTCCTCTCTCTCTCACTCGCACGCGCGCGCGTGCGCGCGCTACGCCGAGAACGGCAAGGCAGATAATGCTATTCAAATGTCAGCGCGTGGCGCGCACGATAAACACCGAGATATCGAGCGAAACGCGCGGCTTTTCGACGAAAAATATTTGCTGGACGCGCGAGCTTTTCTGCTGGAAATGTACGAGAGATATTTCAGAGACGGAAATCAATAGCCTAAATTAAACGACGGGAGGAGGCAAAAAGTGCGTTTCCTCGTAAAACGAGAGCACAGAGAGAGTCTCGTAACGCGTAAAAATGCGCGTAATCTCGTCAGAAGCGTCGCGCACGAGAGCTTGGTTGGCCGCGCGACACGAGCGGAGGACCGGCCAAAACCGAGCGCGGGGATGCGCTACCTGTCTGGAGGCAGCAGTAGGAGTGGGCGGCAGCTCGGGCAGGCAGCCGAGGTCCTTGGCGAGGCCGCTCTGCTTGCGCCGCTGGGCGGGCTGAGGGGGCTGGCCGCCCTGGCCGCCCTGGCCGCCCCACTTGATGAGGTGCGGCCCCGAGGAGGTGCGCCTGCTGCTGGCGGCGCCGAAGCGCTCGCCAAAGTCGCCGTCGTTGGCATTCGCACCTGCGTGCGCGGGCGCGAACAACAGGTGAGTGCGGTAGGCTGGGCCAAAGCCGCCGCCGCCGTGCTCGTGCTCCATGCTCGTGGACGGGTAGTAACCACCGCCGCCCGCGCCGGCCAGCGTGGCGAAGTCGCCGCGGCCGCGCCGCGCGCCGGCCGCCGACGACCTGGCCGCCGCGGCCGAGTAGCTGGCGCCCTCGAGCAGGCCGCCGCCGATCCCGCCGCCGCCGACGGCCCCGCCGCCCCCGCCGCCCCCGCCGCTGCTCTTCTCGAAGTTCTTACGGAACATAAGATTCATGATTGGCGCTGCGCCGGCGTCGCTCGCGCGCGCACACAGATCCACACGCGGCGCCTAGCGCGCTCGCGACACGCGCCTCTGCGCCATCCCTGGGCGCGCTGGACCTGCTCCGGCTGGTCCGCGGCGGCGCTCAGCCGCGGGGGGCGCCTCCGCCGGCGCGCAGCCGCGCCGGCACGCTGCTGCCGATCCGGCGCCAGTGGTGGCGCGCGCTCGGGCCCATCGCCGGGGAGCGCCGCGGCGCCGCGCGCGCTCGCGCGCCAGGCACGCGCGGGCGGGCGGCCGGGCGCTCGGCACACGCACACGCACGCACACCCACGCTATACCTACGGCGCTGCTTCGCTGGCCGCCTCGGCCTTGCGCGCCCGCGGACCCAGCGCTGCGCGAGCTCGCGATCGATCCGCCAGCCGTGCTCCCTCGCTCTCGCTGCTGTTTCGGCTGCGCGCGAGCTGCGCGAATCGACTCGTCGGGGCGAGCGTCGGCCTCGCACTGACCGCGCGCGCAGGTGGCACTGCACAGTCAAAGCTCCCGCGAGCGTGGAGAGAGCGAGAGAGAGAGAGAGAGAGCGAGCACGCGCTACACCCACCCGAGTCGCGCTCTATAGGCGCCCCCTCTGTGTGTGCACGCGCGGCTCAAGGTCACGCGGCCAAGCGCGCCGGATCTCGCAATCGCGACTCGCAAGCTCGGCGCGCGCGTGCAATCCGGGGTCGAGCGATCGGCGCCTTATCGCGACAGCGAACCGCCGTGCCCTGGCCGATTTACAGCGTTCGACGGCCCCATGGCCGCCGCGTCGATGTCGTCGTCGTCGTCATCGGCGTCGCGGCGTCGAGACTCGCGACTGCGGCCGGGCAGCGTTCGTCGCGTAGCTCTCGCGCTGGCCTCACCGGCTAATTATAGCGCCGCGCGCGAAACTTACGTAAATCGTTGCACCGCGCGCTCTTGGTCTGTCCGTCGCGGCGCAGACCGGACAGCCAGACCAGCGGACCGTGGTTTGGAACAGGCCGCGATTGGAGGGGGCGCCTGGTGGGACCGAGATTTCACAGCGTAGCGCGCGTGGCTGCCAATCGAGCCTAGCTGCTTTTTACCGCAGCCGGCCGATAGTCGGAGCGTGGCGATTATTGATCGACCGCTCCCTCTCTACCTGGACGAGCGTGTCGTTCGCCGATGCTATGTCGCAGCGATCCTCCGCGGACGCATCACTCGCGCCCTGCCGGGCGGGGGGAGGGGGGCGAGCGGAGTGTCGTCCGTCCTGCCTCGAGCCGGCGCCTCTCGCCACGAGGACGACCGAGCGCCGGCGGCGGTGGCCCAGGTGGATGCCCCGTGCGTGGGTGGTCGGGGAGCCGAGCGGCGCAACTTACCGTAGTCGTGGTCGTCGTGGTCGTAGGCCGGACAGGGCAAGTAGGCGTAGCGGGGCGACGGCAGGCCCGGCTGCGCGGCCGTCTTTGCCGAGCTCATCGCACGGGCTAGGCGGCAGACGGCGCGCGACGGAGAGCTGCGGGCCCCGAGCGGCCTCGAGACAGCTGCGGGGCCTGGCCGGTGAGACCTTCCCGGAAGACGGGCGCATGCGGCACTGTGCGCTCGGGGTTTGCCGCAGAGCTCGCGGGCCCCCCACAGGCGCTCGCGAGCCTCGCTATCTCCGCCTACCCCTGCGTGCACGCGAGATGACACTCGCAGCCGGAGCTGTGCGCCTCCTCTCGCGCGATCAGCCTCCTCGCCGCTGCAGCACCGTTCGCCGGCGAGTGCGCGCGCAATGCCTACCGTGTCGCAATGCATCCGCAGCGAGCAGAGAGAGAGAGAGAGAGAGAGAGAGCACGGCGCGCTATGCTCCTGACCCTGGCCCTCGAGTGCCACCGAGCGTCGAGTCTTGGCACGGCTCCGGCCGTCGATACTCTCGGAGCCCAGGCGCGAAGACACGCGAGCGCGCTTCCTCTTCGCGGCGGCTCGTCGACCTCGTCGACTCTGCGCGCGGCGTCGGCGATGCGTCGGCTGCGAGTCGCGTTTTCTCTCGCCTCACGCGAGTATCGACCAGGATTCCGCGTGTCTATTTTCGGAGTCTTTTTACCTGGCTTCTCTTACCGCAGCTGACCCTCTTTCCTTCTCTCTCTCTCTGCGGAGAGACGGCGAGACGCAGAGGAGGAGATTGAAACAAAAACGAAGGAATGTTGTCGAGTCTTATCTTCTTAATGGTTGAGCTTTTGCGTCAACGATACGTGCGTTTGGCAGAGCGATTAGTGCGATCGTAAAAGTCAACTGTATTTTTTCGTGTTCACCGGTATGTATTTAGTAACACGTAAGCTCTTGTCTTTGATGTTTGTTCAATAGTTAGCGCAATCGGTTGCACTACATATAGCAAGCAGAGTAATATTCGCAATGGACAAAAATAAAATTCATTCTCTGTTCTTTTCTTTTTTTATTTTTAAAAAATCTAAGATCATAAACTATAGAATTATGCTATTCCTGTAAAATCAAATGTATTACTTTTTTGTGCTCGTAACATTCTGTGCGATTCGCAATGTCTATATATAACAGTCGTTCGCGCGTTTAATGATGCACGCGAGAAAAGAAGAAACAATTGACTCTAATATCGCGAAACTAATCATCTGGAATAAAAAGCGCGCGTTTATCGTCTGAACCGAAAGAAGAAAAACGGATTATGGTTCCACGTATTGCGCGCCGACGATCATACAGGATGAAATTAACCTACACACACATTAGGCACAACAGGCACGTGTATACGATGCGAGACATATATTACAATAAAAATGCAAGTTTGGCGCGATAGCTGATGCACCATTGGAGAGGAGAACGCGAGCGATCGGCGCACGACGCCGCGCTCATCTCTCTCGCGAGATGCAGTATAGAACAATCTCTAGATATGTACAGAAACAGAGCGAACGCGTGGTCCGAACAAACTGGCTGGCGAGGTGAGACGGGAAGTTATCGTTGCGTGGACCGTCTTTCTCGCTCGTGGCAATGGCGCCTTGATCACGGCGGCTTTAGGAACCAGAAGGAAAAAAACAGAAGCAATTATCAAAATGTATATTCTCTGTCTCGCGGGCGCGCGCGCGCGCGATCGACGCGGGGGCGAGTGCGCTCGCGTCGAGGAATGCGCGCGGGATAAGACACGTCGAGGAAGAAGGAAAAGAGGTCTGTCCGCGGTGAGTACTATCGTCAGGTGTAGCGTGCGCGCGAGCGAGCGGCCCGCGGCATTGACCGCGCCTCCGCAAGCTCGGCGACAAGGCCGCGCGCCGCTCGGTCGTGCGGCTCGCGTGTATGGCACACTGCTCGCGCGAGCGCTCATCACGACTTGGCCAGCTCCTCGTCGTTGCTCGCCGCATCCTTGGACTTCTCGCTGTTGTTGATCTTCTTTAACGGGTAGCAGATCGCCGCCGAGAGCACGATCAGCGTGCCGGCGAAGAAGAACGACGCGTCGTAACTGTCGGTGAAGTCCTTGAACGCGCCTGAAAAACACGCACACAAGCAGCCGCCAGTTATTTTCGCTCGTCGATTAGCCACGGTTTCGATATGTAAGTGTGTTGCGCGATCGCGCGCAGCTAATGAAACGTAGAAGGCGTTTACCGTCGCGCAGTGGGCTTTGCATTTCAAAACGACGGCGTTGAGAAATCGCGTGACATCACGTCGCGGCTCGTTGAGCAAGTTGCCGATGGCCCCTTCGCGCAACCCAACCCATCTCTAATCGCGTTCGTTGCTCGCGGTTCTTTCGCTGCCACTCGAATCCAAGGGAAAAGCGCGCGCGAACAGAGTCGTCCCGCGATTCAGCTCGCACGTACGTTCGTCTCGTTACTTCCCGGCCAACGAGCGAATGAATCCTAGTCGTCGGCGAATCGCGTCACCTTGACGATGGATGAGACATTCGGTTGTCTGCAAACGAAAACGGAACGCGCACAGTCGCTTCCCAAAAAGTCGGACGGTTCAACGTCCTCGGCCATGAGTCTTCTTTAAAATTAGAGAGAGAGAGAGAGAGAGAGAGAGAGAGAGAGAGAGAGAGAGAGAGAGAGAGGCCTTACCAGCGAGAGGCGCGCCTATCGTGGCTCCCAACCCTTGGAACAGCAGCAACAGTCCAAATGCGTTGGTCAGCTTCTCCAGCCCCAGGAGGTCAACCACGAGGATCGACCTCAGCGAGGCGAAGACGGCTGCAAAGCGTCAATCGATCAGAGTCGAGTGTAATCGCGCCGCTCGACGGCGCGAGCGTTCACTTACAGACGCTGAGCCCGAAGGCGGCCGAGTAGAAGAACTGGTAGCCGCGGGTCATCCACAGTCCCGACAGCATGGTGAGCAGGCCGCTGATGGTGATAAACACATTGTTGATCAAGAGCGCGTCCACGCCGGGCAGACTGCTCACGAAGCCGAGCGCCACACGGCCGATGGTGTTACCGATGCCGATAATCGACACCAGCCACATGGCACTGGTCTCGTCCAGCGGCAGATTCGCCGCCCTTGCCCGATCTGCGCGCCGCCAGAATACAGATGCATTATCGGCACTCGTTGCTTCATGCAGATCTTCCGTATCTTTGCGCTCATTGGTTCGTGTCAACGACGCTCACCGCTCACCGGTTATGTAGACGAAAGGCGTGTAGAAGCCCGTCATGGTCAGTCCGCCGCTGATGGCCAGTATCAAGAAGCTCGGGCTCTTCAGCAGGCTGAGGTCCAGCATCGTGCTGAGGATTCGGCGCACGCTCTCGGGACAGAGGTAGCAGCTGCCGCTCTCCTCTTCGGCCACGTCTTTGGCCGTCGGGAGGCGGGTCACGGACATGTGGTAGCCCACTGATGATAGCTACACGCGTGTCCATCGGCGCATCGGTTATTTTACAAAGAAAACAAACTTGTGCGAAGCTCGCGTCGACGAGAGGACGACGCGCGATCGTTTCGCCGGGCGGACAGGGGAGGAACAGGTCGATCGCTCGCAATGATCCAGAAGACGCGGAGGTATCGATCGAATTCATTAGCGCGACGGCTGTCCCTTTTGTCTCGAGCATATTTCAAACGCGCGCTCGTATGCCAAGCGACTCGCATTGCAGAAACAAGACAATATCCCATTGCGGCAAAATGTTAGCGGCGCGATATTGGACGTTACTCCCCGATGTATAAATTGTGCGCCAAGCCGCACTGGAATAAACGTTTGGAATGTAACATCTTATTCGCTCGGAAGGTTGCATAGTATTGATTTTATGTATATTCAGCGATTTCTGACCGAAGGCAATTTCAACCGGCCAAACAGAAGAAAAAACAAGATTTTCGAAAAAAAAAAAAAAAAGGATAAGCAAGGTTGCCTCGGGCATTAATATGCTTAATATGCCAAACGCGCACGCACGCGGGAGTCCTCGTCCATCCTTTTCTCTAATTCTTTTTCCAAACAAACGATTACGTACGTGTGCGCGTCAGCTCGAATTAATGCCCAAGGTGCACGATTGACCATTCGGTCGCCGATCGAAGAGAGGGATATATCATTCGGGCCGAAATTTACGAGCGACACACCTACGTACGTAAGCGCGCGAGCGCCTTACCTGGGATCTGTAGTGCGGCAGTCTATTGAGCGAGCCCCCGTAAAATATATCGTCTCGGTAGAAGGGCCGCTGCGGCTCCTTGGCGACCGAGCCGCGGCGCTTGTCCGCTTTGAACGACTTGTGGCTGGTGACCGAGTCCGCGCGACTCCTGCGGTCGCTGATCGTGTGCCTGCGTATCTGCGGGAAGCGAGGCGCGCTGGATCAGTCGACTCGGCGCGCTCGAAATTTGGCGTTCGCCTTACCGTCGGCACCTTGCCGTTGAGGCGGTCCGCGTCACCGTCCAGCAGGTTGTTCTCCTCCTCGACAGACTTGAGCTCCTCGTCGTCGACCACCTCCAGCTCCGGATAGATCGGCACGGACAGCCGGTTCTCCGAGGCGCTCACCTGGCGCTCCAACGTGCGCATCTCCACGGCCTTGTGCAGCGAGTGCAACGATCGGCTGGTGCTGCTGCTGCTGCTGGAAAACGCGCGGCTGCTTGAGTGCTCGGCCGCTATCGATCGGCCGATCGATGCGGCCCGTTACGTAAAGGTCGGGCGGGAACGGCACCCGATAACAGCGAACAACGAGTCGTCGATAGAACGGCGCGCTCGAGAGATCGCATTGCGAGTGCGTGCTCGTACTTGGCGCCGATGTCGTGGACGCTGCCCAGAGCCTGGGCGGCGGTCGGGTACTCGGTGTTGTTGTTCGTGCCGAAGAAGCGGTTGGTGATGGGCTGGCTGGCGTGCAGCGAGGCGGTCGACACGCCCTGCGACATTATCGTGGTCCTCAGCTCGATGCCGCTGGCGACCGTCTCGGGGTTGGCCGCGACCTTCACCCGCTTCGGCTTCAGGGGCCTGAACATCGCCCCGAACACCGCGCAGTTCAGCAGCATGCCTGCGGAATCGACACGGAACACGTGAGCTCGGCAGCTGACGAATTCCACGAAGGCCACTGATAAGATTTCATCGTCGTCGGTACTCGACCTGCGCCTATCGCCCCGGGGAATCTCTCCGTCTGACCGATAATGACGACCAGTCGCTTCTCTATTTTTTACTTTGCACACGACCGGTTTCTCGCATTCGTCTGTACTAACCAGCTTGTATGAGGATAGCGCCTTTCCACTCGAACGAGTCGATGAGCTGCTGCGAGATGGGCGCCAGCACGAAGGCGCCGATGCCCGAGCCGCACACCGAGATGCCGGTGGCCAGCGCTCGCCACTTCTCGAAGTAGAAGCCGGTGGTGATGACCGCCGGCACGTAGATCAGCCCGGCGCCGATGCCACCTACGGGCAATCGCGCGCCGTTACGCAATCCGCTTGGCAGCGAACAAGAGGGGATCGAGAGAGCAACGAGTGTACTGACCCATGATGCCGTAGGTCACGTACATGAACTCGATGGAGGTGGCGAAGTGCGACAGCACGAAGGACAGGCAGGCAATGACGCTGCCGACGATGGCGACCAGGCGGAAGCCGTAGCGGTTGGCCAGCGCCGACACGAACGGCCCGGCCATCAGGTAGAATCCGGTCTGCAGCGAGCCCGCCAGCGAGACGCTCGCCTTCGACACGCCGAAGTGCTGCGAGAGCGGGCTCAGGAACACGCCGAAGCTAAACATTATCCCGTCGACGACCAAGTTGCACATAAACGATGCGGCGACCACGACCCATCCCCAGCCGCCGTCCGGCGGCACCACCATCTCCACGTAGCCCTGAAAAGCCAAGCAGAGACGTGCGATCGACATGGGAAGCGGCCGCTTTTTCTGCGACGCCGCTTAATTCATTGGAACACACCAGTTGATGGACGACGGCGACGCCAACCTATCGACTTTAATCAGAGGCACGCCGGCGGCCGACGCTCGTCGTTCACCAAAATCGTATTGCTCTTACTCTCTCGCGGGAAAGCAATATGCCGCAAGCCTCCCATAGAACTAGCTTTCTTTTAACTTGGCTTCACCAGCCTATACCTCAATTACTTTAATAAGCAAATTTGTGCTTTTTAAGTCATGCGCTGTCCAGTGCATCCACGTATAATGCTAATTAATGCACCAAACAAAACTATGTCAATGGAATGCAAAGACATTAGAAAATTATTTGGACGTTTAGTAATCATTTCACTCGTCGCGATTATACTCTCCTTGTTTCTTTCTTTTGCGTCTCGAGCAATGCATCGGGAACAAAACAATTTAGCTTCTCTCGCCCGACTCTACTCGATCTGTCTCTCGAAATTAGATAAAACGCGCAAACGCGTTTTGCAGCAGAGTAACATTATTTTTTGTTATCGCCGTATCCATTATTCAAATAGTTAATAAGCGATCAAACGTTATAGTTACAGCTGACCTGCTCGTTACTATACGAAGTCCGTTGCGAGGTGCGATCCTTGGAGAGAAAAAAAATTGATCAAGAATAGTATGTGTTAGAAACGAAACGAGTCGAAAGTTTTCGTGACTCATTAGCAGTCCAACATTGACTCTCGATAGATAATAACGATGACGTGGGCGAAAGCCCGTGTTCGCATTAGTTGATTTTCGACATCGGATTTTTCTAATTATACGTCGCCGAGGAATCGTCGAGTGCGTTAGTTTATTCACTTGTTCAAAGCTTACATCATGCCAGCGTTGGAATCCATGCAGGTGTCGAATATTTTCACGCAGGAAAAAAAATCGACGTTTGCTGATCCGATCATCCAAGATGATCGTCACACGCAAACATGTTTTCCAAGATTATTAAAATGCGATATTCCCACTCGCTCGTGCAAGTCCGAAAAAAGGAGCAGCAGCGGCAGCGGCAGCGGCAGCGGCAGTCGCGCGCGCGAAAGATTGTCCACACACGGCGCGTAAATTAATCTCTCGCGTTTTGTTTTTGTGTAGCGGCAACTGGCCGAGGGAGATTGCAACAAGCTTATCACGCGAGCACGCCGAAAGACATTACACAATTGCAACGAGCTCGTGCCCCTCCGTCGCAAGCTTTCAACGGCGGCTTCGTTTCCAAATCGCCAAAGTCGCGCGCGTCGTACCTATAAATACCGTCGAATTGATAATCGCGACGAGAGAGAAAGAGAGAAAAAGAGAGAGAGAGAGAGAGAGAGAGAGAGAGAGAGAGAGAGAGAGCGAGTTCGATGATGTAAATTTATCAGCTAACCCAGAATCGTTGCAAAACCGATTATAGGGGCTCGACGAATTTTCCACGCCGACTCTTCCGTTCTTTCTTCGCAGCTATGCGCCGCCGCAGCACCCGTGGAAGAGTCAACCGCGATAATATTCAAACACATTGCGCCTGTTTTCTTTTTATCGTATGTTTATTATTAATCGCACGGCGCAGCCTTTATCAGCATCCTCGTTCCTTTTTCTCCTACTCGTTCTTACAGTAAATAAATAATATTCATTGACCTCGTTTCACTCGAGTCGCGACTTTTCTCAAAAAATGTGCAACGTTCTATCGGCAATACATACATATTTTTCTTTTCGACGGCCAGCAGCTGCTTTAATGTCCGCGCGCGTACACGGGATTAGCATTCGTGACGACGCCAGAACGCGCTCGCTCAAGGTGCAGCTTATTTATCCGCGATATTAAAATGTGTTTACCGCTGTAATCAATTTCCAAGCGAGGCGCGTATATCTCACGAGGCCGAAATGGGGCGATGATGCAACGAGAGACCGAGGGAAAACGCTCGCGGACTGTTGCTCGTCGATCGCATTGTGCAACGTCGCCGATAAGGGCTTGCTCGCGCGTCGCGCGGACCGGATCAACAATGGACGATAAACGCCACCCACCTCGTCACTCCTGTCGACGTCCCTTACTGGCTTGACCTCGTGGTTGGAGTATCCGTTCTGCTTCATCTGCGGCTCTTTGCCCTTGTCGGGCTCCCTGTCGGCTACGGCCATCCTTCCGAAACCTTGCGATCGCCAAGAAGGAACAGCGACAACGAGAAAAACAGAGAAAAAGCCTGCGATTTACAAATCCATCTCTATGTCGATCGTTCGAGCATAGACGCGGCTTGGCGCGCGTGAACAACCGAGAGAAAGAGATGTACGGAGGTAACGACAAAGTTCCCGCGTTATAAATATGTGCGTTCGGCGCGTCTCTCGCGAATGAACTGATAAGCCGAGTCGTCGGTACACACGAGTCGAACTCGGCGGGCCGCGCGCGGTCGCTCTCTTACGCTACCGCGCCGGAAGAAGAGAGAGAGAATAAGAGAGAGAGCCAGCCAAAGTTCGGCTGGAGGTGGGGCGGCGGCGCGACTCGATTGTTAGGCAATTTATACGCCGACAAAAGCCGATTGGTCTTTTTTCGTGAATAGGCTCGACCATTCTTAACGCTCGCGTTCGTTTCACGGAAAAGCCGTGGGAAAATGGAGGCGTCCATTTTCACGAATAGACGCGCGGCTAACAGTCGGGAGAATTTCGGAGTGGTGGCGTAGCGAGTCGCCGAGCGACGGGCCTGCCTCTTGTCCATTGGAAAATAGCCGTCGGTTGACGGACATTGGGACTAATTGGTGTAATCGATGCCGATTTGTTAACGGACCGACCACTTTGTGCTTGAAACGCGTGCGTGCGATGCACGCGCTTCTCTCTCTCTCTCTCTCTCTCTCTCTCTCTCTCTCCTCTCTCTCTCTCTCTCTCTCTCTCTCTCTCTCTCTCTCACTCACTTTCGTCGATCGACTTCACGAGAAACGGATCACCGATTGCGCGTGGGAAAGTCAGCTTCGCGAATCGATCTCGGTGCCGACTTTTCTCGTGGATTGACGAACAAAGCGGGATCTTCTTTGTCGCGGCAACTTTTGGCCGGAAAATCGTTCAAGTACAATGTCGAGGAACGCGCGCGCGTGGAGTCACTCTCACTTTCTATAAATAGTCGCAGCACGTGGCCGCAAGCAACAGCACGTGCGCCAATGGCGCGCTGGCTTTTCTCGCGAGGGAAACAAAGGACGAATGAGTTGTGCGAGCAGTTTTCCGAATGCACAAGCAACACGCACTCGACGACAATTACGATGACGGCAAAGACGGCGACGGCGAAGACGACTATCACTATCTCGGTGCCTTCGAGGGTGTGACAAGTCAGCGGCAGCGTGTGCATTCCAGTGGCGCGGTAGGCGCTCAACTGAGTCCAACCAAATCCAGCTTTTTCGGAGGAGATCGACGAAGAACCTTTCACTCCCGCTACCCGCCGCCCGCGGGACTCGCAACGCACAGGCGAGCGGAGAAACACAGACTTATCAGTCTGAAGCACACGTGGCGATTGAAAAAGGGACGATAAATAACAAGACCTTCGATACTTGTTTTTTTAATAATAAAAATTCATAATTATTCATCTTTCAAGACTTCTTTTTTTTACTTGTTTCATAACACAATGTTTTTTGTTCACCTAGCACATGCACACATACACATTCATTCTCTCTCTCTCGCATTCGTCTAATTCTCTTATCTTTTTTTGTACCGTATAATCTCTTTCTCTCATTATCATCTTGTTCGCGCTATGTACACATACCCACGATACACTCCCTCGCACGCTTTCTCTAGGGCCGCTCCCTATTTTTTTTCTCTCTTCTTTTCGTCTTTTTTCTGCACAGGCTTTGCTGCGGTGCTATTAAAATATAACGGCTACAAGTCATTTTGTTCAATGACGCGGGCGCGCGAATGTCGGGAAACATATAGAAACGCTTGAGTGTAGAAACGTTAATCCAACTACTACAAAATTTTATCTCTTGTCTCGCCCATAATCTTCAACGATTTCTATCCCCTTTCGTTTCGACTCTCGTCTAATATAATCGCCATCGTTCGCGGGAATGTTTCTATATGTTTGCTTTGTCTGCAATTTCATCATATACTTGTGTATAACGTGTGTAAATCGTCTACGCCACCGCAACTTTATTTAATCGACGCGTAACGCGCGTTCATTTTTCTTTTTTGGCGTTCAACAAGTTTTACAATGATTCTCTTTTTTTTTCTTGTTCGCTCTTTGCTTCTGTTTTAGATCATGTACATAAATGTGTATACATCATCGAATGTCGATTATTACATACATATTTCTTTTATATAAATCACATCACTCGCTATTTTGCTGTTAAGTCATTAGAATCAATGTTACAGCGATACCATAATAAAAACGAACAGGAAACGAACAACAACGAAAGAAAATAGACAATGAAAAAACGTTTAATTAAGTGTGACACACAACTGGCACTTGTGCTCGCTCTGTGTGTAATGTGTGTGTTTGTATGCTTACTTTAGCATATACACACACGAGTTTTTTTTATTCTTCTTATCTCATTACCGTATTACACACACATATACGTATGTATGTATGTATGTATGTATTTTTTTCACTTAAGTAATAAAATATTAGTCATTGGCCAGAGTTTGTGTTAACTAATGCTGCGTCTATCAAATCTCAGTATGAACAAGTCTTTGATGCAAATTGAGATGCTTATTATTAATAAAAATTCAAGCCGATAACACTTATCTCGGCTCACTATAATTGCAATAAGTTTTTCACATTAATTAACACAAACGAGGTACTGCGGATTATTTTTTCCAAATGTAAGAACGTGTTTTCTCTTTTTTTTTCTTCGACTCTGTTCCACTCTTACTTCATTTATTGTACATATATATGCTAAAAAACAGTAAGAGATCTCTAACAAAGAATTAATTATTATTTCAATTAATACACTCGTTAGCTTGCGTCCATCAATATATATATATATATATATATATATATATATATATATATATATATATATATATAATCTTTTTTATTATATTCGGTAATAACGTGTATATATTATATGCTAAACTAAATTTGGATTTTTCTGTTGCTGCATTCCTAAACCAAAATGCACGTGTCTATATAAGAGTGTCTTGTTTTCTTTCTTTCCATGTATTTTACAAATCTCCTGTGAGTTTCATTAATCATATTATTTACAAACTAAAAATCATCGCGTCCTCATCGAGTTTTCACGCTCCGTAATTGATTCATTAAGGTGTATCGTGCGTCAGCATTTTATTATGTACATGTGCCATATTCGTACATAAGAAATATATTCATTTTTTTTGCATTTTTTTTCTATTTCGACAAAGAAAAAGAAAGCTTTGTTAGATAATAACCTCTTTCCTCCGAATAATAGCTTCTAATCTTCACATAGCAAAAATGCAAGCCTTCTTTCGTTACATATTAGTATACATATTTTTTCATGCTTTTTTTTTCAAATATTATAATTGTTATCTACGTGGAATAAAAAATTTTTTCAGTATATACACACAAAATAAACGATAATTTATCGCATTACCTATTCGTTTTCACATTACCATTTTTTTTCAACTGTTTGTGACTTTTTTTCCTAGATATACTGACGATCGATACTGATTAAGTTTAATTAAAACGCCTTCGACTACCAGTTACGCTATGTATCAATCACTAATACAGACGACAAAAAAAAGAAATATACGACTCCGCTTGCCCAATGGAATTTTTCTTTCATTCTTGCTCGTAATAATGTGTAACAACCCTATATATATATAAGTTTACAAAAGAAGAAATTGATTTAAGCCATGCGTTTGAGTAGCATACGAATAAGCGTTCCGTAAGTATAGTGAAAAATAAGGATAAAAGAAAAATTCTAGCGGGTTTGAATTATCGCGATTACAATTTGTGCTTGTCAGGCGAGAGTTCGCATAGAAATAAGAAATGATATATTTCTCTATCTACTACTTATCTCTCTTGTTTTATGGAAACAAAAATTTTTTTTTCTTTTAGCCGTATCACAGTGTAGCTCGGACGACGTCTCAAATTATTTTTTTCTGTTCTTTTTCTTTTTTTTTTTTGCTTCGCAAAAGCGACTACAGATGCGCTCTCATAGAAATTACAATACCGACTCGATCTGTTTGATCTCTTTCTCGGGCTGCTCCTGCAGGGGTGATGGCGCCGTTTCTACGATTTCAGGGATATCGTCTTCGTTCTCTTCCTCGATGTCTTCGTCTATCGGCGTCAGTGTATCTAATATCACAGGCTGAGTCTACAACAAACACCCATAAGAAATTTTAACTTATGACCGAATGCACGGATCAATCGATCAGAAAACACTATTTTACCTGCGGCTGAGTGCAGCGCTTCAATGTAGGAGCCACGAAGCTCGTAATGGTACTAAGTAAAAAGCAAAACGTAGCCATGTAGAAGGTGGAGTCGTAATTATTAGTAAGGTCGTAAAGGTTGCCGGCAAGAGGAGGCCCGGCAATAGCCGCAATACCACGGAACAGAATCAACAAACCAAAAGCATTAGTAAGCTTCTCAAGACCCAACAGGTCTACTAGGATTATCGACGTGAGGGAGATATAGCCAGCTGTGAACAACACAGTCACGAAAACATCATTAATACACAATAAATCTTGTCGTTCGACACTCTACACAGTAAAGTGGAAACACTTACAAATAGCGAAGCCAAAGAGAGTCGACATGATCATGTAATGTATCATCGAGGTGCAAAATGGCGCGATAGCTACAGATATCGTAGCGACTATCAAACAGATATTGTTTAGCAAAAGCGAGTCCACTCGTGGAAAGTCGGCAATGTAACCGCAGCCAACTCGACCGATGGTGTTCGTAATACCGATCACGGATATGAGTAGCGAGGCGGTAGTTCTCTCGATGCTCTGAAAGATTAAATATTTTTTTGTTTCTTATTTTTTTCCAATTTGGTTTCCGTCGTTTGCTAACCTTGGCGTGAGCTGCGTCGACTAAGTAGAAGAAGGGTATGTACAGTCCGGCCATACCGAAAACATTGCTAATGCAAATCAGTAGGAACACGGGATTCTTCAGTAGAGACATATCCATCATCGTGCCTAGTGCTTCCTTAAACGATTCCGGCAATTCTAGACATGGGCATAGGGGTGCTAGAAACATTCAAACAATTTCTCATAAATCTTTTGAAAACATCATGATCGACCGAAAGATGTGACTACTAACGCTGTGGAGCTTTCTCGATGTCACCATCTTTGGCGTCGACTCCTCTTACGGACTTGGGAAGCGAGATAACGCTCTGACGGTAGTTGGCTAAGGATTTTTGACTCTGGTATTCGGGCAAGTTGAGCACACTGCCGCTGTAAAAGATGTCCTTACGCGACAATGGCCTCACCATCATTGGCTTCTCGGGCTTTGGCAATCGCTGGGTACTCGTTGTAAATGTAATGCTCTCGCCGTCCTGGAAAACATTGTGTATGAATTATTTTGAAACGTGATGAATGATATCTCGAATGCAGTCTCATTTATTTCTCGGTAATTGTATTTCTTTTATAAAAATCATTTTCTTTCATTAATTCTTTTTTTCAGGATACACTCGAAAAATCAAGCTTCTATTCTTTTCACGAGTAGGAGAAAGGGGAGAAAGAATTTAATCCTCGTGAAGAGAGATTTGGAAAGCAAAATCGATAGATACCGCGCATTGAATTGCACAGGGAGTTCACTAGCATACCGCTACATTTCGTGACAACCTTCATTGTTATTAGATCGGAAATAGCCTTTTTTTTTCGAGATGTAACGTTACCATAAAACATAATTGACGAGTAACGAGAGTAATCATTTCGCACACATAGCCGGATACCAAGAATCGACGTCATTATTCGAATGTTCCCGTCGAAAAGGGCACGCACAGCGCGTTTTTCGTCGAGCAGAAAAAAAAAAATTGAACGTTGAAACTTGATCTTATCCGTGTTAAATCACTGCTGAGATTAAAATTCAATTATACAGGCACGTTACTCACACTTGATACTAATCGCGCTATCTTAGCATTGAACTAAATTCTATAAGTAGCATTGCGCTCCATGAAATTCATCGTTTAATCCATAGCTCTACATCGGTTACCTATCGGAGAGCCGCGATAAAAGGCGATAATGCTAATCCAACAGCGTGAAATCATATAATCCGTCTCTCGCTATTTTCCTCGCGAACGAGACGACATTTCCTGCGCGACTGGCATGAAAACGTGGAAGAAAAGATGGTCGTATACTAACGTCGAGTTCGGTGTTGTTGTTGCGCGAACCGAGCATGCTGCTATTGGACAATCGGAGATGCATGCTCTTCCTGATGTCGCCGTTGGAGTTCAGTGTCGTCCTCGACTGATTCTTGATGGCGCTCAAGCTGGGCTTATACCTCTCGCCGGTGCTGGTCTTGCGGATGCGGTCGAAGAACGGCACGGAGCCGTTCTTGGGCAAGCCTTGCACATGAGTGGTGAACGCAGGCTGACTCGCATTCCTCGGAATCACCGGCTTGTTGAACTCGCTCTCCGGGGCTTTGGCGTCGGGGCTGTCCTCAATCTGCCGCCGACTGCGCGACTTGACCGACGACGACTTGAGGTCCTGCGCGCTGCCGCTGTTGCTCGTGGCACCACTCGACGAGTGCTCCTGCACCTTCACCTCCGAAATCGTTGGCAGCGTCGGCACCGTCGGCACTGGTGTCAAAGGTGTGCCTTATTGGTTTTTTGGAGGATGATGATTTGTTTTCGAATTTCAACGGCGACGACGGCGACGACGACCGCTGGAGTCGCCCGGCACACGCACAGCAAGTGAGAAACAAGCGGAAAGCGTGCACTTACCAGGCACTAATTGGTCTAAATTGAAGCTGGAATGAACACCCGGGTCGACGTTGATCGGCATCTTCATACGCCTTTCCATCGAGCCGTCCGGCAATTGTACCATGAAGTACGAACCGCCGATGCTGCCGCGCTCCATCTGGAAACGCTTCTCCTCGGCCATCCGCTGCAGCAACGGCTTCACCGACGATGCTTTTGGATACTCCAGTGGCCTCATCATTGCGCCAAATATCTGCGTGTGGAGTTTTACTTTTCATTTTTTCCCTTTTATATTTTTTTTAGAAGCTGTCAGTTCCAAAAGAGATTCGACATTTCGTTACTCCATTTTTTCTTCGCGAGCACATTGTATCCAAGGTCGCGATCGTAAGCTTTTTTTGAAACGTCAATTTTGAAGAACACCGAATTTTCGCGTCAATTTACGTGATAAGGACGTGTATCGGAGATCAAATACGAGTGTCACGTCTACATACAAAGTTCGATAAAGATTGGATAAACAAACGCGAGAAACAATTTACAATAGCAGTACCAAATGGTATTTTTTTTCTTTCGAACAATCGACAAAAGGAGCGTAGTACGAGCGCGAATATAAATATATTTATATATTTTTTTCCGACGCACTTGAATTACACTGTTGTCAGCGTAATCAGCGCATTTTTTAATCATTGGATCTTCTTTTCTGCAAGATAAAGTCTCGCGCGCGCTGGATTACTCGTCCACGTGTAGCGCTGAATTAACGAAAATCCGATTTAATAAAAAAAAAAAAGAAAATTATTGCAGAAAGCGCTTATCATAGAGACAGGAACAAAATAATGTCGGACGATTCTCGAAAATATTCATCTGCCATTTCGAGCGAGAAATTTCTTGCGAAAAAAAGGATAAAAATAAAGAGAGCTTATCGTCTCTCCAAAGCGATAAAGAGGCAAAAAAAACAAAAACACGCGTACACGCCTCATCGACTGCCGAGGCATTGCGAATCTCGTGTGTTAATCGCTCTTATTAATAATGCGAACGCGCGGAGTTCGTCGATCCCCTATTAATAAAGCGTTGAAATGATTGTCTTGGCATCGAGAGCTGCCAACACCGCGTACTCTTGACTCGGTTTTTTTCGCAGTGGCCTTTTCGCGTGTTGTCACCGTTCGAAGCAAGGTAAACAAACAAATAAAGTGCACGGTTTCGTTTTTTTTTTCCTTCGCTTCATAGCATAGAGGCTCGCTCGCTGTCGCGTGTCCTCGGAACTATTCATCGCGGAGCTCTCCAGCTCGCGCGCGGCTCGTGCGTACGCGCGCGCGCGCGCGCGTGTGTGTGTAGATGCGTGCGTTTGATGTTTAAAAGAAACACGACACTAAACGGCGGAAAATGACGATTCTATTTGTGAAAATTGAAACGCGCGCGAGCCTGCCTCTCCGTCGTAACGCGAGCAGAATGCTTCTGCCGACGTTATCTCATCGATAGAAAGATTACTTAAAAAAGAGAGCGAAACGAGGTGTCGTTCGAGTGTCGCCGCGTTACGCAATATGCATCGCCGTTGTCTCGAAAATCGATTCCGAACTTTTCCAATAGCGTTCGCGCGTTCTCGCAGTGCACAGATAGAGAGGGAGAGGGGGAGAGACAGAAAGACAGTGACTGGTTAGAAAGGAAAACAGTTCGACGGATACTTACGGCGCAGTTGAAGATGAGGCCGGCGAGTATGAGGGTCGCGCCCTTCCACGCGTAGGTTTCCAGTAGAACGCCAGCCAGGGGTGCGAAGATGAAAGTTCCAACTCCGGAGCCGCATACCGCGATGCCCGTTGCCAATGACCTCTTGGTTTCGAAGTAGTAACCGACGCACACGACCGCAGGCAGGTAGACCAGTCCGAAGCCAATACCTGAGCAGAGCGCGAGAAAAGCTCCGTTAAGTAGAGCCAATGGCGCGAATCCAAGCAGAGCAGGCAACTCACCACCGAGGACACCGTAAGAGATCATGAGCATGGTTACTGACGACGAGAAGGTGGACAGTACGAAGGCCACGGTGCCGATGCCTGCGCCGGCCATGCAGACCACCCTGCAACCGTACTTGTTGGTGAGCGCCGAGACGACAGGGCCGGCCATTAGGTAGACCCCCGACAGCAAGCTGCCTGCCCAGGCGACTTTGCTACGACTCTCCTGGAAGTAGTTGGCAAACTCGCCGAGGAAGATGCCGAAGGTGTAGGCGATGCCGTCGACGATCAAGTTGCACATAAACGAGGCGAACACCACCACCCAGCCGTAGCCGCCATCGGGCGGTGGCGGTATGTCGTGGTATTCGCACAGCGAGGCCGCGTCGCCGGCATCGTCGGGCGAGGTCGGGTCGTTGTCGCCACCCGTGCCGTCCGGCCCCGTCAGCCGCGACTGCTCCTCCACCGAGTACTCGCTCTCCGTCTGGAAGACACACGCGTACGCCAATTATACGGCCGAACGGCCCTGAGAATTGTTGTTGTGTCGAGAGAGCGAGAGCAGCGCGCCGCGATCAGCTGAGCGCACGCCAGGGACTGCTCGCTTTTTCTCTTGCCTGCTTTCCTCTCTGCGCGGACTTTTTCGCGTGCAGGACTTTTAGACGAGTCACGAGATTAATGCGGGGTAAAAAGCGACAAAGGACATGTACCGTGCTGATTTTCCTCACACGACGACTGCCGTACTTGTTGAGTGAGGCTCGCGACATTGTGCAGCAGCAGTAGCAGCAGCAGCAGCGGTCTTCTCTGTTTTTTTCTCTTTCTTTCAGTAGCACAGTAGCAGCTCTAATTTTTCTGTTCGCGCACGCAAAAGCAGGCTCACGACGCTGACTTTTTCACCCAGACTGTCATCATTATCATCACCATCGGCACGACCATCTTTGCCACACACGACAGCAAAAACACGCACGCACAGCACTTATTATATTCTCTCTCGACAGTGTGCTCGCGGTCGCGCGCGCAAGAGAGAAACTTTGAGAAAGATTTCTATAAATATCGCCTGCTATACTGCTCTCCTCGCATTTTACGCCTCTGTTATTCGTATACGTGGATTGCAGTGTGCTCGCGAACGTGTCAGCGAAACGTAGACACAACAGCAGTCTTGATGACTTTTGATATTGAAAGGTACGTATGGAGATGCGCGAAAGAGAAAGAAGCTAACCTACAAGAGAAAGAAAACACAACAAAAACGAGCTAAGCACGACGCCGTAGCCATACTGCTAGGGAGCGAACTGACTGGTTGCCGATCGGTCGAGCATACTCTACGGGATCCCCCACCACTCACAGCGCGCGCGCTCTCTCTCTCTCCCTCTCTCTCTCTCTCTCGCTCACTCTTTTACTTCGAAACTCGGAGCGCTGTTCATTGTGTGTTGCGTGCTGCGCTAGCTGCTGCTTCGCGGCGACGATGCATTTTAGGGTGCGGGTATTTTTCTCCCCGCGCAAAAAGTAAAGAGCGCACGACGATTGCACAGCGAAATAAAAATCTCTCGCTCTGTCTCACTTTCGTACACACTGAGATGATTCACAGGATTGAAGAGAGAGAGAAAGAAGAAGGAAATTTCGTCGATCGCTATCGCGCGCAGAATGCCGTGCGCGAATTTTGCGCTGCGTTGAAGTCTGACACACGCAGTTTCGACGAGGCTTATTTTTTTTTATCTCCGCAGATTATTTTGCAGGCGTTTGGGACTTGTGGATTTGCAAGGCACTCGTGGTGTGTTCTAGTCGCACACACCTCGTGATTTCGTAAGCGCGTGAAAGATTCCAATCGATCGATCGCGCACGTATGTGTACGATATCCGCCGATGTGAGGCGAGGAGAAAACGAGGGTTACCTTGTATTTGGACGGCATGGCGTACTGCTGGGCGCCTCAGCGAGGCTAGAGAAAAGGACTAGATGCTCGTTCGCGGGAGGAAACGCGCTGCGAAGGCGGCCCACACTTCGCTGCTGGGTGCTCGCGAGCGCACTATTAAAACGCACTGCGAGAGAGAGAGTGAGAGAGAGAGCACAGCTAGTGAGCAGCAGCAGCGGGACGTACACACTTATCAGCGGACGCGGCCAGTTTACAATCCCCACTTCTCGCATACAATAAATGATTGATAGAATCTGCACGCGCACGCACACGCACGCAGACACTGACACTCGAAGATTCGAGGAGCAAATAGGTGTACGCGAGAGAGAGAGAGAGAGAGAGAGAGAGAGAGAGAGAGAGAGAGAGAGAGAGAGCTTGCGGAAGAGTGGCGAAGTAACGAAAAGCTCCGGAGCGCGGTTATGGCAGAGAAGCCATGGTCGGCGCGTGCAGTGGGCGCGAGTGCAATCGATGGCGGCGCATACTCACGGTGTTGCTGGGCAGCTTGATCTGTAGGCCGGACTCGTCCTCCTGTTCACCGAACTGGCTCTGTCGGCTACTCGCAGGACCCATGGCCGCTGGCCAGCAGCATCTACCCGCCAGGCGCGACGGGCCGCAGAGATTAGGCGAGCTTGCGAGTCCGAGGGGGCAGCTGTCGCGCGCTAAGCAGACACTGCGCGTCAGCCCAGGCCGCCAACGTGCAGCAGCAGCACCACCACCGTGGTGCTCGTCGTCGTGCTCGTCTGCTCCATACCGCCGAGCGGCCGCACTCTCCGTGCTCGCGACGCGCGACTGTCCGTCGCCGCCGCCGCCGCCGCCGCTGCTGCTGCTGCTGCTGCTGCTGCTACCGCCACCACCGCCGTGGGATAGACCTTCTCCGGCTGGACAAGCAGGGGCATGCGCGGACGCCACCACCGCCACCACCCCGACCATCGATCGCTCTCATTCATGGCGACGCTCTGACTCGCGGCCCTGACACCGGATTCGCTTCTCCGTCGACGTGCCACGGGAAGGATGCCGTTGCTCGCGTCCGCCACCGATTGCACCGCGCGACGCGCCGCGATGCGCTGCTTCCCCTCGGCCGACGGTATGTCGCGTGTGTGCGTCTGTGCCTTCGCGTATGTGCGAGCACGCGTACGTATGCACAATTGGCGAATTACACGTTAAATCAATAGTCGTTATCGTTGCACGCGGCTTTCCAATTCGCGCCCGAGACAGATTGTTCGAACGAGTTGCGCTTTAGCACGCGAGTCCTTGCCCCCACCCCTCCCTCCGTTCCGCCCTCGCAGCTGATGTCTTTTTTCATTTCAAGGTGTTATTAAGCGACGGACGCACGCGCGCGCACTTATAAATATAAACGATATAGAGGTTGCGCGTTGCTATTAGTCGTCGCTCGTTAAATGCCATTAATTTTCGTTAATTTCTTTTCTGTTTCGTGCTCCGCGCCGATCGGCCGAGCATAAAGAGGGCTCTTGTTTCGGCGGCGCGAGCGAAACAATCATTATGACGATAACGACAATTGGAAAGCGAAAAAGCAATTATAGCTGCGCGCGCCTCTATTTTTTTCAAGTTCAAACGCGAAATCTGATTTACACATCTGCGGCTGGTTAGTCCGTTAATGTTTTCTCTTGACACGTGTCGAACATGATGGATGGCGCGTCGCGCGAAGGCTAAAATTACATCGCGGCCGAAAGTAATCGAGACGACTGATCGTGGCTGATGATGCGCCGCGATCGTATTTTTTGTTTTATTTTTAAAGAGAAAATTGCTATTGACGAAAATGGTGTATCTAGAACGGGCGCGCGATAACCACTCCAAATAGCTTTATTGATAAGTATCGCCGAGAGCGAAAATTTATTGTCGATTTTTTTGACAAGCAGAGCCGAACGACGGCCGAAAGCCGGGCACAATAACGCCGCGCGTTTTTAAGATTCCAATTTTTAAGGAGATTAGATAAAAGACAATAGATGCTCGATATACGGACAGCCGCTCGAATCTGAGAAATTCCTCGAGCAGTACACACAGCACAGACGTCTATCTGCCGAGTTTACGACATTATAATAGTTTTCTTTTAATCGATTAGCAACAATGCTGATGCGCGTAACATCAGTGGTCGCTATTACACAGCGCATCGATCAGCTCGATCTGTTTACTTGCCCATGAATCACGGGATCGATCAATTAACTGCAGCGTCCGCAGTTGCGCTCGTAAAAATTCTTTGCCGCGTATACGAGGCGCGCGCGCTCTCCAATCGAGCGCAATAATAAACGACTACGACGTCACGAGCGACAAAACGACTCCCCGCGAACACAGAGTTTAGCGAAGGATCGAGCTTTTTATTATTTCTGAACTGCTATTTTTAGGCGTATTTCGCGCGACTTGCCGAAATTTCATTGTGAACAGTTTGCGTGAACAAAGGAAACGACGCCAATCATTTGAGTTTCCATTTACATATTTGTCGGTTCTGGTCGTTTCTGGTCTTTGTACGTGAATGTGTTGCATCATATTGTTAGAATCTATCAAGTCTAATCTTTGAACAGTCAATTTTTTTTTTGAACTCTTTGAATATAAATTCGCAAAGAAACTAGAGTGTACGATACAATTATCAATGATTTTCGTGCAGAATCGTCAATTTGATATGTAGCTATGTATAATAGTTCATTAGCTAACCAATGCGGGAAAGTATATTCTTATCCCGTGTGAGGTTTACACCAGAGAAAAGCTCAAACGAAAAGCTCACGCTCGGTACAATATTTTTCAACAAAACGCGTGGAAAGCGCTAATTTGAGCGTACGTGTTTCGCCGAGTGTTCGTAAAAGTCGTACTTGTTCGCACGGCATGTTGAAAAAATTATTAGAATATTTTAAGCAACCAAACATTAACTACGACTTTGGATTCCTCTTGAAAATTCAGACGTGACACACTTGCTTGCTAATTTTCAGGAAGTATCACTTATTATACTAGACATTTTTACTTAACATTCAATTTAATAATCTTCAAAATATTAAACACTTTTTTAAATCACGTTTTTATTATATTTGTCGATTAAAAGCAATTAGAGACGTTTTAATTTTTAAAGATTCTTTCGTTAAAATGTTATCTCTTTTCCTACCATCCATTCATTCGATCAAAATAAAATCAAGCAGACTTTCTTGTTTCAATGGCTCTGTCTTATTGCTTAAAAGCAATTCATACCTAATCCAAAATTAAATGGGCCTTTTACCCGTTATACTTTCATCGTATGTAGAACTTAAGTTTTGGGAGCTTCATAGAGACCTACACACTTGCACATACATATATTCAGATATTTCTTAGAAATGATATATTATCATTTTTAAGTAAAAGATAAAGCGTTCAATAAGAAAAAGCAAAAGAAATAAACTTTCAAAGACAATTTATAACTTTATAGCTTTGCTTCAGTTTTCATGCATATTATTTTCCTTTTTTGACGTTTCAAAGCGCATTTGTTGATTTGACAGATATAGAAGTCATTTAAACTTCCGCCAAACGACAGCAAAAAGATAATTTATTAATCTTCCCGCTTCTTTTTGAAAAGAAAGCTTTAATAAAAACAAGTCGAATTGATAGGGTGTAGATTGAACTTAAAAAAAGTGGTACAGCCTCATGACGATCGATGCACCTATATAAAAATACTTTGATAAATTCGTCTCCCACATCATTACAGAATGGGGGAGAGGAGGCGGCGTTTATCTGTATGCCTCTTGATTGAATTATATCGGTCTCTTGCATACCTCTACAGAGTTTCAAATGATTTCATTTATTCGTAACAACAATAACAATATAAAAGACAATTAGAATGTAGTTAAATCTTGATCGCGTTATTCTCAATAATCGGCTGTAAACTTCCAACATTCAGATAATCAAGAATTTTATATAATAAAATTTCTTTGCAAAGATTTCAAGTTTTGTTTGAAATTGAGACTCATAAATTTTAGAACAAATTTTTTTTTGTTTAAATATTGTGCCATTTTTTTTTATCGCCAATGAACAATCTGAAAAACAATTTGTGGAACTTGTTAAAATATTTTTTGCTTGGCTAACATGAATTGTTTGCAATGAAAATAATTTGTATATTTAAAATGCCAAGTCCTTTGGATATACCTAGATGAATAATACTAAGGCTTTGATTTTGTAACTATATATTTAGAATGTCAAATACTTTGATTTACTCTTCTGTACTATTCTTAATTACATTTAATTGAAATCATATTTTGAAAGTAGTTTCAAACTCCTTGCATCTTAATTTAAATTAAAAAACTATATACAATGATATTATTTTGGTTATAAAGCATGTGGAATGAACTTACAACACCTGCTCCAAAATATGTACTAAAGTATTTTGGCATTATTTAAGTGGGGAGTTTGGTGAAGATAACTAGCATCTATTAATTTCTGCGCTACTTTTTCACAGATAAAAGATTTTTTATGTAATTCATAAAGCATAATTTTTTAAATTAAAGATACCATATGGTCCTACTCACAGGTCATATAATGTATATTTTTATTTTTATATTTTGATATCATATCAACTTTAGCTGCTAATAAAATTTATACAATTTTCGCACATATACTTTTTTGGCACAGACTATATTCTTATCAAAAGAATATAGCCCTAGACATTGAATCTAAATTAATCTTGGTAGCTACTGTATAAATTTGTCACTGCCATATTTGCCAGAATCATGCAACATAATTTTTAATACATAAGCCAAATGAGAAAGACAATTTTTTTCAAATTGATACTAGATTGTCATTATACTGTTCTTTGACTAAGGATAAAATTGCTTCATTAAAATTGATATCACTATATCCAATGTAATCCTGAAAACAAAGTTTGAAATATATTATAATTAGCAACTAACGCAACAAATCATATCAAATGTAATTAATTCATTTTTATTAAATTAACTAAAATTAATTGTTGTTTCATCTTGTAAACTAGAAAGAGCAATAATGCTAAGCCGGTTCTAACTACTATGACAGAAAATTAGTAAGATTTATATGCATCAATCAAGTGTACCACTTAATAGATATATTTATTATTAATTTAGATGAATTTATGTACGATTTGAACTTACCATTAAAAGTGATGATTTGATTGTAATTGTTTAATACAAGTATTTATATATATATATATATTGCACTCTCCTGTTTTGTTCGAGGTATGGATGTTACATAATTTTAAAACGTGTTTTTTCTTTTAATTTATTCATAAATAAATTTCTAAAATAAAAAAGGTGCCTAATCGGAGCAGTTCGCATGTGATTTCTGTGCCGTGAAAATTCGAGATAATGAACCGGAGTGATCACGTTCTCACTATTACTGCGTGGGTTAAGTAAAAATTATTAACCTATTAGGGCCTTTTATTACCTCTTTATACACTTTCGCATACAAAAGAGGATTTCATGTACGAGTTACTCACCTCCTACACATAGTCTTTTCTAAAAATTATGACTTTCCGACAACGAAATTTAAACATTTAATTTTTAACGGATTTCATGCGGTTCGTCAAAATGGAGTTTGTGGACGGCGTCGCGTGGTCTGCATTGGTTGAGTTTCTGAACGCAGCACGGTGGAGTGTCATCACGTCAGCACGGCAGGCTGCTCCACATATAGGGGCGGCAGTCTTGTTCAGTGTGCGAGGCGGTAGAGCGTCGCGTCGTTTCTTGTAAATACGTTATGCCACCGCAGCATAAAAAATAACGTTTAATTATAACCTCGTGCAAGTCTACTTGCATTTTGACTGAAAGATACTAGCTGCAAAAAAACACTAGACGGAACGAATAAACGAGTGATCAGTGTATTAATTACGGTAAGTTTATATGGCATTACACTACACAAGCCGATGATTCCCGCCATAAACCGCCGCCGCAATATCCCCACGCGTACGAACGCTATATAGTGTAATGTAATAAGTGAGTAGTAGAGACGCGTAGCGTGTAAACAAATGAACAAAAAATACGGAAAACTCGTTACGTAAACTGTTTGCTGCAGCAAAAATATGCCGGGGGAGCGAATTATTAATAGACAAGTACTTTACACATGCTAAGAACAGCGACGACGACACGTAGGAGGTATGTGCCTGTGCGCGCGCGCTTTCATGATTTCTTGTTGCTTTTCATTTTTTCTCTGTCGACGTGGTAGAAGTCACCACGCGCGGTGTGTGCTTTCTCCCTCAAACAATACTACTTCAATATAAGCCGGGGTGACCCGCGTGTTTTGTAAACCTGACTATTTCATGACTGATTTTAATTGTTTTTGTTGTTGCCGTTCATAGAGAGCGATATGAGTAAATTCAACGATGGCGAGCAAGTGCTCGCCAAGTCGCCGAACAGCGAGGAATACCTCAGAGCCAAAGTTATTGGCTCAAGTACGGGCAACAGGATTCGAGTGCAGTTTCGCGGTGGTTCGGAATATACCGTCAGCGTGGCTGACGTCAAGGTATTATTATCACTCTTGTTTATGCACTCCTTATCTCCTGTCTTTGTGCGTTTCATTCTGGAATATTATTAATGTTATGCAGCCTCAAAGAACCTCAAGGAGTCAAACAAGAATAAGAGGTAGGACTACTGGTAAGAGTCCTTCAAGAAATTCACCAAGCAGAAAATCACCGGCAAGAAGATCACCTGCTAGATCGCCAAATTCCCAGGGCAGGAAATTACCTGTTCGTAGTACCAGGCAAGCTAAAGTCACTATTGCCAGATTAGAAATGCAAAAAGGTTGATCAACTAAATATAGTTGTCTCAGAAAATTATAAATTTTTCTTAAGAAAGATTACATAAATAATTATTTTGTTTGTATGCAGATAACTCTAGTGACACAGATAGAACTGAAGAGTCTGAAAGTCTGAATGATGAACCTGCCATTCAATCACGTTTAAAAGATCTAAAACCAAGACGTTCAATTAGAATCATGTCAAATGCATCTAAAGCAGAACGTGATCAAAAATTGCAAAAGTTGAGGGGTGGTGATAGAGCTGCTTCTCTTCCTGTTGACAGAAAGTCTTTTGATGAGGGGATAGATAGAAGTTTCTCTGTGCAGAGAGATGATGTATGATTTTATTCAGTCAACTTTCATATGAAAAATGGAAAAAAGTGAAAATGTATTAAGTATGTTTTGTTCTATTTTCAGGAAATGAAAATACATTATGAATCAGATACTGACACTGACGTACCAAGTGAATTGCCAAAGGGCAAAATGATAATCCATTTAAATTTAAGTGATCCCCAAGAGTGGTGTGGACGATTTGGTGCACTGTTCCTTGTGCTATCACTACCTGTTTGCATTCTTTTACTGCAACTTGCTTGCATGAACAACCATTGTAGTATGAAGAATTTCCGAATTCCTCGACTAAGGGAATGGAAATTATTTTTAAATCAGAATGCATTCTTATTGTATGCAGGATATTTGTGCTACATTGCAATAATGTCGGTGCTACCTATTGGTAGGCTTGTTAATGGCCAGCAGACTAAACTCGGTATTTTGCAATACCGGATAAACGGTAATACTTTTATACTTACTTCAAGTTATTTCTATCTAAAGATCTGAAATTTTAACAATTATAATTTGTGCTTACAGGAATATGGACTCTTTTTCTTACAATAGCTATTTTTGGTGGTTGTATTCACCAAGGCTACAATATTGATGACTTTTTGCTTAAAAAGTCACTTGCACTGACGGCAGCTGGCGTAGTATATGGGACACTCTTGTCTATGGCTTTGTACATCAAATCTGGCAGAACGCCTTTATCAAAACTAAACCTTTACGGCACAACCAATAGTTACATTTACAACTTTTGGCAAGGTGGAGAAATTTCTCCACGAGTTGGGCTCATCGACATAAAGCAAGTGATATTCTATGCTGGAGTGATAGCGACGGTAATTATGATTTTCATTTGAAAGAATAATTAATTATAATATATGACTTGGTAAAATAATGAATTTGCATATTCTAGATTATAATCAATTTAGCAGCAGGAGTAAAAATTGTAAAAGAAGTGGATACATTTGAATTGAACAATCTACAGCAATTGAATTATGCTGCACTTGCTTCAGTTATTTTGCAAATAGTTTATCTTCTGGATAATTTAATTTTCGAGACCAAATTCCTTTCATCCTTTGAAGTTGTTTATGAAGGAACGGGGTACATGCTGAGTGTTGGATATTTAATCTATCCTTATCTCGGAACTATTACTACTAGATACCTTTTGGCTCATAAGTACGTTTTAAGATCTGATTTTTCGAGCAGTTGGCTTAAAATTTTGAAGTTAGATAGAGGATATGTATTTTGATAAACGATATTTATTCGCTTTTCAGAATTCATCAGCCCATGTACTTGATAGCCTTTTGCACTATTCTCTTCATCATTGGACTTTATATCTATAGAGCCAGTAACAATCAGAAACATGAGTTCAGGAAAAATCCGTTCTCTCTTGCAGTAGCTCGTAAGTATTTGATAACGAACCTTACAAAGATAATAAACCTATAACTTAATTGCTCGTTTATTTGCAGATTTAGAAACGATACCAACCTCGAGAGGCAGAAGTTTAATTGTATCTGGATTCTGGGGATACGTCAGGCATCCAAATTACCTTGGTGACATCCTGGTACACTGGTCATTGGCTTTACTAGGTTTAGCCCCTGACATATTGCCGTATATTCTTGCCATTTTTACGACGCTGTTGCTCATTCATCGAGCGGTAAGAGACAACGCTCGATGCCAGAAACGGTACGGATACGCATGGGAGCAGTATTGTCAGCGTGTCAAGTACATAATTTTTTATCGGGTATTTTAAGAAAAAAGAAAAGACAAGCAACTTATCAAATGAATAAACAAATAAATCATCTATCAAGAGTGAGCGTCGATGCATACTTTGAAATGCATTTATGAAGTTTTACATATTTTTAGAATGAAATTGACACGATGCCTAATTTTACGCATCCAAAATAAAATATATATTGTCGAGAGTTTTTATGTTCAATTAGAAGTATTATTTTATAGAAATAAAACAAGTAAACGCAATTCAGAGTGTCAGATGCATAAGTGAGAATTTTAGCGGCCTTAGTGAATGAACTTTTATTGACGGGTCGCGTCAAATGTGCGTATGTATAGACAAACGAACGAGGCTTTTAACTTCAGAGCTATATGATTCCAAGTTGGCTCGTTTGCGTATCCGATCTCGCCGTGGAATTTTTATAAATACCTGAAGCTAAAAGTGACAGATGTTTTTTAATGGAATAAAAAAGAACAAATCGATTTTTTAGCAAAGTATTTGTGCATGACATTTAATTGTAATGAATCTTAATTGATAAGGAATTTTATACTTTTTTATATAAATATATTATATATATTGATGTAAAACTTGGCTACACAATGGATGAATTTGGTAATTAAATCGATTCGTAATACCAAAATTTAAAGAAAAAAATAAATGATTGTGACAAATTATTAGAATTTTCATTAACCCCGCAAAGTTTTTTATAGAGGCGCTGAAATCGCCACCAACACCAGTTGAGACCGCCTGATGACAAGCAGTGAAGCAGTGTTGTATGTATTTTGAAGTAATATGGGATCTTTCGTACGTTTTTTTTTGTTTTTGGCATATCGAATGCCGAAAATTACATTTCTGGAAACAATCGTTTCAGCACAGAACTAATGAAAAATCACGGTAGTTTACTGAATACTAGCCGAGTTAATATGTAAGACGTTCTGGTTTTATGTTTAACCTCTTATGCAGTTGTTAAAAATCACCAAATTTAAACAAAAACAGTGACTGATTATTCTCTGAATGTACTTCTTGGTTCACATTATTATATATTTGATACGTGTCTTAAAGGTGCTTTAAAATTGCTCGTTTCATTTCAGTGAAATGGATAATTGTTTATCTAAACACCGGTATTTCTTCTGTCAACAATTGAACATGTGATATTTTAAATGATCTGTCATAATTCGTTGACGATCTAATTGGTTTCAAAATTGACACCTCTGGCTTTTCACGTTTACACGCAGGTCTTTATATACTTTCGTTTATTTGTTATTTTTTATCTTTATTAAAGAAAAAAGTGCTAGTGTATATTGTGCGTTTTTCATAGGAGATATTATCTGTTTAACATAAGCTTAAAAAATGACGCGAAGCCAAACAAGATCTGGAAGTAGGCCAGGTGCCGGTAAGAATCCTCCACGGAGCTCGTCAAAAACCGGATCACCAGATGCCTGCGACAAAATTTTGCCCGCCCACAGGTCCAGGCAGGTCAGAGTTACTCTCACTAGATTAGAAATGCCCAAAGGTTAGTCTTTCTATCCATCCTCATTGTAATAAACATACGCATATATCATAAAAGTCAATTTTGAGATTCCTCGAATCATGCGCTTACTTTTTCATTCTCATAAAGTAGTGGACGGTTCTGCTAGCAAAACGTATAAAGCAGACGAGATTAAACATTTAAGCAACGGTTCTACGATACAATTGAATCAGAGAACTCTCAAGTCAAGACGAGCCATTCGAACGACGTCGAATTTATTCAAGGTGGAACAAGAAAATAGAATGCCGCTGCTGAGGAGTGGCGATAAAACTGCTTCTCAATCTGATGATGGAGACTTGCCGGGCAAAAGAGAAAACGTGAAAAAGACGGATTTGAATCGAAGCGAACGCCGAGAATGGACTGCATCAGTTGGAGTTTCGTTACTTACTTTGATGACGACTATTTGTATTCCGCTACTGCAAGTTGCCTGTACGAACGATCACTGCGGTTCTGATAATTTTCGCCTACCCAGTTTACATGAATGGCAACTGCATTTCGATCGAGACGCGTTCTTATTTTACGCTGGATATCTGTGCTGCCTCACAATAGTATCTGTGCTACCAATCGGGAAAGTCGTAGCTGTTAAACGTACAACAAATAGCACGCATCGTCGAATTAATGGTAATCACGATTATTTCGTGTGCTCTATGTTTAGAATACAATGGATTGAAAATTTTTAAATTGATACTTTCAGGGCTATGGACTTTAATTTTAGCAGTATCTATATTTGCCGGATTAGTTTATCAAGGTTACTCAGTTGAAGAGTTTTTAATAAAAAATTCTCTCAAGTTGACTATAACCGGTTTGGTGTACGCTTTAGTTTTATCACTAGTTTTGTACATCAAAGCAAATTGGGCATCTGCATCGAATATCAACCCTTATCGTTCTACCAACAGTATCATCTGTAACTTTTGGCAAGGTAGAGAAATCAATCCGCGAATCGGACCTGTCGATGTTAAACAAGTGCTGTTCAAATCGACAGCAATTACAACGGTAACTGCATGAAAGTTAAATTATTTGCAAAACTTTGTTGTTTGTTACTGTTCTTCAATAAAGTTTGTTAATGTTCTTTAGAATTTAATCAATTTGGCAGTAGCAGTAACGATTTTGAAGGAAGTGGACTCTTTGCAGTGGGACAATTTGAACAATTTGAATATCACCGCCCTCACGGTTATTAGTTTGCAAACGATTTTCTTCGCCGACAAGCTTATCTTTGAAGAGAGATTCCTTTCAAGTTTCGAAATGAGTGTCGAGGGACTGGGATACATGCTGACTACTGCATATTTAATTTATCCTTACGTTTCAACTCTTTCTACGAGATATCTACTGATTCACAAGTAAAGTTATGATTCCGTAATAATAGGGAATTAAAAATTTGACGCGCTAAACAAGCGATCATAATGCGCTTTTCAGAGTTCAACTACCTCTGTACCTGATAGTTGTATGGACTATTGTTTTTTTCGTTGGTTATTGGATCTACCGTGGAAGTAATAATCAAAAAGACGAATTCAGGAAAAATCCGTTGTCTCCCGCTCTGTCTCGTAAGTTTTTTATTTTTAATCTGTATTTTATAATTATTCCACTGGAGCGCTATGTTTATTGATTTGTAGATCTGGAAACAATACCAACGCCCGCAGGTAAACGTTTGCTCGCGTCAGGATTTTGGGGATACGTTAGGCGTCCAAATTACCTTGGCAATATTCTGATGCACTTAGCATGGGCTTTCCTAGGCTTCACCCTGGACATTATACCATACGTTTTTGCCATTTCCACTATAGTCATTTTAATTCATCGGGCAGTCAAAGACGAGGCTCGATGCGAAAAACGTTATCGATTTGCTTGGAAGCAGTACTGTCAACGTGTCAAATATATAATTCTGCGCCCAGTATTTTAAAGATTGTATTATAGATTGTAATAGTTATTAATCGAAAGAGACGATCGTCTATTCGTACATTGGGATATCATAACTACAACCTTGAAATTTCGAGTACCTTTTATCAAGGATTGCTTCATACTTCTGTACTTGTGAACTAAACTATTTATGCCTAGAGTAAGTCACAAGCAATTTTATACTTCTTTTTATATGTATAAGTTTATAAGTCATATGTGTACATATGTATGGTGGATGAAAATGAAATTTACGTAAAATATCTTAACCAAAGCTCAAATGAATCATAAGTTTTCAATTGCACACTTGTGTACAAGTAAACAGTTTTAATAAAATATTAAATTTGAACTATTACGATTGCTTATCTCGCAACTTTTTTCACTATTCAGTAGAGGCGCTCAAATCACTATATGCGTAAGATGACAAGCAAAGTCATGGAGACTACAGTATTATAGACTATAAGCAGAACTGTATTTTGAATATGTGATTTGTTTAACTCACTCCACTTCGATTTCTTTCTACTTTTAATATTAAGAATGGCAAGTTACTTTGGAGAAGTTATCCTCCCAAGTTCTAGAGCTTTTTGGAACGATGATGAAGACGACGATACTTTTTATAGACAAGATGATACGTAAGATCTACTTGATGTTTAACCTCACTTTTATGTTTACTTACATTTTATTATTTTTAAAATTCTAATAATTTAACAAATGTCTTAAGTAATTTCGACGGAAAAATTTATTTTTGAAATTTATATTTATGCAACTTTATTGTATTTAAAAAGTACTCATGATTGATAATTCCAGTATGTTGAATGAAACAATTTTTTGGAGTAAATAAGATTTATTCCTAGAGTAATTATTAATTTTTATTGATGCAGTGAATTTAAAAGTAACTGGATTGAATCGGAGCCAGCAGAAGTTGAGAAACTTTTAGTTATTGAGGGAGAAATGATTATTAGTAAGTATGAATTCAAACAAACATAAATTTATGTGTCTCAAAGTATTTCAATTGCTGTTTTAATTATTTTCCAGATTACATCTATGCATGTTTACTACAAAATGCAAAAGTTGTGTGTAATATAGAATATGAATCTGAGAAAAACAAGACAAAAATTTACTTTGTTGATGACATTTACATCTGTGCAATCAGCTCCAAACTCAATCTTGCACAAGCTGGAAAGTTGACAGAAACTGTGAGTTGTCTTGAGTATTTTTATAAAAAGACTGTTAATTATTAAGTTTATGTTTTTCATTTACATAGATTTCATCTCTTCTGCGAAAGTGTAAAGCTATTTATACTTTTACGAGTGATCATATATCTCATTTCAAAAGTGAAGAAGAAATTTATTCTACATCAATTTTGAAGTCGTTATATTCTAGTAAAGCAAGAAATAATAAGAATTGGAAAATTTCTGTATTAAATCAGCCAAATATTGTCACTGGGGTGTGTGCAGGAGGTAAAAAAAACACAGATTATCAGTTTTATCAAACAATATATACAGATATATTCTTAAGTAAAAATACATCATTTTGTATTTTAGTTCTGTCTTACGCTGAGATGGCTAACCTAAGTTGCATTATGTACATACTTTACACTGACACATTCACATTAGATTCTAAAAATGCATCACCACTTACAGACTTACTGGCTGAAGTAATAGGAAAAACATTTCCTAGTTTTACAACTGGAGGTTCAAGCTTCTTCAATAAAGGAAACTTGTATTTGTAATTATTATACACAAGTGTTTTATTTAAAAGAACATCAATCATCATTAATTATATATATTTATATCGTAGTGGATCTAATTTAGTCAAATTAACTGACAGTGATGTTATTTATGCACGATGAAGTGACTGACCAGCAGGATAGCATTATATAAGTTGTTGTCAGTTATTGAAAACTAAAAAATTTCGTTTTTATTACAAGGAAATAAATTTTTGCTTCATAATCATGTTAAAATAAATAATGGTTCCAAGTCACCTTACCTCATAATACACTTTGACTATTACATTTTTCGTAGCAGCTAGTTACAAATATATCAAAGATGATTGACTGTTGAAAAATCTAATGGGAAGTTATCCTATGTGTAAGTCTTTTAATGCTTTGTTTTCTTTTATTTACAATAAAATAGTAGTGATTCAAACAAATTGAAATTATAATTGAGGCGGATAATAAGGTCGTGCACTCAATGGTGGTACCGGCGGTCCACCAGGATAATAATTTGTATTTGGTGGGTAATAAGGTTGGTGGAAAGGCGGTTGAGCTGGTGTGCTCGGAGCAGGTGGTGGACGATGTGGCACGCCCATATTCATGTGCGTCGATGGTACAATGTGATTTACCGGGGGTGGGGGCACTGTGATATTTGCTGGTGGAAAAGCAGGAGGAAAGGTTGTATTCCCTTGAGTAAATGCATTCGTGTAAGGTGGAAAATGACTTGGAACGTCCATTGGTGGGGCATCTTGTATATCTACAGGTGGAATGCCATTGGCAGGATTTGACTTTACTTCAGTCTTTGGGATTTTAGCTAGAGTGACTGCTGAAAAAGTCATTTTTAATTACTCCTTGTTATGCAAAGCTTCTGCAAATAATGAAAATAGGATTACCAAATTACCATTTGGTGTATTTGATGCTGAATGATCTGAGGATTGAGTTGAAGGCCTATCTCTGCCTGGCTCATTGGAGCCTGGTGTTGTAGGTGGAGATTCTGGTGTTGATGTGCTGTTGGTTGATGAATATAAATCTAACACTTGATGACAAATGTCTACAAAATATTGTAAGTTGAAATAAATTTTGTTAAGGATTGCTAACAAAAATTAAAAATAAAAGTACCTTCCAACAAATCCATGGTAATATCTTCAACAAACATATCCCACCATCTGTAATGCTTTTGAGTTCTCCCTTGCCAGTCCACTACTTCAAATTTACTTAATTTTCCTGCTAAGTACATCAGAGCAACTGCAATGATCTCAGGTTCCCATTGCAGTGATAATGTAGTACAAAGACTACAAAAATAAAGAAAAATTATCCAAATAATCCAAGAACAGTTGATGAAACTTTAAAATAGAATCATACCTGTCATTGACAAAAGTCCATGCCATTTGTACCATTTTTTGTAATTTACCTTTATCACCTTTTAAACATTTGGCATACTTCAACAGATACCCATATGGATGTTCAACTTGCAAATCAAATTTGATTGTTTGCAGCAAGATTCGTTCCAATGTCATCACTTCTTCTTTTGGATCTTCACCAAATGTGTTAAACTTTTGTTCACTGAGTAATGTTTTTGCAATCTTTATGATATCTTTACATTTCTTTGGTGTTTCTTCAACTTTGCCTGCTAAAAATAGACAGCAGCATGCAGTCACCTAAAAACAAAAATTAACTCATTATTTTTAGCATCCAATCAACATAAATTAAATTTGCTTTTACCAATGATAGGCTTTTTAAATAAATGTTCATTAAATTGCTCAATGTTTTCTTATAAAAGTGCTGCCTTTTATATTCTCACATAATAATAATAATAAATAATAAATAAATTTAAATCTACAAACTTTCAACAGACTTACATATCGTGGAAAAGTTTTGAAGGAGTGGAACATGTAGAATCTGTGAAAGTATACAACACCAGTGGCCATGGTATTATATCCAAGTTCCAATTTTGATCCAACATCAATGATGAATCGAGCTCCTTCTTTTCTATAACGACACTCTGTTTCATAGTCAATTCCATCTTGAATTGAAGGAGTATTTCTAAGCTCTTTCTTCTCATAATACCAATAAGGCATCTTTATGCACTTGTCAAAACAATAACAATATCAAGATATGTTGTTATCTGTTTATGCTACACATGAACCAATTCCAGAATGTCAAAACACACATAAATAGAGTGAACTTTTTTGGAGAATCACTTAATATTTCTGCGTCAAATTAACAAAATGGAACACCACTTCTCAAGACAATATATTGCAATAATCGTACGAGATTTCAAACATCACAACACAGAAATATACGATAGTTTACTAGCGCTTGTTAACTGTTGTTAACGTATGAATTAGAGGTTATGAATTTCAGTAAAGGATGTCTGGATCATGGTAACTATTATATACCTATATAGTGGATATCGTCATTATATATATAGTTTCAATGGCGTGGATGGATCTCATCTATAGACCACATGAACGCCATCTATATAGATGATATCGTTATCTTTTCATCTATTTATCTGAAAGCGGTCGGTAAAAGCGTCTGAAACGTAGAAGATTTAAATCTATCAGATTTAATCTGTCAGATGGCGCTAACATGTCGTACTTCTACGAGGTTTTCAAGAAAAAATGTCAAATTTAACGCGAAAGGTTTGTATTATTTAATTTTCCGCAAAAATTAATAATAATGTTTCATATGAAAACGGAATTATCTGCTGTGCAGCGTTGATTCTCAGAGAAAACCATTTGTCTCTTAAAAGACTATTTTGTCTGTATATAGACAGAGTAAAGAGCTCGAGTACTCACTTGGCATGACACTTTGTTGACACTGTCGAACATTTCATTTGTTCAGTAATGCGATTGGATTCAAATAGAACCGCGTGCATTTGATTTTTCAGTGTTGGCAACGAAATACAAACGAAAGAGCGCGAGACGAACAATTTCCAAAATTGTAATATGTATTCCGAAGTGTGCGCACCGACTGCGCGTGCGAGTTCCGAGAAATTTCGATTTGCTGAAAATTCACACGTGCGAGCAAAAAGAGAAAAAAATTCATGCAATTCTCGTTAAGGCTGTTTCCAGGAAGCTCTTATTCTTGCGCACCTTTTGCAAATTCTTATTTGTTTAGTTGGGACGAAGAAGAAAACGAGGCGTTGCGAAAACATGTAAACTGCGAGTATGCACGGATACATCCAAAGCAGCTGGATGTTATATAAACCGGAGGAAGAAATCGTTCGCACAAGTCCTGTTTCCTCCTAAAAATACTCGTATAAATATTGACTCGAACAATCGAGCCGCGCGCGTTTTTCCTATTCGCTCGCTCGTTTTTTCTTCTCCTGTAAGTATTAAATCAGCATCAATCCTTCATCTACCAATGGCAATGTTTTCACTTTTTTCCACGAGCCTCTCTCTCTCTCTCTCTCTCTCTCTCTCTCTCTCTCTTTTGGAAAGATGAATGTATCGAGGATCTATAAATGCAAATATTGGCTTTGCTCTTATTGAATGGATGCAGCTAATTTGGAGGTATTGCAACTTTTGCCGTTCAACGCAAACACACGTGCTGCAATGTGTGTGTATATTTATTTTGTTTCTCTCTCTCTCTCTCTCTCTCTCTCTCTCTCTCTCTCTATCTATTTTCAACTGAGTATATAAAAACAGAAGATCGCCAATTTCACTTATTGACGAAGTATACAGCAAATCTAAGCTCACTCTCAGCGTGGAAATTTTGTTCTTCGGCAGCGCGATTTGTGATATCGTCGAAATGTAAATGGCGCAAATGTTTATGACGCGCGCAAGAATTTTGGCGTATTTACGAATGCTCTTTTGCGGAGAATACGCAAGCGCACTTGGTATTTGACGGTCTTGTTTGGTTTATCATTGCTTCAGGCTCGCGGGATTCGCCAGGAGCATTTTCCGCGGCAAATAGGAAATTGGGAAGAACGATAGCGTTGTGCTCCGCGAAGAAGGAACGAAGGCAACCTCGGGAAGGCCGCAAGACGGCGAGCGCGAAGCTGGCAAAGGAGCGCGGGAAGCCGGCGCCTATCCGTCGGGAGGCAAGGCTCGGCGCTCGACGTACGGGCGCATCCACGCCCATATATACTCCTAGCGTCTCGCGCGTCCGTCGGCATTACTCATCGCTCGACGCGCGCGCGCGCTCGGAATTGGGCAATCAGCCCCACTGGGTCGCTAGTGAGAGCGCAAAGTACGACTGCTGACATTTCCATTAGCGTCGGAAAGAGCTCGACGGGAGGCGCGCGCGTCGTGGCAAAGTCGTCGGCGTCCGCCATGCTCGAGGCAGCTCGGAGCCAGCCGGGAGGCCGCTCTGCCGACGGCACGAGCTGCGCGCCGTGAAATCTCGATCTTCGCGCTCCCATCGAGGCTGCTCTCGAGCGCGTCTGCCTCCTTTTCGCGCGGCCAACGCTCGCATGAATATTGATCGGGCCGAGCCGCGGGCAACGTCGCCGGCGTCGCGGCAGGAGTGCGCCGCGTCCGCGTCCGCGTCTCGAACGCTGCGGCGACGGCTTTTGCGACGGACATTCGCGGACATCGCCGCTAGCGCGCTTCCACGGGCTACCGCGGCCGAATCTGCTAACTCAGCGCACTTGTCGGATACCCGCTTTGCATAAAATATCGCGCCTCCTTAATAGCGCGTTCGCGCGCTCGGAAATTCCGCCTTCCCTTCGGCGATTCGCCGACTGTAGTGCGACGCTGTCCGGAGCACGCCGAGGAACGCGCGAGGATGCGATCGCGTCGCTTTAGCGACTGTTCCATCGACGTCGCGTGCTCGCGTCTCCTCGCTTCCATTCCGAACGAATTCCCCTTGGCATTGTTTGGGAATGATATCAAAGTCGAAAATATGTACGAGCTGGACTTCATTTCCATATTCTTTTGTACGAGGCCAGCAGCACCAGCAGTGCCTGTATTTTCGAGTCGTTTCCGACGGCAGCTTTCATTCGAGGCTTTCATCCTTTTTGCACAACGTCTTTCGCAATTCATTCATCCTCTCTCCGCGGCTCGGCGCACTCGAGACGCGACGCCAACGTAGAGCCGTATATCCGTGCCGCCGTCGCCGCCAACGACCAAATAAAAGAATATATCATTAGCGAGCTCGTGCGAAAATCGATGCTCGCGCCGCGCAAATCGTCTTGGAAACGTAGTTGTGTGTCCGGAAAAAAATTCCTCTCTCAAAAGAGAGACTTGCTTGAGAGCTAGAGGCACGGACGAGGATCGGCCCGGAGCCGATAAAATTGCGCTCGAGCGCCCGAAGGGAAAGCCAACCCTTCGCTGGAAAATATCAGTGGCGCCGCAAAAGCCACGAGCGCTCCCTCCCCCCACCCCCCTCTCTCCTAATTAAAAAGCGCTCTCTCCTCTGCCGCACTATGGGTGTATGCGCAAGATTGTATTTGCGCATGCATGGCGCGCAGCTCAAGAAAGCACTCCCCCGCGCGAGAAAAAGCTCGAAAATTATGCGCGCTTGTTTGCGCTCGACCCCTCCGCCGTTATCTGCGCTCTGCACGCGCGCCATGATGAATCGGCCATGTTGCCCCGAAAGCGGTAAAAATAGCACGGTGACAACGCCGCTTACATAATGCATGCGGACCACCCAGAGGCTCGGCTCCTCGCGCGCGCCCCGTTGCATATTTCAGCGCTCACGGCGACGACGTGCAAGTTTCGCGAAGCAGACCGACCGAGGCTTTACCGCGTCGTCGTGTGTGGCCCACTCGAGGTGTTAATCGGCTACCGTGATGCGCGCCTATCCTCAATTAGTATAGCGTCTCCCACGGGCACCTGGGCACCTACCGCGCATCCACTCCTCTCGTCCGCCTCTTCTTCAACAACCTCTTCTTCTGCTTCTTTCTACTTTTTTTCTCTCTCTCCGCGCTATGCCTGTTTACCGTTGCGCGTCTTATACATCGCGCGGCGCGCGCACTCCACTCGCCTTCTTCTTTCGGGAGTCTCGCCGAGTCATCGGCGCCGTGCGATCCCTAAAAGAGCCCACACCTCCGCGCTCAATCCTCTCCCGTTCTGAACGAGCCGCGTGCGTGGATGCTCCCTTGATAATCGCGACAGCCAAAAGGAGAAATAGACGCTCGCTTGCTGCTTTACTCTCTTTTTATATTTTGTTTTCTTTTTTTTTTCTTTTTTGGAATGCGTATCGGCCGGCAAATATTGAAGCTCGTCAACACCTTTTTCGAAAGAGAGAGCAGCAGCGGCGGTGGCGGCGGCGGCAGCAGCAGTGATCTTGACGTGCGCCGCGCGAGAGCGAAGCTCTGTGTGCTTTTAATTTGGCCGGGCGGCGCAGGCAAATGTTTGCGCCACTCCCAATTCGCCCGACTCCGCGCTGCCTGGCTGCTGCTCTCGCGTATTGACCAAAGTGTCCGCTAGCCGTTCGCTAATCTAGCTAATGTCTCTCTCTCTCTCTCTCTCTTGCTCTCGCTCTTTCCGCGGACTCGCGCGGACGCGCAGGTGCAGCGCTCCCGAAGAAAGAGTTGCGCGCGATCGTGAGAAGAGCGCGAGAGTGTCGTACACATCGTGCATAATTGATGCGCGACAGAGGCCACGCGACCGGAAGAGGCAGCGGCGCCTCGTGCGCCTCGTATTAATCGCGCGCGCGCGCTCGCGTGAAATAGACTGCATCATCCTCGATAATCACCGCTAGCCCTTTTTTTCCTCGCTCGTGAGCCCAGCCCTGCTGCGACTAATTGCGACGCGTCAAAAATTTATCGGCGCTTTAACCGCGCCAGAGAGTGATGTCATTTTCGACGAGCTCAATTATGCAGCTGTTTCCGGGGGCAGTGCAGCGCGGTTTATGCGCTGCCTACCGCGGTACTCGGCTTTTTTTTCCTTTTCCCCCGATATTTGCGCGGCCAGAGCACTCGATGAGGCTCTCCTTTTTCCTCTCACTCGGTTATTTATGAAACCGGAGGGTTTCGATTAACGTTTAATCTCGAATTAACCCGTGTGTGGCTTGTACAAATACGACGCGAACGGGGGGACTCTTTTTTTTTCCTTTCTTTTTTCTCCTCTTACTCGATGCTCTAATTTGATTATCGATCGCGCGACGGCCGCGCGTGTACATGTGGATGGCCGATAATTGGAGGAATTACGTATTGCGCACGAGCAGGCGATTTTCCAAGCGAGCTTTCCCGCGCAGCCTTTCGATAGTGCGCGATCGGAGCTTATCATATGCGTCCAAGTCCACGGGGACAGGGGCAAAAAGAAAAGGCAAAAAAGGAGAGCAAAAGCGCGAGCGAGTCGTTCGAGGGCAAACAGCTAAAATCATTAGAGAGTAGTATAAACAGCGGTGTAAAAGGAAAATCAAACTAGCTCGCGCGGCACGAAAATCGGCGCGATCAAACGGCCGGGGCGCCGGGGC